GATACAAGTCCCTGTTGGATACTTCCAATTATGCTTTCGGTCCTCAGATTGGCCCATTTCGTCCTCATCTTCATCCAAGTCAGAGCCCCAGTCAATTCCACCTTGGTTCTCCAGAAAATTTTTCTGCTGTTGTTGGAACTGTGCCATGACCTTGGCCTGACGGTTCAAGGCAGCCTTTTTCCGCCTTTCCCGCTCCTCTTCAGCAGAGTTGTTGGCCGGAGAGGCGGTGTCAACACGGTCTACCGAGATGCCAAGATTCACAAAAGAAATCTCGAATGCTTGCGGCCGCTTTTGCCTCAGTCTCCTCAAGACCAGAGCAATCTTGGGATGAACTGCTTTGAACTCGTCCTTGTTTGACATCAAAGTCAATAGTGAGACAATGGTTCGGGAATTGTTCGCTTCTGGCATGAAATTGCTGCGAGCCATGGTGGTGAGAGCAATTTGGACAAATGAGTTTGGCGGCTGTCCAATTGCTTCCGATTCATGGGACTTGTCCTCGAGAATGGCAATGAGAATCAGATGGAGGACGACTTGCAAGAACGTCTCTAACCGAGTAAATGGTACAGAAGGTGTAAATTTTTGGGCAACAAGAGGATACAAGAGTGAGTAGTAGATAATTTGGGCAAACATGCCAGTGCTGGTGAACTGCCCCAGGTTTTCAAACAAGCCTGATGGCACAGGCCGGTGCTTGGGTTCATAAACAATCTCTTCAATTGTCTTGCCAGTCTTCTTGGCCATCTTCTTTCGATATGCCATCTCTGACTCCTCTCGCTGATTTTTGTTGTAGTGTGCAATATAAGGATCAATATCTTCGATGAATTCTTGACGCAATTCGAAAGTGCCTACGTCAGAAATGCCTTCGGGGGGTTTGAAAGTCGCCATTTCGTCCAAGACGCGATGGAAGTCCTCTTGTTCTTGATACTTCTCGGGCAACTTGCCACATATCTCGTTGAAGGATAGCGGTTTGAAGCACAAAACATGCGTGATGTCTCGTCGCATGGCGAGAATTCTTGAGTTTGGCTCATCATCAGGAGCAATAAGAGAAGTCCGATCGCTCAAGAGGACAATGAGAAGATGAATCATGTCCTCAACAATGTCAAGATGTTGCGCATCATCCTGAGCTTCAGACTTGAGCTCAAACAACCCCTTCACCCAGCCATCCATACCAAACCGGTCAATGATGGATGCAAGCACGCGGCCTGGATTGCACACAACCATCGCCGTCTGAAGAAGAAAAATGTCTCGATGGTGCGTTACATCCCTCTGCCCTACACCTCGATATGTGCTAGCTTGGTGCCTCAAACTTATGCCATTTCGAACCCACATATTGGCTTTGATCTGCGCCAGCCAAGCACAAACCCGCAGAGGGAAGTCAAAGGCGGCCATAAGGTAGTCCTCGGGGTCATAGTCCTTTCTTGGGATCTGTGGCCGTCCCATCAATCTTGGCTTTGATCTCAGCTCTTGGCCAGTGAAGCTCATCAATGCTCGAATGCTGGATGCAGGCAGTGAGCGACCGCATTCGATGAGCCAAGACAAGGTGTAGTGCAAGGCATGGTGGAAGCTGATGGAATCTTTCTCAACAACAAATTTGACAACTTCGTAGGAAGCATTCTCTGTGTCAAACTCAAAGTCGGTTAGGGTCTTGAATTTCACCTCATCCTTGATCTCCCCTTGCTTGAACCTATGACGTTCTGCGCCTATGGAGTTCAAAATTACAGTCTTTGAGGTAAAACGAATGGCTCTCTGGAGATAGTGAATTTCATCAGGCGGACAGTCTCGGAATGCCTCGGCTAGGATTCTTGCTTGGAGATTGATTTGCCGTGTGACTAACGAAGCTGTTATCCAAGAGTCTGCTTCATACTCGACATGCTCAACCACTGCTCGCACGTTTGGTCCAATGCACTGGTGAAGCTTCACCAAGTCCAAAAACTGCATCAAATATCGAGGCTCGGATCTGACTCGCTCTTGGACGTGAGGAGATCCAAACAGGTATTTCAAGTCTTGGTAGAAATGGTACATTCGGCGATTGGTCACTGACCCGCTTTCGAACGCAAGGACGGCGTCGGGAGAAACATCCCACGGATGGCCAACTTGTCGAGTAGTCAAAAAGGTGTAAAGAATAGCTAGCAGGCTGCTCATGAAGTTTCCTCGCTCCACAACTTCAGCGGTTATCGATGGAGTTGTCAGCATCTGCAGCGACAGGTTGATAATAGAGTGATCCGGTTCCCTATCCCCAACCAGGTACAGTTGCGCTAATATTGTGTAAAGGCTGGCAAATCTCAAAGCCAAAACACGCTTGAATTCCGGCACTGATACCACTGTTGAGATATAAAGCGAGCGAAGGTCGATCCTGACCTTCTTCCACATCCGCAAGTCAAAAAGAAGCAGCCAATCGAGGCGTACACGTTGGAACACGTCTTCAGCCGGGGGCACATTGTCTCGCTGTGTATAGACTTGTGGGGTTTCGATCCAGTACCTACCAGGTCGAGGGGCGGGCCTTTCTGTTTTCCCTGGAGTCTTGGGAATATCAACGTTTGCTTTGGCATAGACTGCGGGTGCAATCAAAGGATCAGCCGTATCGGAATCCGAGGGAGTACCATCCCGTTCTCGCCGTGCTGCCCTTGCTTGAACTGGCGGCGGCGGCGGCGGAGGTGGAGGATAGCCTGCCATTGTGGCCTCGTCTTCTTCCAGCGCCTGATCCGATTGTGACCAGTTCATACCCAGATCGCCAACGTCTCCTCTGGCATCTACCATCATGACATCGTCGTCCTCATCCTCGTCACCGCCCGCTACTGAGCTAGTGGGCGACTGGCCATCGTCATCATTGTCACCCATGTCTGCATCGTCATCCTGGTCCACGTCTTCATCTCCTCCGTCAACATTAATTTCAAGATTGCCACCAGGAGCAGCTGCAGCCTGTAGCGCCCTGATAAAGTGCACGTTGAGGCCGTGTATCCTGGTTTGTGACATTATATTCTGCTCGTCTTCATCTTCGTCGTCAATAACGCCTGATGTGTGAGAAGCGTGGCTTCCCTGACGCCAGGTTTTCATCATCTCGTCGCAGACTGTTCGCCTAAGGATATTGTTGTCGTGCCCAATGGAGCAGCCGGAAATATCGCTCAGCCATTCAACAAGCGTGCCACACATTTGTTCACGGAATGTGTCTCGCGCCGACCTAATTGTAACTGTGACTCTGATAGCCTCCATGATCTTGGCCATTTGAAGCAGCATATCAATGTCGTTTAGATAGATCAAGATACTTCTCCCGACAGCATCAGTTTCCCAAGCATCCTTGGCAGCCTCCCGTCTGGTCTTCCTACATGCCCTAGCAATCTGATCCTGGACTTCTTGGACTGTGTGTTTCTCGTCATTCCACAGGATGAGGGCAAATTCGTCGCAGAATGTGGTCTCAGGACCGTAATAGACAGATGTCAGTCGCGACGCCTCCTCATCTTTCAAGATTGATTCTTTGGTTTTTGCCTGCCTCAGCTGTTCTGGGGAGCAGGAGATGACGTCGCAGATGTAGTCGAACACGCGACCGATGGTCATACGAAGGCTGCTCAGAAGGTCATCTGGCAGCCCGACAGCTTCTTTGCCTTTGCCCTTGGCCTGCCCGGATTTCATGTCCGAATGTATAGTGCAAAACAATGGCGTCTTCCAAGCTTCGTCATCACCACAGTCGCAGCACCCACTGTTCCCAACAGACATTTGTATTCGAACCATGTGACCGGTATGATCTGTTGAGTCGTAGCACCGGACGCAGAGACAACACGTTTCGTCGGTTCCGCACGTCCGGCACATGTAGGTCGCCTCGCCAGGTTTGAAGATGTGTCCGCATCGCTTGCCACGGGCTGCTTCGGTGTATTCGGCGCCTTCGACGGCACCCTGGGCATCACCAAGCTTCAGGCTGTCGGAGGGCTTACCCTCGGGGAAAAGAAGTCGCATGTAGTCTTGATTGCCACCCGCCAGAGACCAAAACAAGCTCGTTAGAAGCTCCCGTGCTGCATCTTCATCGTAACGATTGCAAAACCGGGCAGGCAGGTCCGCCAAAAGCTGGCAGAGCTGCTGCTCCTGCGTAGACATTTCGGGTTCCATTCTCATGAGCTCATGATTTCCGCCGATCCGATCCAGACGGTACGCCCATAGACGTTGTGGAAGAGACGGTCCGGCGGCAAGGTGGGAGAGGTGGATGCTGGCAGCTCGCCAAGGTGCTTGCTGACAGTTATCAAAGATGACGGGTACTGATGCCCCATCAATAACAGTGGCGGGCAGGATGGAGAGGGCAAGTTCTATGCGAGAAAAATGGTGGCAACAAAGCACATGTGTACTGTCGAGCTATCGGAGGGCGATCCGCGTGGAGTTGATGTTCAAACGTTGCGTGGTGTGAAGAGCCGGGTGGCACTGGATTAGATTGATATTTTTACCCCTCTGTGTGCTCAAGGAACAGCTGGCGGTCTACGTTATGGCGTTGACGGCATTGGGAACACTAGTGCTCTGGGGTGCCAGCGGCGCGATACAGGCGCCTTGCACTCAGTGCTGCTATCTGGGCCCCCAACGGCGGCAATTACAGGGCGGCCAACAGCTGTCGTACGACCCGGGCGCCTGTTGGCCAGTGTCCGGTGAAGTACCTGGGTAACCGCCAGGCACTTTAAACTGTACATGGCAAGGTCAACTGGTACGACTAAGAGCCATCGCCGACCAACGCCATGCAACGCGGATGATAGCAGTGCATGCTATTTGACCCAAAATAACAAGACGGTGTGTCCCATTTAGAAAATCTTGACCACGTCTCGCCTTCTCACGTCACGGCGCTTGCACTGTCGTACGGCTGTGCAAAGCCTCATATCCGATTCGCACGTGGCAAAACGTATTGCGCGAGCAAACGGTGATGCGTGAGATATCAACTCTATTGATTTGTGAATTGTACAAGTCTAGAGACACAGAGTCCCATGACTGCCTACCCATTTCCGCGGCCTTCAATTGTATATCGTGAACATAGTCTACTCGTCGTCCTCAGCAGTCTCCTCAACATACTTGCTTCGAATATCCTTCCATTGTCGCTGCCATTCCCACATTAGTCCAATACCACACCTGTTGCCATTCGCATATGAGGACTTACGCCGCGGTTGTGGTTGTCCCACCACTTGTTAACACCGTTATTGAAGCCGCTATAACGAGAGGTTAGTAATTGCCGAATTCCGGTACGCCATTTATCAGGGTGAGGTCCGTACACTTCGAATGCGAAGCCGGCAGTGAAGACAGCCGCCAACATGGCGTAGTTCTTTCGGAAAAGAGCGCTGCAGCAAGTCGTGTTAGCTTCTCGGGGTCGTGGGAGTGGTCGTTCGGCTTCGATCGAGGGACTTGCCTATAGAACGAGTTGACGAGAGACTATCGGATGAGCGATTAGCTGCGATTGTCGGCAGAAGGGCGCGCGGTCAATTCGGAAGCTTACCATTGTGACGGCTTCGTGCGATTGAGCACTGGAGGATACGGTATCGGAAGGTGATGGGCCGCAAAGCTGTCGAGGGATGGATTTCCTTCGAGGTTTGGGGAGGCCGATTCGAAAAGGTGCCGGGGAAATTCGCGATGGACTGAGGCAGCCTTTGTCTGTTCTCGGATTGGCCAGCCCTCCTCCAGTGCGGGTCCTTCAAAACCGAGGTACTACAGCCTAGCAGCCGTGATGCAGGAACCAACTGTGCAAGCTGTTATGTCGTTTGGGGTGCAAGATGGTTTGTTATTTCTGAAGGCCAATCCTCCCAATTATTACCTATAGGTACTTATCTACCTAGTAGCTATTGTATATATTCAAAAAGGGGGGGAAATAAGCGACGCGTAAATCCCTACTTCAAAACCTGGTGGCCAACGAGCAACTCTTATCTTATAATAGGTCAGACGTCTTAAAAGGAATAAGATTTTTCAAAATGTCTTCTAGTATTCTGATTCTATATTGAAATTTTTTCTTGACTCGATTGCGTCTGCCATTCTACTTCGTATCAAGCACATTATGCACTCACTCGCAAGCAGGTTTTGATTCTGATGTACTCAATCGACCAAGCACAAGGTTATGTGGGGTCACTGTTCAGGAATGTGACGACTTTCGCCCCGCGCCCAGTCGACACAACAGCTCATCTTCGAGTTCCTCGGTCACGGCAGCAAACACAACTTTTTGAGACGGACAGCTAGGTGTCGTCCGTTCAATCTTACAACCAGTTCTTCCCGTAGATCTCTGACGCCATTTTCTCTACCCAACCCACCTGCCTAGGCCTTCTGAATTCTAACACTTTTGTCACAAGCCCTGCGGCTGAGCTGTTTGCGATGCCTTCGCAGGCCACCACCACCAACGCGGGAATTGTTACGGACGAGAGCAGCGGACAGCGCCACATCCCCGAATCCCTCCGCGCTGATGGAACTACCCGAAAAGCCATCAAGATCCGACCTGGCTATCGTCCACCAGAGGATGTCGAGGTTTACAAAAACCGAACTGCTGAAGCCTTTCGGGAGCGAGGTCGAAGAATAGGGATTCCTGGAGCCGCAGGCATAGAGGAGGAGCAGTCAGATAAAAATTCTTCAGCAGCCGGCAACAAAAACGCAAAGCGGAGAGAAGCTCGCAAGCGGGCCAAAGCAGCTGCGGACGACGACGTCGCAAGCGAAACCAAGCCGACAACCGTGGAGACACCAAAGGCTGAAGAGGTCGATCCGGAGGTAGAGCGAGAGAAAAAGTCCCGTAACCTTAAGAAGAAGTTGAAACAGGCCAAGGAGCTCAGGAACAAGAAGGAAGGTGGAGAGGCGCTGCTACCTGAGCAGATTGCCAAGGTGATCAAGATCAATGAGCTCATTCGCGAATTGGATGCGCTGGGTTTTGATGCGGAGGGTGAGCCCAAGTCGAACAATGTGGTCAAGACGACAGAGGAGGACTGAGTTGGTAGGGTCTATGGAAACGGCTTTATTTGACATGATGATTGATTCATGATACGAGAAGCAACGGATGGGACGATCATGTTTAACAGACATGCTTGTGGACTACATGCAAGATGAGTTGCGGCGACCTTGAGAGCCCCAACCACTGCGGCGTTGTCTGTCCCAGATTCGGCTGTCTGGGAGTTGGCCAAAAGCTATGGTAGTTCATCTTTCTTATACCCGTATGAGCTACAGTGAGGCTAGCGTCGCTATTGCGTGTAGGTTTGTTAGGGACGGAGGAATACGCTGCAAATAGGAGAACACACTCTTAGGACTCTGGTTCAGTAGTCGTGGAATAATGCTACGATTGAAACTGACTCGTGACCATATCTTGCGAAGACAAGAAGACTCATATTGATAAAAAAAATGGCGATTTTCAACCGAACCTAGCGATACGCGACCAAATCCTATCGCATTTCGAGGTACTTGGCGGTAGATCGATGAAAGAAAGAAAGATTGGTGGTAACTAATCATGGTGCACGCCGTAGGGTAGGTTGCATCGAGAGGATTGGACCAGACGTGATCTTGAGCTCCGACCTTCTGCCGGCTGTGGCAATTAGTGGCTCCGCCGAAGGCTCCAGCGCGTGAGGTAAGCTTCCCATTGACCTCAGACAGTCAAGCAACCACCACATCACCCGCGATACTTGTCCGTTGTCCTCACGGCTCTTTATGTGCTGAAACCCCAATCCCTCCACGAGCGTGATAATTCCGACGTCATCTATCGATTTCCGCCGATACGCCAACTCCTTGGACCACGATACACCCCCGTTGGTCGCCGTTATCATGACGCCCGAGGAAGAGCGCCAGGCCGCCCTCGACTCGTACCGACAGAAGCTTATCGAGTCACGGGAATGGGAAGCAAAGCTGAAAAACCTCCGACTAGAGATTAAGGACTTGCAGAAAGAGTTTGACCGCACTGAAGACAACATCAAGGCCCTACAAAGTGTGGGCCAAATCATCGGCGAAGTCTTGAAGCAGCTTGATGATGAGAGATGTATGGACAGTCCTGCCCAGACACTTTGCCAAACTCTGCTGCGAAACGCAATCAATCCAAAACATGGAATGCACTAACGCCTTGGGGAATACAGTTATCGTCAAGGCTTCGTCAGGGCCTCGATATGTCGTTGGCTGCAGATCCAAGGTGGACAAGGAGAAGCTGAAGCAAGGCACACGCGTTGCCCTCGATATGACAACCCTCACCATCATGCGCATGCTCCCCCGCGAAGTTGATCCTCTGGTTTATAACATGTCCTTGGAGGACCCGGGACAAGTCAGCTTTGCTGGTATTGGAGGATTGAATGACCAGATCAGAGAGCTAAGAGAAGTAATTGAGCTGCCGCTCAAGAACCCCGAGCTCTTTCTTCGAGTCGGCATCAAGCCTCCCAAGGGTGTGTTGCTTTACGGGCCACCAGGAACTGGAAAGACTCTCCTGGCTCGAGCAGTGGCCAGCAGCCTGGAAACAAACTTCCTGAAGGGTATGTTGAAATTTCCCTTTTTAAAAAAAAGGAGAGGCGGATGTTTATTCCTCTACATGTGATTTTTTAAAAACTGACGGTGCCCTGCAGTCGTTTCATCAGCCATTGTTGACAAGTATATCGGCGAATCTGCACGTCTTATTCGCGAAATGTTTGGCTACGCTAAAGAACACGAACCTTGCATCATCTTCATGGACGAAATTGATGCTATCGGCGGTCGTCGTTTCTCTGAAGGAACTAGTGCTGATCGTGAAATTCAGCGAACCCTGATGGAGCTGCTCAACCAGCTAGACGGTTTCGACTACCTCGGCAAGACGAAAATCATCATGGCAACCAACAGACCTGATACCCTCGACCCTGCATTGTTACGTGCCGGTCGTTTGGACCGCAAGATTGAGATTCCCTTGCCGAACGAGGTGGGACGGTTGGAGATTCTCAAGATTCACGCGCAAAGCGTTGTTTTGGATGGAGATATCGACTTTGAGAGTGTGGTCAAGATGAGCGACGGATTGAACGGCGCTGATTTGAGAAACGTGGTGACGGAAGCGTAAGTTTATTGCTTCCGCAGAGTGGCCCTCACGGATGATGCAAAGCTAACTATCCTGCAGGGGTCTGTTTGCTATCAAAGACTACAGAGATTCCATCAACCAGGATGATTTCAACAAGGCAGTCCGCAAGATGGGCGAGGCGAAGAAGTTGGAAGGCAAGCTAGAGTACCAGAAGCTGTAGGATTCAGCGTGAAACTTGAAACCAGATCCCACGCTTTAGACGAGGTTGCGTAGGCAAGGGCATTAGGTGGAGCGAGAGCGGCGTTCAGTGTCAATCTTGTAAGACTGTACAATAAAATGGGTCGTCACAGTTTGACGTGCTCTGCTAGATCCTCGATAGGGTTAAGAGATATTTGAACTTGATGATTTCCAGTGGGTTGGGCGTGAATTGGCTGTTTTCCTCTTGATATGGGGCATTTGACATGGCGAAATGGATATCCGGTTTCCCCCCGGGAGCTAAAGGATGATTCGGTATCTGCATGAGAGCAAGGAAGACGTATAGATGGACCACTCAATTAAGCTGTACCTGAGCAGGGCATTGCTTGTATTGTATGTCTTGTATGTTGAGTTGCATAGCATATTACAAGAATGTAGAATTCTATAGACAGATTAGCTTCTAATTAGATTTATTCATCAAGCCAACAAATACAAGAAGAAAGAAAGAGCCAGAGGTCATGTTAGACATCTAGCAACACTATGTTTTAGCCGTACCTAGGCCAGGGAACCGTAACTAACCACGCAATGCACCATGAGTACAGAACTAGCGAAAAAGTAAACACCATGTGCTAGTAGTTTATTCTCATCGCGGAAGGCTCATTAGTTTTATATTAATAGACATGGTAGTGTAATAGCTACCAAGCCATATTGGGCAAGGCCCTGTGTCGTATTGCACAATACTCCATGTAACGATTTCGTTAAACTCTGCGCATCACGATCCTTTTTTGTGATTTCCCAATTGGGACAATAACATGCGGCCTTGAAAGCAGTAAAGGCCCTTGGATTCCTTGCAATCGACCCGAATAGTTTGCCCTCAGGAAACCCTTGTCAGTGGACGCTCTATTCATGCGTACTCGATTTGATGTGGTTACTGTTATTACTAGTCATATTGACTAGTGGATAGGTACATGTTTCGGAATGAAACATACTGCAGAGTGTCACTCGCCTGTTCCGTCCTGTCACAGGTTCATGTGCCGTCACGCCCGCTTTTCCGCTTTGCGACGGCGAATTTCGGGCTTTAATTTTTTTTTTTAAAGAAAGGAATAATAATTCAAAGGATGCAGAGTTAGCCGAATTTATTTCGGGCAAGTTGAATCCATATTATTGAGAGATTTCTTCACATTTCTTAAGCAACTACTTGGGGTAAGGGTTCAGGTAAGGACTAGGGTTAGGATATGGGAATCCTAATAGGGCAGGAGCAGTAGTTGGGTCAGGGGAACTAAACACACCAGACAGCTGTTGGGTCGGGTCAGTTGTGCGGCTAAAATAGCACGACTCGAAAATCAGTCACCCTGATAGCACTGCCCATTGGTGCAAGTCTGGTCAAGTGGAGGCCTTTTTTTAACCAGTACATGTACATATGTACATTATGTACTGTCACGGCCCGGCCCGAGTGTTCCCCAACTTCAATTTGAATGTGGGCACGGCCAAGAAAATACTAGTACTACTACATCTCACTGTCCATGTACAACTAGCAATTTGGGGCTGCAACACGGTGAGAGCAATGTGATGAAATACGAATAGTGGAGGTGATGTGGTACTTGACTGTCGCTCGATCTGTGAAAAATTGTATAATGCCTGCGTCACTCTCCTCGTATACCGTCAGCTCAACCTTGCCATCCTCTCTCATTACTGTGTTTGGCTGAACAAATTTCCACCCCGGCTCAGGCTTAGGCGCGACGATATGCCTCCAAGTTTTGTACTCACTATCCACACAGCTAAGCGAAACTTCTGCAAGACGCAGTACATCGCCAGATATGGATGCAGCACAGCATTTTCGAGGCGAACAGTTCTTTGGGTTTGCTGGCCATCGCTGACGAGGCTTGAAGAACATTCAATGATACTTTTTCTCCGGTATAGCGTTTGCCAACACGGGTATTTTCAGGTTCGATTAAATTCTTCTCCATCACTCGGGCGACTGCGGCGATCTCTTCCCTCGTGATCTGTTTCCCCCGGGATAGAGCCGCCATGGCCCGACCTGTTTGTTTGCTGAACGGAATGCAATATCAATGGCCTCCAAGAACATCTGTTTGCCGGTTCTCTGTGTCTTAACGAGGTTGTTTTGGCAGTTCTGCCGTCGGACTGATGCTATGCGAAACGAGGCCGTGATATACTCAGCAATTAAAAAGAACCATGCCGTCAAAGCTCCTCATGCTTGCACAATACATGAATTGCCTACTCTCCAGCTAGCCCCACACAACATTTGAGACCAGAGTGGTCGCTCCAAGGTACAATCTGGTCACTTGGCTTCACGAGCCCCGTCTCATCGCATACATTCACAGCATCCTTGATACTGGCATTTCTGTTCCCGTCATCCGACCCTACATCAATGTTGTCTGGATGCATCACCTCTATGTGATATGGCCGCAGTCCAACTAAAGCTACTTTGTCCAGTCGACCAGGCGGAAAGGGCTGCTTTCCATCCACACCCCAGGTAAAGCCAGGCTCATCTGGATGCAGTTCATGCCATGCGTCGATGAGATGATTTTCCGATATAAGCGTGGCGTCCTCGGCCAGTACAGGGTTGAAGTCGCCGGCCACAAGGCCACGGCTTGCACTTCGGAGCACAGATGCGACAATGGAGAGCTGTCGTGGTCGCTGTGATGGCTGTATCGGCAGCGAATCAAGGTGCACGTTCACCAGTCGAGCGCGCACGACATCCGCTTCACCGCCGGGGGATTGTGCGGATAAAGGCAAAAAAATATCGCAACAGAGAGCGTCTCTGCCGAACCGGCTTGGGTATTTATACCTCCACACTGGACCCAGCGATCCATTGGCATGGTTGAAGCGCCGTTTTGATACGAGTGTCATGCTCGCAAAAGATTGCCCGTGCCAGTTGGTCTCATCGGCCTCGCTGGAATACCAGTACTGACGAACTTGTGCATCGCATAGTAGAGAGTGCAAAGCCTGCCTAGAAACTTCTTGAAAAAAAATGACATCCACGGCAGGGGCCGAGCTTGCGATGTGTGAGACAATGGCCGAGATGCGCGTCGCCGGCAAGGCAGAGGAGGAATCCACGTTCCACGTTACAAGGACAAACTTTGAACCCTGAATGGGACGCTGTCGCTGTTTTCTTTCCCGGCTATCACGATCACTGTACGTCTCGGTGACGGGCACAGATGTCCATTGATCGACGGAAGCGTTGAACTCGTGCCACGACTGGAAGGTGGCAGAGGCATCATGCAGATTTGCTGGAAGAGGGGTACTCTGCGACCACGACAAATAATGAGTGCGAATGTAGGAAAAAAATTCCATCATCACGAATGTGCCAGCGCCTACATTCTTAGCTGCCGTTTTCTCGGTCTTCTTGTTGGTGGCATTTCGGTCCACGACCAAAATCTAAATGTGTTGACTGGATCGAACTTGCAATGAGGTTGGTTATCCGCCAAGGCACACGACAGCATGTTTAGTCATCCGTCACATCCTGCAGCTACGGTTGAACATCGGGTTTGGTTGCTCCAACGTTTACGAAGCGTCAAGACTGCGACGGGGAAATTCAGCTTGATCGGGTGACAGGCGTCGAGTTGGAGTGTGCTGATGGGATGCAACACCTTGGCCCCAGAGCTGGAGGACAGCGAGAAGGGTGTGACCCGTGCAAAGATACAATCAAAGTCCATCTACCCGACTTATTAATTCGAGAATTTCGGCGTGGCAACTAGGTTGTGGCTTACATTGCTGTACCATTGCGCCAACAAACTCCATCCTTGACACTTTGACCTTGTGCCTACCTCAGGTGGCTTCGACCTCGAAGTGTTGACGCCAACCATTTTTCGCTGACTAGCGTAGACAACCTTGTATTGACGTGCTCGAATCAAGGATAGTACAAGGAGGGAGAAGAGACGGACTCGGTCGGTGGCGCTGGCGGGAAAGGGGACATGAGGAAAAAAGCTTCAATCTTGGGCCAAACTATCCCATCCGATCCCCTTTGAGGATGGGGCGAGCACTAGATTGGTATTTGGGCCAGAGACGGAACCAGACGTGCCTAGTACTTGATTTTCTTCCATGTACTTTAAGATGTGCAGCTGCAGGTAGAAGGTGGCAGACAGCTGGCGTACGCGGAACCTGACATGGCGCCATTGTTGTCTTTGCCTCTACTTTTCTCCAAGCAAACCTTATCAGCGCCACACTTCGGCCTGTTGCCTATATAAATATCTTACGCAGCCAAGCAGGGCAGGAATTGTATCGCAAAGCAGCACGGTTTTACTTGGCATGCTTTTTACTGGTTGATAAAGTCGTGGGGGTGTGTGATGATATTCCTTTATTGTCAATACCAGTTTCGCGACTGAAATTTTATCTAGGCTCTAACTGGACCAGACCGAGAGCCACCACTGGGGACAAATCATGACCATTGGGAACTTTTCATCTCCGGGGGCTTGGGGCATTTAACCACGTTCTCACGAAGATACGGACGACGGTTTATCCGTCATCAGTCACGTTACTGGGGTCGGTACCATGCACAAAGACAAACTGACGCGGGGAGCAAGTATTGGGAATGGGTTTGGCTTGCATTGGCACTTGCGGGTATGGACGGCTTCACCGTGACATCTCATAATGTACATGCAAGGGGCAATGATGCATCACGACTGAGCTCACTGGGCATTACAAAAAACACATGGCCATCATGTTGGGCAGAGAAATGTATCGCAAAGTAGCGCGGGTTTTACAGGCCGCGCCGTTTACTGGTTGATAAAGTCGTGGGGGCATATGACGATGTTCCCTCATTATCAATACCAGCTTCGCGACTGAAATTTTATCTAGGCTCTGGTGAGGATCAGAACAAGCACTGAACAGCTTGCCTGAAGACCGAGAGCCACACACAGAGACAATGATGACCATCATTCATCGGGAGGTTTTCCTCTCGGAGGGCTTAGAAAAGACCTCGTTGACTGCTGAGTCTCTGGCAATGGCATCCCCCAGAACGGACCAAGACTGGAAACCAATGAATGAAAGGAAAGTAGCCAAAGATGAATGAGTTGACTGCCATTGTCTGTTGACTGCGATGCGATGAGGAGAAGAAAAGAGAAAAGGGTTGATCCTTGTGGGAGGGGGGTCTCTTATGCCCGGAACAGAGGAAGGTAGTCCCTTCCTTGTCTGTCACGGCTCAAGTTTCTTCCTCCAGAGCCATGCCTCGGGAAATTTTGGCGAAAGAAGGACAGAAGAGGCTCAATTGCCATCCTCATTGCCGCATTTCTACACAATTCTATGATCCAATTTGCGGCTGCTGTTGCAGTGGTGCTCCCAGTACCAAGTGACCACTTAACCGTATCTAAATGGGCACAATCATTACATCATCATGTCAAACTACATGTTCATTTAGTCCTTGATATCGCTTGAGCAACATTGATACAGCTCAATTTCGGCGCTATTGGTCCGGCAAGCTCTTCCATGTCCTATTCTTTTGCAGCGAGCCCCGGTGCAACGAGAATACCACATGTCTACTTATTTGGGCAGGTATTTTACCACACCAACAAAATGCATCATGTAACTAACCGGGATATATATCAAGTACTCCAGGACAGCCTCATTTGCTTCTCGACTCAACGTGACTGCGACACCTGGCAGACAAATGTAGTCTGGTGCTCATCGACCAAGATACACGACACAACGAAGTTCAAGTACTACATAGAATCTACGGTATCTCAGCCTTGCACAGTAACAGCCGGACTGCCGCTACGCTCGGTCAAGAGATCAACCATCTGCAAAGTCTTTCTTGATGCCGCACTTACTGACTCTCGGGACAGGAGCTGCTGTTTTCCTGCCGTCGTCTTATATTGCCAGCTTCTGCAATCCTTCCGTCGAAGAAAGGTACTTGTATGAGAAAGCCTGAGGCGTTGATGCACCTACTCGAAGCTTCATAGAAGATCCGACTGGCTTCTTGCCCTTCGCAGTGCCCAAAGGCCCAGCGCCTTTGTTACACGGAAATCGCCCTGTTACACAAGGGCTACGGTCACGAGACCTAGGGCAAGGTCCCTCACCGACTTCTTGTATTTAAAGACGTCTTTGAACTTCAAGGCCTTGAGGAAAACCAAGGACCTTTGATACCAAAGAATGTTATTAGTTGAATTGAGCTAAATTGCTCCAAGCCCTCTATTGAGCCCTTGTCACAGCCTTTCAGATCTTTTCGAGTGGATGCCCGCCAAGAAATAAAGACCCTTGCTAGTTTTCATTTGGAAAGCTGTCAGCTTCACTGTTTTCTCTGAATACATGATATATGAGCTAATTTTACGCCTAGTCTTGCACGTAAGCCCACAAACCGCCAGATAAATCTGGACCCTGTCCGATCTACGAGAACCTGGCGAACACTATTAATCAGGTCTATAAAGCCATCGAATATCTGGTGTATGTTATTTTTTCTCTGTGCTAGATGGAGATTCCTTCGCTTTTAAAAAAATGCTTGGCTTTCACAAGTCTCATAACGTGACATGCTTAGCTCTTTACACTAGATGTTGTCTGAGACACCCCAAGATTCTCCTGAATAAAATCAAGATAGCTGCTGACCCTGGTATACAGCCCGGGATACTGGCCGCAATCAGAATACCAGGATGACCTGCTTGTAATACCAATGATAGTTGCCGTCCCCTGGTCGATAAGAGGACTGCCGCTGTCCCCTCCGCATGTATCCTTGCCATCCCCACCAGCACATACTTCATCCTCTATACCAGTTGCATTCCAGGACTCGTTTGTACACTTCTCACGAGCGCGAATATGAACAAGAGCCTTGTGTAATTGATCGAGTGGATGACCATCGTTGTGTACCTGGCCCCTTGCCTATTAGTTAGCATCTTTTCTAACTATATCCTGTCAATAGTTCTAAACCTGATAGCACTTACCAGCCCGCGATTGTTGCAAGGGAATTAGCCACGGGATCTGAGCCGGCTGCCGGAAGATTCGCATAGCCAATTGTGTCGCTCTCCTGGATTGGAGTTGATAATTTTAAAATGGCAATATCATGCTTAGGATAACCTTTTCTTCTATGCCGAAGGAAACCAGGGTACACTATACGTTTCGCCGCTATGACTTGTCCGCCCGTAGTTCTATTCTGTAGAATAGTTAGCTCTTTATGGTTACTCGTATTTTCTCGGCCACGCAAGGTACTAGACGCTCTAGTAGCTAGAGGGGTGACCTGATAAATGAAAAAGGAGTATAGTTACCAGCGTCCCTGCCCGTACAAGCCATTCCTGAGTCTCTACAACGCAATGAGCAGCAGTTAAAACTGTAGTGCTGTCTAGTAGACTGCCTCCACATGTACGTTTTAGAGTATTGGTAATTGAAACGAGAAATGGGAATTCACCATCCTTGGCGGCTTCTCCGCCAACAATAATCCTCTTGTCGAGAGTTGCTGTCGCTGACAAGACAGCAGAAAATAATACAGCCAGAGTAATAACAATCTTGCGTACCATTGTAACGATGGGAGTTGTGGATAGGTTGCTAATAGTAGGTGTGCAAAAGAGAAACGTATAAGATGGCACGTCAAGATTTGGATGGGTTGTCTGCTATATTTATCCTGGCACCTATATATAGAGAGAGACCAAGTAATACAAGAAGCGTGAGGGACTTGGAATTACAAATGTAAGCCAGTATCATGACTCGTTGACATGCTTTAAAACATATACATATCCCCAGGCTCATCTTAAATTCAAGCATGTCGTATCTACAGCGGGGTGAGAGGTGGAATGGGATAACCGCTACCGGGTCCCGGGCAATTCCCCTGTGCTACTCGGTATCAGTCTTTGCATAAGATAATTGATGATTACCGTATGCCACGACGTGATGATACCTGTCATGCATTACTATCGGCCGCTATGCTTCGACGAAGTAAGTACCCAGTAGCCCACTTGGCCTACTAGGGGTCCTACGAGTCAAGGTCTATTAGTAGTAAATTCAGTCGCCTAATCGTGCTTATTAAACTAATATATTAATGTTCAGTTGTTTCGCTCTGTAGTCAAATAATATTACACGCATAATACTATTAAACTAATATATAAGTAAACTTACTAATTCTTATAAAAATTAACTAGGAGAAAATAGTATAAGAGAAAATCCCCACTATAATTTAGTAGCTCAAGTCCCTTTGTCAGTCTGCTCGCAGTCAGTCGCCGCGTTTAGGATCACGGCCCTACCGTTGGTGACATGGCATAGTTTTGCTTCTTGTGCCCCGCTGCATGTCCTGCCAACTTGCAAGGAACGCCCTGCGACGCCCTCGTCTCTTATGCCAACAATTCTCTAACTCTGTAATCGACGAGAAAGTGGATATGAGAATTGACAGCGCAGCAGGGACTGCCTGTCCTGGATCCCAATGCTCCGGTTTCAAAAAACAAAATCGTGTTTTCCAAATTCATTATTCAAAAGGCCAGAACAATAGAATCCCTACCTTTGATACCACAATCACATAGACTTGCACCCCTTCCAGATTTCCCAAACAGCCCGATGACAAAATCCGAGTTCGTCTATTGGGAGCTGTACGCATAAGCGCTGTAGCCTACATAACTAACCTGATAGGGTCAGGGACTCCACAACCCACACCCCTTAGTGTATTCTACACATAAAAAAATAAAAATATATTATTTTCTACCACGCGCCTGTTAACCTTTAATTTCAACCTTTAATTTTAACCTTCAATTTAGGCCTTTAATTTTGACCTCCAATTTTGACCTTCAAATTTAACCTTTAAATTCAACCTTCAATTTTGACCTTCAAATTCAACCTTCAATTTGGGTCTTCAATTTTAACCTTCGAATTCAACCTTCAAATTCAACCTTCAATTTGGGTCTTTCATTTTGACCTTCAATTTGACCTTCAATTTGGGCCTTCAATTTCAACCTTCAATTTGACCTTCAATTTGGGCCTTCAATTTCAACCTTCAATTTGACCTTCAATTTGACCTTTAATTTTGACTTTCAAATTCAACCTTCAATTTAGGCCTTCCATTTTAACCTGTCATTTATACGTAAATATCACGATTTCCACTCAATTACACGAAACTTACATATAAGGGTGTGGCAGCCTAGATATGTGTGTATTAAAAGCGGGGCCGATATGGGCTACAGCGCTCATGCATACAGCTCCCAATAGATGGACTCATACGAGGCATCCCGGAGAACTGTCTCATGTAAAGCAGGGCTGAGTTAGTCTCAGACACGCTATTCCGCCCCACGGACCATGCGAGATTCAAAAGTGCGTTACTCCATGTGTTACACGGAAAAGGCCCAACAGATCGCGAAGCCCAACAAAGGGGCTTCACCGATAAAGGAACCTGTTGGTTACACAGCTAGAACACGTGCCCGGGCAAGAGCTCTAGGCCCGGGCGTTCCTTTCATGTATATAAGCCGTTACCTTTCCCTTCCTTCCTCTTACCAACTTAGGACCTTTGACACCCTACGAGATTATTATTGAATTGAGCCCTTTTGCTCCAAGCCTTCACATTGAACCCTTGTCACACCATGGCCAATATGAGCCGATTTCTTTTTAACTTCTTTTCACTCACGGGGCCTATACCTACGTAATAATATAAAAGTACAAAAAAGAATAAATTATTATATATTAAGCTATAATAATTATATAATAAAATTACAAAAACTATAAAAACCTTAAATATAAGCTATTTTATATATATATATAATATAAAATAAGCTTTTTTTACTTTTAAGGCTTAAAAAAACTAAAAACCTTTAATATTACTTGAGATTATTTCTAGATTAAAGCCTTTACCTTTAAACCCTTGTATTATAAGCCTTTATTAAACAAATATACTAGTATATACTTTATACGGGCGTTTTGGAGCTTCGACTTTAGTTAGACGTGCCATGGGCGAGTGGCTGCCCCCGATGTAACGGCTAAGGTTCCCAAGGGATAAACTAGTTGTAGTTTATGTTGGCAGAGCCACTAGGGCAGTCAATCTGAGCAGTTGGGTGTTACGTTGGTAATAGGTTGTAGACCGTAACCAGGTGATCAGAGTCAAAGAGTTGTAAGCGAAGCTTATTTAATGTAATGATCGGTGTTGAAAGCTAAGGAGCTAGAGTCTATCTATGAAGCGAATTTGGGGGTCCTTATATACTACGGCGTTTACCTGTTGTTCACTGAAGTCCTGGTGAACTATGGTTATATGCGTGTTACTGGTTTGTCTGGAGTTCACTAAATAGTTAGTGAACTCTCCCCTATTGGCGGCCCGTTCCGACTATTAATCCGTTACCTGCTGTGCTTGCGCTGTCCCGTGGCTTATGCAGCTGGCCTAACCTGCGACCTACGCTGTAGCTTGTGACTGGGTTGTAATACGATGTCCCCTCTCCTATGGTCTTGCCCTTAAGATCTAAGCCTTGTTTCATAAATAGTCCTGTTCGCCCTTTCTTCCGTTGGTCGTAAGTGTTCTGCTTCCTCGCAATGTCCTTCCTTCACCATGTCTAACCGTGTGGATAAACCTAAGAGATCCCGTTCTACCACTAATCGCGTTGCGACCGCCGCCTTCATTCGTGAACAGGGTTTTGAGGTATCGCCCTGTAGTTGTTGTTTTGAAAAGAAGAGTTCTTGTTGGGTTGTTGAGAGTATTGGTTGTTGTGCTCTTTGTTATTCTCTGGGTCGTTCTTGTGATAGTTCTCGCACTCCTATGGCGAACTGTACGTGCGGGGTCTTCCTGCTGTAGTGTGTATTGCTGACGTGTTCTAGTAAACCGTATTACCGAGGAACTTCGTCGGCTCGAGAAGGAGGAGGAATTGATGGAGGAACTGTTAATTGAGAGGCGTCGTAAGGCTCAGCTGGAAATAGATGAGGCCTTAAATCGTTTGATGCGTCTTCGGCGCATGCGTTGTTATTTGCGTGAGAAGGGTCTGGAAATGGCTCGTCGTGACTTCGCTTCTTTGGAGGAGATGGAGGATGCGGATTGAAAGAAGGAGGAGGAGGAGGCTCGGAAGCGTGAATTGGAGCAGGTTCAACGGCAAGAGTCTGAGGCTGTTTGAGATGCTTAAGACTGGGGTGCCTTTGATGTTTTGGACTGGGGCGCTTTGCTTAGCGCTGAGTCGTAAGCTGCTGGTGATACTGCCGTAGCAGGTGCTGGTAATTCTTTAGGTGTTCCGTAGGTTCCCATGTGTTTTTCTTGTCTTTATAGTTTTTCCATTTAATGAGATATTGGCGTGTTTTGTTTTTTGTTCTTATGTCTAGGATCTGTTCTACTTTGTATTTTGTTTTGTTTATGACTTTGATGTCTTTTTCTGCTAGTGCGTTACTTGGTGCCTTTTTAAGGAGTGAAATGTGTACTATAGGATGATTTCTCATAGTCTTTGGTAACGAAAGTTTATAGTTGTTTGTTGATATTCGTTTTTTGATGGCGAATGGTCTTAATTTTTTGTAATCTAATTTGTTGCTTGGTCGCGTTGTTTTGATGTTTTGTTGGAGTAGGTAGACCATGTCTCCCTCCCTAAAGATTGGTCCCTTTAATCTTTTCTGATTATGGTATTGTGCTATTCTTTTTCGTACGAATTCTAGTTCGTGTCGTATTTCTTCGTGCAATTTTTTTAGTTCATCTGCTTGCAGCATCGCTTGTTCTGCTTGCGGTCCTTCACGCTGTATTTGAAATACTTTGGGATTAAATCCGTAATTGGCGTAGGCTGGTGTTTGCTTTGTTGATTCTGATATTGAGCTATTGTAAGCTAATTGCGCTGTAGGTAACTATTTAACCTAATTGTCTTGTTGATGGTTGATGTAGTATTGCAGATACTGTTTAAGCGTCTGGTTTAATCTTTCTGTTTGTCCATCTGTCTGTGGATGATATGTAGTGCTTAACTTGTGATTTGTTCCAAGTTATGCTATAAGTGCTTGCTAAAACTTAGAAGTAAATGTACTTCCTCTGTCCGATATGATTTCTTCTGGTAGTCCATGGTTGCTTGCTATTGTTCGTAAGAATATATATGCAAGTTCTTTTGCATTGCTTGCTTTTTTGTACGGTAGAAAGTATCTATATTTTGTGAGTCTATCCGTGACCACGAATATGCTGTTATATTCCACATTGGTTATCGGTTTTTTCGACATTGGTAGCTTTGTAATATGATCGAAAGCTATTGATTCCCATGGTCGTGTTGGTACTGGTAATGGTTGTAATTCTTTGTATGGCTTATGTTGTGAAGCCTTACTTTTTCCGTATTGTATGTATTTGTTGATAACCTTTTTGACCACTTTTTTGATTCCTGAGAAATCGTATTGTCGTCGTATCTTATCCAGTGTTTTGCGGATTTCTTGATGTTTGTAAACTGGGTGTTTATGCATTTCTTTGATGCATTCTTCTTGTAAGTCTGGTGGTATCCAGATTTTTTCTCTATATATTGGTACTCCTCCTGGGTAGCATGTGCATCCTATCGGTACGTCTCTAATGTGTTGGATATTGTTTGTTGCCTATTGGTGTATTTTGCCGTATACTGGGTCTTCTTTTTGTACTTTTAATATAGTATTCAGTTGTCTCTGCTGGAAATTGCTATTTTTATTGATCTTAAGGAGTTGTCCTGTTGCTGTAGGTACTCCTGTATTGTAGTTGCTTTTTTGACTTAGAGCGTTTGCTTGTCCGTTCTTGGATCCTTTTTGATGGATGATTTCGTAGTTGAATTCTGAAAGATATTTGGCCTATCGAATTTGTTGTCTATTTAATTGTTGCGTCGTCGTAAAATGAGAGATGTTCTTATGATCGGTATACACCTTAACTTTGTGTTTGCTTCCCATGAGATAGTGTCTAAATTCCTTGAAAGTATTGATGATTGCTAGGAATTCTTTGTTGTAGATGGGGTAGTTGAGTTCTGCTTTATGAAGTTTTTTTAAGTAGAATGTAATAGGGTGTAGTTTTCTGTTATTGTCTCTTTGTCTAACTTGTGCTCCTAGAGCAAAGTCTGATGAGTTGGTTTCTAATTCTGTTTCCTTTTCTGGGTTGAAGGTTCTTAAAACAGGTTTGGATGTGATGAGTTCTTTGATCTTGTTAAAGGCATATTGCGCCTTATCGTTCTAGTCCTACTGCTTATCCTTTTTGGTGAGTTTATCTAAGGGTGCTGCGATTTCGCCGTAGCTCTTGATGAATTTCCTGTAATAGTTTGTAAAGCCTTTAAAGCTTTGTATGTCCTTGATATTCTTCGGTGTTGGCTAGTTCCTTACTGCTTTAATCTTTGTTTTTTCTATTTATATCTTGTTTGGTTGTATTATGTGTCCTAGGAAGTTTACTTCCTGTGTATGGAACTTATATTTTGCTGGTTTAAGTAATAGTTTAGCGTTTTGTAGTGTTCTTAGTACCGTGTGTACGTGTTCCTTGTGGTCTTCTAGGGTTTTCGAGAAGATTAGTATATTATTGAGATATATTACCACGAAGTTATCTAAATATTCTTGTAGTACGCTGTTAATTATTCTCTGGAATGTTGCTGGTGTATTGGTGAGCCCTATTGGCATTACTAAATATTCGAATAGTCCGAACTTCGTTCTGAAGGCTGTTATCCATTTGTGACCCTTCTTTATTTGAATTAAGTTGTATGCTCCTTTTAGGTCTACCGCGGTGAACTAATTTATACCGTGTAATTGGTCCCGTAGTTCCGATATTAGTGGTAACGGTGTTTTGTCTTTTATGGTAATTGCGTTTAATTGCCGATAATCTACTACTAACCGTAATTTTCTGTTTTTTTTTGGAATAAATATAACTGGGTATCTAGCTTCTGATGTTGATGCTTTGATATAGCCTTTTGCTAGTATCTTGTTGATGTATTCTTGTAACGTTTCGAGTTTTTTTGCGTTTAAGTTGTAGATCTTGTGGAATGTTGTTGACTTTCTATTTGCTAATTCGATTTTATGATCCTATTGACTGTGTTTGGGTAATCTGGTTTTTAATTCTTCTGTGAATAATTTTTCGTATTTCCGGTATTTCTTAGGGATATTCTTGAGTTTTTCTTCTTTTGTTATTGGGCTTTTGTTGTCTTTATTGTTCTTGTTTCTCTTTTCTCCTTTGAGTTTCTTGTTTGTGTTCGCGAGGTCTTTCCTTAAGGTGGCAATAACCTTTCGGATCTTGGCTTTTGTCTTCTTGTTGCTTATTGTTGTTCGTATCCCGGTTTGTAGCGCCGTTGAGGTTGTTACGGTGGATCTAATTGTTTTGACTGCTTTTTTGCCGCTTGTTTGTTGTCGTTGGTTCTTGGATAACTTGCTTGAAGGTTTTTTTTCTTTAGAACTCTGTTTATGAGCTAAGTTATAACGAAATTTCGTTCTTTCTTCTGAATTCTGCTGATTCTGTTGGCCTGAAGTCTCGTTCCACTTTAGTTGGCTTGTCCTCTAGTTGATTAGTGGGTTACTCTCCTATAACCATGGGTACCCTAATACTAGGTCGTGTTCCGATACGTCTATAATATTGAGTTGAATCACTTCTGAATGACCTTGAATCTGTACTTCGAGATGATTAGTCTCTTGGTTAATGATTCCGTTATTATAGGCAAAAAGTTTTCCTTTGATATTAGTTAACTTGTATGGTGCCTTTTTGTGTTTTTACGGTAGTTGGTAACGATTTATAACTCTGGGTGAGATATAATTGCCTATTGCGCTACTGTCCACAAGTATGCGAACGCGATGTCCTATGACTTCGGCGTCTAATACCATCTTATCGCTTTGTCCGCTTTTGGTTGCGTTGAGGGTTATTAGCGTCTTTCTCTTTATGCCAGCTTGTAGCCCTTTTATAGATGGCGTGCCTTGTTTTTTGAGTTTTTCGGAATAGATTCTTTTGCGATTTGTCGTTTTATTTCTTGGTACTATTTTGTAGGTCTAGTTCTATTTTGTGGGTGCTTAAAGTAAAACCCATTGTTAAATATTTGATATAGGCGATTGTAAATTTGGTTTTTTATTTCTCCGTGTTTTTTGTATCTTGGGTTGTTGTAGTTTACCGTATATTTCTTGTTGCATCTGGGGTTGAACTTCCGTTCGTTGTACCACTTATCCAGATTTTGTTTATTGTGGTATGTTGATTCTGTGGTTCCCCTGGGGTCTTTTTGTTCGAGTATGTCTAATGCTTGTTGTGTCCGTTTGTATGCTGCTGGTGTTCCACATTGCTACTTGTGCTATTCTCTGGCCTTATCTACCATATGTTCTGAGCAATTTGGTAGTGGGCATTCTATTCTTTCCTGGGTTTCTTGCATTTATTGGCGAAATGTCCTGGTTTTCCGCAGTTGTAGCATTTCTTTTCCTTTTTGTCGTCTTTCTTGGTAGCGTCAAGCTCCATTCGTCCAGGGTTAAGAGTGTGACTATAGGTAATAGGTTCGTCACGCTTTCTGCGTTGATTGGCTTGGTAACTCTTTCCTTTGGTAGGGTTCTAGGTTCCTTTACCCTGTTTCTTCTGTATGCGTCGCTGATACTGTTTGTCATCGATTTGTACCGCTATAGCGATGTAATCCGATAAGTTGTCTGGTCTGTTTTCTCTGTAGAGTTTATCTTTGACTTCTTCCTTAAGTCCTTTATAGAAAGCTGATATAAGAGGTTCGTCCTCCTAGTTAAGCTGAGATGCGAGTTGTCGGAAGCGAGCGGCATAATCGGATGCCGATCCCTTCTGCTTGAGCCCGTCGATGTAGTACTTAGCAGCTCTAGCTTCATCAACTGTTCCAAAGGCTTTCTTGATGGCTTTTTCGAACTTATCGTAACTTTCGAAAATGGTGTTGGTTTCTTCTTTGCGGTCGTCTTTTTCTTTATTAAGGTAGTCCCTCATAATGGGTTCAAACCATGCGAGTGCCACTCCCGTCATACATCCTCCTGCGTGCAGTACCTTGACAGAGGATTCTTCCATTTTGTTCGGGAATTGTCGGTGGTAAGCCCTGAGTTGAGTGAGGAATCCTTGAAGCGCACCCGGGGATTCGTTGTATGGTCCTGGTGCCCTGGGTCTAAGGATTTCTCCTAAGTCCTTTTTAATTGTGGCAGCAGTTGTGGCTTGTTCCTGCTGTTCTTCTTCCATTTGTTGGACCCGTTCCCGAAGGCGTATGATCTTAGCAAGTATCTTGTGAGCAGAGATGGTTGTTGGTCCTTCTTGGGTTTCATTTGATCCAGATGCGGTGGTAGTCTCGCGTGGTGCTATATTGACAGTTATCAGGTATTGCTCAGAGTGACGCGGTAGTAGTCTGAATAAGAGCTTTTAACGTGTAACGGCTAAGGTTCCCAAGGGATAAACTAGTCGTAGTTTATGTTGGCAGAGCCACTAGGGCAGTCAATCTGAGCAGTTGGGTGTTACGTTGGTAATAGGTCGTAGACCGTAACCAGGTGATCAGAGTTAAAGAGTTGTAAGCGAAGCTTATTTAATGTAATGATCGGTGTTGAAAGCTAAGGAGCTAGAGTCTATTTATGAAGCGAATTTAGGGGTCCCTATATACTACGGCGTTCACCTGTTGTTCACTGAAGTCCTGGTGAACTATGGTTATATGCGTGCTATTGGTTCGTCTGGAGTTCACTGAATAGTCAGTGAACTCTCCCTTATTGGCGGCCCGTTCCGACCATTAATCCGTCACCCGCTGTGCCTGCGCCGTCCCGTGGCTCATGCAGCCGGCCCAACCTGCGACCTACGCTGCAGCTTGTGACTGGGTCGTAACACCCGATGTCATTTTCGCAGCTTGAGACTATTACGCCGTCTTTTGCTATTTGCGGCGTGCTAATCTACTTGGTCTTATAAACCCCGGAATATTAGAAAAATACTGGTTTCAGGCACCCCGGCCGTGTATGTGCTGGCACTGGCCTCGGGACTTGTTGGCGCCGTGGCCTGTCCAGTCTTGGCTGTTGATTATAAGGCCAACTGGACAAAGTGCATGCTTGTGTTTGGAGCAGGTGGTGGATAGTACTAGTCCTTGTTGTCCTTTTTTGCCAACGGTGATGCAGGCCACATCTTACCGAGGCGTAAAATGTACTGATGACGCTGATGGCTTTGAAGATGGCACGGAGCAATATACAAATGAGTGGTTATATACCAAATTAACACCCAAACAGTCACATACGACCACAGCCGCCAGTAGCACTCACGATCCCGTCCGATCTCGTACGATAACCTGGCGAGCGCTGGATTAGTAGTTGGGTCGGTGACGACCAGCGAATACCCAGTGTTGTATGTTTTTTGTCTTATAATTTTTTTGCCTTTTTGATGCTGTCAATAACTACAACGTACGCTAGTACTATTTATTACCTTTTGCAAGATGGTGAATATTCTTAAACCATGTCCATAGAGCTCAAGGTTGGCTGCACATGTGGCGTGCATGAACTGGGGTCAATGCCGACGGATAAAATACGAGGTTCGCGGCCTCAATTGTGCACAATTTTCACACAAATCTACAAAGTCTCTACGGCCTGATCCGAGCTTCAGCCAGTAGCCTCGATCTACCGCCCCGTCTCATCAATGGCTTGCCGCTCAATAGCATGCTTGTTGAAATGGCACGCGTGGCATGACTCTCTCGACTTGAGAGGTAAGTTATAACCAGCAGCCAAGATCAAAATGGGTGCATGTACCTATTCATCTCTCGAGTCTCGACACTGTCGAGCCAGTCCAACACGCCGCCCCGGCACACTATTCTTGAACACCCGCCAGAGCATCGCCATGCACGTAACAGACATCTTCCCTAGACGTATAAAATGTCCTCGATCTGAGCATTGAAGGGGTTGGCAAGCGTGCATCAACTACGCTTGGTAGACACCTGAGACGGCACGAGAAGGTAGGCGGGCAAGACGGGACCGGCGTCTCCTTGTCTCTCCAGCGATCACGAAGCGAGCATGAATCAGTACAAGTTGTCTCGATGGAATGGGCTTGATAAGAGCAAACAAACATGTTACTATCTAAATAATTTAAATCACGACAAACTGACTTTTTTTTGGTCCGAGGGGCAGCCAGTCCGGAGAGGAACAGGCTTGATAGAAAAAGAAGAAAAAGACAGACGGGGCAAAACAAACAATAACAAGATTCCATAACGATCCGCCTTCGGCCTATCACGCGTGGTAGTCGGTTGAGCCATTCCGCGCATCTGGGAGCAGGTGCCTCTTCGGCTTCCCGTAACTCACTCACTCAGGTGCCGTGATAATAATCATCCTTTCCGAAGAAGAGCAGCAGTTAAGCTGGCGTCCCGATTCTTTTCGCATGCATTTCAGCAAATATTCTGGCCATGCGAAATGCGCAACCGCTAGACTCAGCGCCTAAGGTCTCTTCCTCTCCTGGTATTGCCCCATGTGATGTTGGGATTCGCTTCGAATTCGATTCGAGATGGGTCTCTTGCTTGGAGAATGGGCGGGGGCACCGTCTTCTCTCTGCATTCCCGGATAAACTCGTCGACGTACTCGTCCAATGTCATTCCCTTTGTCGGCTCAGGGGGAGTGTACCGCTCAACCTGCTGGGCCTTGACTAGACTGACGCGCAACCTCTCGCCCTGGGTACTTTCCATGTGATAGTTCTCTCCCTGGAAGGTTTTCTCGTCAATGACTTGAGCCTCGTATAGCTCCTTCCAGGCCTTCTGCGCGTCTTGTTCGTTTGCGAAGAAGGCAGAGACAAGCTCCCGGCTGGGAATCAGGTAAATCACTTGTAGCCATTGTTCCGCCTCTGATTCCATGAACAAATGGCGAAAAGCTGTGATCTGGATGTGGTTCACGACGTCCTCGGGGGTGGCTCTTGTGCCGGCAAGTTTGACATATGTGCCAATGCAGTCGTAGAAGTACATGCTGTCGTGCAGACCCCTGAGTTTGTCCTGCATTGCAGACTTTGATGCCAACGTGTCTATTGCAAGACTGTTAGTACAAAACTTTTCATCGGAAGAATATGCCACCTACATTCTTGACACATTGCGTGAGGATTTGGACCGACAACAAACTAGGGATTCTGAGATAAGAGGGGTTTGTTTTGTCGTCTTATGCTGGCTTCGTACACAAGTCTGGCGGCAATAGGACTTTGGGCGGGCTTTTGAAAGGGGCGAAACGGTATGGTCTCTAACTTTCGATGAGATGAAGCTCTGTCTTTCTCATATACAAGCTGGGGATGAAAGACGCTATATATACTTTGCTGATCCTCACTATACATGAACAACATACCCAGGACTTCTAATACACAACGGTTGAACAAGAGGATCTGGCGCAAATACATATCCAAAGCACATGACGGACTGACCCTGTGCAGTATGCACTGACACAGAGCACCCTTACCTACTCGAATTTGGAGTCACGGGAACAGGAATCCGATACGGAATATCTGGAAGCTGTCAAGGCATGAACCAGTTCGACGTTGGGCACTCGACGCCGGGACATTGAAGCAGCCTTGAATCTTAGTTGAGCTACGATTGCATTGAACACGCGCAACGAGATTCAACACTCACAGGTAGACATCAAATCGTTTGTGCCCTTGGGTTGTGCCGAACCTCAAAGCCGTCTTTGTGTGCGGGGGAGGAGGGCGAGCCATATCCCCAGCTCTTTGTATGTTCTCAACCCGCAAACAGACTCTGTTCTTGCCTTGTCCCTCTTGTGAAGTTCTGAGTAGTCTTGCATAGTCACTACCCGGGAGACCTTTTGGCCTCCAGTTAGAATGTTATGAATCCTGGTCCATGCGGACAAATGCATTCCCGTCTCGGCCCGGTTTGGCTTCACCGAAGAGAGCATCGATCACGGCTCTAAGCCTGCCTCAACTGAGATCAAAGAAGACGACCATGTTCCAACATTGAAAACAAAGCCATGGAGTCTGAACTGTAAGCTGTGAAATGCTCATGTCAAGGAATAAAAAAGAGCAAGGATACAGCAACCACTTACAACAATACGCAAACCAGCAATCAGACAAAGGCACCAAGACGGAAACAGGAACAGATCAGCGCCAAACCCATGGCCCCTCTGCAATAGTATTCTCATTTGGGTCATTGATAAGCGCAACATGGCACGCTCCACGTTGACGCTTATTAGCGCCCTCCGGCTTCCATGTTTCCACGCCCTCAATGTTGCGGGGTTATCAACTCATCACCAATAGATGCGCCTCTTGTGGTTCGAGCCCCCCCCAGCAGAGCCAAGCTCACGGGCTGTAATAAGTCGGACGCCAAGCTGCTAGAACTAGCCCCTTCACAAGCAGCATATCGCCGCCAATGAAATCAGCGCCATCGCAGCGTCTCGGACAGGCGGATGGGCAGACCATGTCGATGATGATGGATTCGATGAGTTGCGATAGTTACCAGACTAATGTTACGGAATCGTTAGCGCAAAGAATGAAAATCACCACCACTACAAGAAGCGCCCCTTCCCCTACTCTCGTGATCGTGTACAGCAACATCACTCTCACACCACCATCTCTCCCCAATCAACTTGTAGACTCAAGCCAACATGACCTGGCAAGACCTCGCCGCCAACAAGAAGGCCCATGTATCGGATGCTATTCCCCCGGAATGGCGGCTGAAGACAACCCCCTCGACCGACTCGGTCATGTCTGTCCCCAAAGAAAGCGGCATCCTCACTGACCAAGAGCTGGCCATCACCGAGGCGTCCGGTGCAGACCTTGTGAAGGACTTGGCATCTGGGAAATTGTCCTCTGTGGCCGTCACAACTGCCTTTTGCAAACGGGCTGCCTTGGCCCATCAGCTAGTAAGTAAGAGTTGCAGTGGCCATTCCTTTCTTCATTGGTTCCAATGTCCTTACCATTGTTAGGTCAACTGTCTGCACGACTTCCTCCCTGCATTCGCGCTGGCCAGAGCGAGGTACTGTGATGAATATCTCGACAAACACAAGAAACCCATAGGTCCACTGCACGGGCTGCCCATCTCTTTGAAAGACCAGGCCCGGATCAAAGTAGGTAGCTTCGAAGTCTGCCCTTGAGACGGGCTCAACTTACAAAAAATGCTAGGGATTTGAAACAACCATGGGATATGCCGGATGGATCGGCAAAATCGACCAACGCAACTCTGTTCTCGTAGACCTACTCGACAAGGCTGGAGCCGTCTTCTATGTCAAGACGAGTGTGCCACAGAGCTTGATGGTCTGTGAAACAATAAACAACGTCTTTGGCCGCACTCTGAATCCAAGGAATAAGAACTGGTCGTCTGGAGGGAGCTCCGGTGGCGAGGGCGCCATCATTGGTTTCCGCGGCAGCGTCATCGGTGTTGGCACCGACATTGGTAAGCTTGACTTGTGATTATTTCCCCCCAAAACTCTCTGACTCTGTATTAGGAGGTTCCATCAGGACTCCAGCGGCCTTTAACTTCCTATATGGCCTTCGCCCCAGCCACGGGCGGCTGCCATATGCCAGGATGGCGAACAGCATGGAGGGCCAAGAGACGATTCATAGCGTATGCGGGCCTCTTGCGCACTCCGTTGGGGATTTGCGGCTATTCACGACGGCTGTTCTTGAGCAGCAGCCGTGGAACTTTGACTCCAAGGTTGTCCCTATGCCGTGGCGACAGGGTGAAGCAGATGCTGTCAAGGCGAAGGTTTCGGCCGGGGGCCTGACGTTGGGATATTATTCCTGCGACGGAAATGTGTGTCTTGGCTGAGATTCAGCAACATATCACTGGTACTGCCGTCGAGACTAACTCGGCGTCACTAGGTGCTTCCACACCCTCCTGTTCTCCGGGCCGTCCAAACAGTCGTGGACAAGCTCAAAGGCGCAGGCCACGCCGTCCTCCCTTGGGAGCCATACAAGCATCCCTATGCGGTAGACCTGGCCAACCGTGTCTACGCATCAGATGGTGGCGCCGTAAGACAGTCGATCCAGTTCCCATCCATCTATCCAAGCCATCAATACGTTAACTGCTTACCTAGGACATCCATTCCGCACTTAAACTCTCAGGCGAGCCGGCGATCCCCAATATCAACGATCTCGTCAACCCCAGCTTGGAGAAGCTAGACATCAACGAAGTCTGGCAGTGCCAGTTAGACAAGTGGAACTACCAAATGGAATATCTCGCCGCGATTCGCAATTTTGAAGCCAAGACAGGACGGGAGCTAGATGCCATCATTGCGCCCGTCACAGCCACTGCAGCAATTCTTCATAATCAATTCAAATATTACGGTTACGCCACAGTAATCAATGTACTCGATTTCACGAGTGTGGTGGTTCCGGTCACATTTGCTGACAAGAACATCGATGTCAAAGCGGCTGGCTTTACTCCCTTGACCGATTTGGATGCAACTGTTCAAGAAGGATGTAAGTTGCTTTTGCTTTTTGGATCTGAAGTGAAGTATCATCGTTCTGACTATTTTCTCAAGATGATCCAGAAGCCTACCATGGCGCGCCGGCCGCTGTGCAGATCATTGGGCGACGTTTTACCGAGGAGAGAGTCATGGCTATTGCGGAGGAGATTGGCCGACTGCTGCATTCATGAATGTGTCGAAATTGGATTGATCGACGATGCCTCGTAGTTTAGCAACGCAGAGGCATGAAAGCCAGTCATCATCGTATGAGTTATTCAAAATAGTAGTGTCAACATACTTGGTAATTGTATCATTTATACCGAAGGTCAGCATATGCCTGGCTACGTTGTGCGCCAACAACCCTAGTTGTAGATCACTCAGGGGCCGCAGTGGCTTTAAAGGATGCTGAAGTCAGCAGTGGCTTTAAAAGATGCTGAAGTCAGATCTTGTGCATAAGATGGCGGGGCTGATATCAGCGCCGTTGAAAGGCGTATGCAGCACCAGAGCCGAAAATGGACACGGAATATTGGGAACTCAATTTCTCTCTGAGGCTTAACCCAGTATACCTGTGACCTAGGGCTGCTAGTGTCGGCTGCCCCTGACAATCTGAAAAAAGTTGGTGTCGAACTACTAGGTAGTCAAGAGGAGCCCTTGCCCACGAAGTGTGCCGGCCGTACATACTAGAAGGTGTGTGCGCTATTCTTGGAACAACAAACGGGGCCAGTTTGAGGCTATGGCAGCAGCACAGGCGAGATCTGGCTTGTGGGGGAACTGAGACCTGGACCAGGCTCAACCCACGAACTGATAGGATTGACGGGAATGACAGTACAATGCGTGCAAGAAGCAGCAGAGCGGTTTGCTGTGCTTGAGCCGTTTTCTCAATATTGCCGAGAAACAATGTTGTAGCCAGGGGCCAATGCTGCAAGGGAAACGGGCGATGTGCATTGGCACCCGAAGGTGAATACGAAGAATGACGTTGTGCGTGAAACAAGGCTGAGTGAACCTGTCCTGGATTTCGGAGACGGCAGTCATTGTGGTACTACATTAAACATGACGATCACAGGGTATCGAATCGGAATACACCGTGGCAGTTTTCTCTGGGTCGTACGGCAGTTGTGCTTGCAGAATCGTGTTTTGGCTGCTGGACGACATTGTCATTACGTGATCTGTCCTCCGTACAAGAGTATGGGGAAGGTAGAAGGTTGAGAATTGTCTTCTGGGCAATGACGAGACATTTAGGTCGGCCCGGGCTTTCATAACTATACTAGTTAGCTTCTCTGGTACTGGCGGTCTATGTATGCATGTTGAACTTCGATGCCTTGACTATGGAGAAATTGCAGTCAAGGAGACATTGACATAGCGACGGCGGTGGAGATTGGAGCCGCAAACACAGGATGGTTGGCACGAGGCGACCAAACTAGCCTTCTCGTGTTGCTGCACTGCAGTCAGGGTCTTGAAAAGAGGGTCCATCCGGAAGAAACTAGAGAGATCGTTGTGCGGGAGCTGCAGGCTGGTACATGGCGACAGAGGCTCGACGTTGCGGTTGCCATGACGAGGGCAACGGGCAACAAGGCTTGAAGGGCGTGAACTAGACCGTCCATGGACCCTAACAAGGGCCACCCCAAACGGGGTCCCTGAGCATGGGTCATTGATAGCCTGGCCTGGCCCGTCTCTCCAGCCTCGCAACCTTTGTTGAGGGAGAAGGGTCTTGAGGGGGTCACTCCGGAATTGGTGGCAACTGGACAACCCTTGCGCTATGATGTAGCTGGGAGGTTTAGTGGCAGTTTGAAGTTCGTACTGGAGTTGAGATGAGATGAGATGCATGTTGCGAGATGCGTCAATGAGCCTTGCTCTCGTCTCAGGTAGGCCCCAGACCAAAAAGAAGTATTGGAAATAGAGCAAAGATGCAATATTGAAAGAGGGATGATTGTTAGACGATAAAAGCACAAGCGTTTGGCGGCAAGGGCCATGGCAAAACTTCGCCTGGTGCAGCAGCGAGGGAAAGTGCGATGGTTGTTGGGCCAGCGAGGGTAGATGGGATCAGATGATTGGGCCCGACTATGGGGCCAGGTGTGCTGCGATCAGCCTTCAGGGGGCCGGTTGCCTTTGGGAGGACCGGACCAAACAAGGCCGGCATAATGATCTGCGAAACAAAGCAGCAAAGCAGCATACAACTTATATAACATGCACATATGCAAGAGCTGCAAGCCACTGAATCCTTAAGCTACAGGCGTATGTGTATTTCTAAAGTCGCCCGGCTGACGTTGCGATTGCTGTGTTCCAAAATATCCAGAGCAGAGTGGGCTGAGGCAAGAAGCCCGTCAACCCAGCCGAGCTTAAGGTTTTTAGTGCTAACTTTTTTTTCGAGTGCTAATAATGTGTGCTGACTGCCGCGCTGTGCCACCGTTGAGCATCCAAAACGCAAATTATGTCTGGTCTGGTACTAAACAAACCAGCCCAGCTCAAGTGTCAACATCAGCTGGCTTCGCCCTCAAACAATATCCTCCTTGTTGAATGGAGTAACTCCTCCGTGCCAACCCCCGTTTGTGACGTCGTGACGCCCCCGGGCCCCCCTACGACAGCAGACCTTGCTCGTCATGCTCGTTCACTCGTATTAATCCGTCGTCGCTACTCTGTGCCTTCTTTAGCCTCGCCCTCTGGACCCTCCTGCCTCCGAATTTCCCCACTTGCTGAAGCTGAGCCCCAAGCCTCAAACCAGTGGGCCTTCTTGGGCCTCTCTCGCTTGGGCTCCAGCTGCTCCTTTTCCTTGGCTCGTTGGTTCGTTGGCTGGCATTGATTGATTGAGAGTCGAGGGTTGCCCCCTGGCGCCGCCGTACATCATCCGGCCCCCCACCCTTCACCCTTCACCTTTCACCTGTACTTAAGCCAAACAGCTCCCTCCTGGACCATTTTCAACCCATCCATTCATCTCTCGCTATTCCTCATTTGCCGTCTAGAACCTCTTGATCTGCTTGCCTTCATTTCGTATTCCCATCTACCATAGCACTATAATATCATCTGAGGGCAAGGAATCTTCATCATGTGGTAAGCTTTCGTCGCTGTTGCTGTGCCCCGCCTTGGCTCTGGCCGCCAGCAAGTCTGCCCAGAGTCTGCAATTATCCCCAGTTGCGGCTTGCTTGCATCCCATTGCCGCCGCGGAATCTGTCTATGGGGCGCAGTATGAATGCTAACAGCTTCTCCCCCCAAAACAGTGGCATCTTTGGATACATCAACTATCTGGTGGAGAAGGACCGCAAGTTCATTCTCGATACCTTGATCAACGGTAAGTGGCTGACGCGCGGCTCCGGATCAAAACACAACGCCAAAAAGGCTGACATCAACCTTTCATGTCCCGAATAACAGGCCTCTCCCGTCTCGAGTACCGAGGATATGACTCTGCCGGTTTAGCAGTCGACGGAGACAAGAAGAACGAGGTCTACGCCTTCAAAGAGGTTGGCAAGGTTGCTAAGCTCAAGGCTCTTATTGACGAGTCCAATGTCGAGCTCACCAAGATCTTCGATTCGCATGCCGGTATCGCTCATACTCGATGGGCTACCCACGGTCCTCCGTCGACAGTCAATTGCCATCCTCACCGGTAAGCCTTTGTTCGACCCAGCCCTTTCCTTTGGGCATGTCCTTGCCATCACATTCTGCCTGTTTCCGGTAGCACAGCTTCCCCACCTCACCTACAAGACAACCCATTGGCTGACCTCACCGCTCCTTCATCATAGTTCGGACCCTACCTGGGAATTCAGCATCGTTCACAATGGCATCATTACCAACTACAAGGAGCTTAAGACGCTTCTGAGTGCTAAGGGCTTCAAATTCGAAACCGAGACGGATACGGAATGCATTGCCAAGCTCACCAAGTATATTTACGACCAACAGCCTCAAATTGGCTTCACAGACTTGGCCAAGGCTGTCATATCGGAACTTGAGGGAGCTTATGGCTTGTTGATCAAGTCCGTCCACTACCCACATGAGGTCATTGCCGCCCGTAAGGGTTCGCCGCTTGTTATTGGCGTCAAGACTCAGCGACGCATGAAGGTCGACTTTGTTGATGTCGAGTACGCTGATGACAACACTCCTCTCCCCGCAGAGGCCGCGTCTCAGAACGTTGCCCTGAAGAAGAATGCCACCGACTTCCTCTCTCCTTCCAACAGCTTGCTTGGAGCTCCCGACAAGTCTCTTCTGCACCGCTCACAGTCCCGTGCCTTCATGACCGACGATGGCATGCCCATGCCCACCGAGTTCTTCCTCTCGTCCGATCCTTCGGCCATTGTTGAACATACCAAGAAGGTCTTGTATCTTGAGGACGATGACATTGCTCACATCCATGAGGGCTCCCTCAACATTCATCGTCTGAAGAAGGCCGACGGTAGCTCCAACGTCCGTGCTATTCAGACTCTTGAGCTTGAGCTCCAGGAGATCATGAAGGGCAAGTTTGACCACTACATGCAGAAGGAGATTTTCGAGCAGCCCGAGTCCGTCGTCAACACCATGCGTGGCCGTCTCGACATCAATGCCAAGACTGTCACTTTGGGCGGATTGAGGTCGTATATTTCAACCATTCGCCGCTCCCGAAGAATTATATTCATTGCCTGTGGCACCAGTTACCACTCCTGCATGGCCGTCCGCGGTATTTTTGAAGAGCTTGCTGAGATCCCCATCTCTGTGGAATTGGCTTCCGACTTCCTCGATAGAGAGGCCCCTGTATTCCGTGACGACACTTGCGTGTTTGTCTCACAGTCCGGTGAAACCGCCGATTCGCTGATGGCTTTGCGTTACTGCTTGGAGCGTGGCGCTTTGACGGTTGGTATTGTCAATGTTGTCGGCTCCTCCATCTCTCTTCTTACCCACTGCGGTGTCCACGTCAACGCCGGCCCCGAGATCGGTGTTGCCTCCACCAAGGCCTACACCTCTCAGTTCATTGCCATGGTCATGTTCGCTTTGTCCCTGAGCGAGGACCGGGCTTCCAAGAAAGAGCGTCGCGAGGAAATTATGCAAGGTCTCGCCAATGTGTCCAGCCAGATCAAGACCATTTTGGAATTGGACAAGCCCATCAAGGAGATGTGTGAGAAGGTCTTCAGGAACCAAAAGTCGCTTCTCCTTCTTGGTCGCGGTAGCCAGTTCTCTACTGCTCTCGAGGGTGCGCTCAAGATCAAGGAAATTTCCTACCTCCACTGTGAGGCTGTTATGTCTGGTGAACTAAAGCACGGTGTGTTGGCCTTGGTCGATGCCAATATGCCTATCATTATGATCCTCACTCGTGATGAGATTTTCAAGAAGTCTCTCAATGCCTATCAGCAAGGTAAGACACTGCCCCGTTATTCGCCCTGACTTGAGCGGGCGCCTTTCAATCGTTGATGTTTTGAATCACGCTAACTGGAATTTACAGTCATTGCACGTGAAGGAAAACCCATCATCCTTTGCAACCCTGACGATCCCGAGTTTAAGAACTCGGAAGCTCAGAAAATTGAGATCCCTAAGACTGTTGATTGCCTTCAAGGACTTCTCAACGTCGTTCCCTTGCAGCTGATTGCTTACTGGCTGGCTGTTCTTGAGGGCCTCAATGTTGATTTCCCTCGCAACCTGGCCAAGTCTGTTACTGTCGAGTAAACAATAAACAAACGATGGACGTCAATTCGTGTATAGGCCATACTAATGTGTCTCGCTGGCGTGTCACCATAGTTCAGGCTGGGTGTTTGAGGCGCGCTTGGCAAACGGTACTTGTTGTTTCCTGCTCTTGGAGCGACTTTGGCAAGAAGTTGCAGCTGCATGGTCTCCGCAGCGATATTGGATGGATTATGGGAGTTATGTCTTTCTTTTGTTGTCATGGACGACTAGCGATTTGGCTGCAGAAATGTACACTGCACATTTGATAATGAAAGCGTCTGGTATGGATAATAAACCAGGCACTGTGTGTTAGACGGGTGAGGAATGCGCACTTGCAAGGTTTCAATATTAGAAACCTGGTTCTATGAACACATGGCAAATAAAAAATAAAAGCGAATTTTATATCACGAAAGAGTCCCAGAGTGCTTCACATTTGCTTGCGACGAGGAAGTGCAAGGTTGTAACAGATGAATAATGAGACTTGCATATTGGTACACGGTTCTATGCTCTAATCTAGCTCCATCGACGGTGTTGGCATGGGTCGTAGTGCAAAGCTCGGTTGTCTCGGAGACTAAAGAAGATCTCGGGTTCCTTGACAACCCTAGCCTTCATAAACAGCTAGAACGAGGATTCTTCAACCGAGAACATATAAAAGTGATGGGGTTCGTCCCTCAAGACAGCTTGCCTGCATCGAACCTGATAATGCACTCCTCGAATGTTGCACTCAAACGGTCTGTGTTCCATATCCCCTGATTCTCTCGGCAAACGCCCAGCTCTGATCCTCCAGCTTCTGATTCTCCTTCAGCTCCACACCGTCCTTGGTAACAATAGCCAGTGAGTAACTGTCCAGACTTCTGGCATCTCTGTAGAATAGAACCTTCATGCACTCCTTGATGATATCCACAGCTTCCTCGCGAGTCAGCTTTGCCGCGGACTCCTCGTCAGGAGCGTAACGTCGCATCACTGGCTGAGCGAGCATGGCACCGAACCCTGTAGCAAGGCTGGGTGCAGAATACGTTGTTCCGAGCAAATCTGCCGCAGCGAGGAACGGAGCGCCCTTGTCGTCGAGGCCTGCTACTAGGAGGTGGTTCCACAGAGGGTCGAACTTGGAGCGTCGGCGGTAGAGGAGCTTGGAGAGGTAGCGGTGCAAATTGGAGGCGTTGAGCCGCGCCGAGTCGGGAGAGTCGTAGGCCTCGGTGAGGGCGAGATCGGTTAGGTGGCGGTCGAGGTACTGCATGTCCGAGATGTCGCCGCTGAAGCCAACGACCGAGGCATCAGCAAAGGGGCGGAGACGTTTGACGTCGGTGAAGCGGGCGAGGGAGCCGTACGACGCTGGAGACTGTTAGTTTGCATTTTCGGCTTTCAAGAAGGAAGCTCCTGCATGGGAGGCTCAAAAGAAGGAAGGGGATGAGGGTGCGGTTCGAGAGGGCAAAACTAACCCAGGTTGTCGGCTGCAATGACGACACCGTCTTTGAACTTGATGGCAATGACGGACGTTCCCGTGACGATAGGCTGCTGGGTGTGTGTCGTAGGGCCATTGCTGTTCATGAATGAGGCGTCGTATGCACCGTAAATGTCATCTCTGGGCTATTTGAGGGTCAGTTCGCCGCTTGGGTGTTGAAAATGAGTAGAGGGAACTACGTACCCTGCCCCATGCTTGCGGTCGGTGATCCATGGTTGGTGATGTGAGGAGGTAGAAGATAAAGTGGAAATAAAAGAGATGAGTTTGAGTGCGCGGGAGAAGGTGCTCGATTGATGTACGAGCGACGAGGGCTGGCGATTGAGATGTGGGATATGTTGTCGATGGATGGAGTTCGATGATGTGAGCCGTGGTTGACTGCTGCTCTCTGGGACTGATGCTGTCGCGCGTCCTGCGGGAGCCTACCGCCCATGAGGCCCTGCTGGAGCTAAGGGTGTTACGTAATCGGGCAAGAGAATTTGATTGGCTTGAGAGCAGATGAGAGCTTAATCAGTACCTTGTACTAGACAGCCGCAATGCGTCTCCGCCCTATCGCAAGTAGTGGGTACTAGATTAGCCAGCTGCCTGCATCGGCATGGCTGAGCTTCAGGAGCTCCTCGTTCCTGGAACAACTGGAACAACTGGAACAAGGGTAAGTGGATAGCCAGAGCGGAGGGGGACATGCGACTGCCGCATGCAATCCCAGCCCTCGTCTATTTCATCCAAACGCCCATCGTCCAACGCTCCTCTGCTCTCTGTCTGTCTCGTGCCCAAACGCACACGCCGCGAGTTGCCCCATCTCCGAATTGACAGCAATCTGTAATTCATCGCGAACTCGTCAATTCACAACGCGCACAAGCTACCGACTTATACGCCATCTCAACCAAATCAAATAAACAACAATGCTGACAGCAATCGGGAGGGCTGCCGCCCGCAGAGTCCTGCTCCCCAGCAGAACAGCCGCATCAAAACATGCGACACAACTACCCCATGGATCCGTGGCTTATCACCTCCCCAATGCCTTGACTCTACTTGTCGCCGCCCGGCCCATGACCGTGTCGGCGTGGATGCGCTCGCCGGCCAAGACCTCTGGCAGCAAGACGAAGAGAACCAGCACAGCTACGAAGGAGAAGAAGACAAAGAAGACGACGACTAAGAAGGCCTCTGCAGCCAAGAAAAAGACTAAGAAGGCCGCTGCACCAAAAAGAAAAACCAAGAAGGTGCTGACTCCTGAGGAGAAGGAGAAGGCGGATCTGAGGGAGCTGAAGAAGATGGCGTTGTTGAAGAGACCGACCCAATTACCCGAGTCGGCGTGGGCCGTCTATGTGACGAACAATATTGGTGCTGGGGAGGGCAAAGTGACAGAGAGGATCAAGGAGGTTTCTAGTAGATTTGCTGGGCTGTCGGAGTCGGAGAAGGAGGTATGTTGCGCTCTTGTTCATTGGTGCTTCTACAATTGGTTGAACCCGTCTGCGGGAAATCAGTCGCGGCACCTTGTGGGAGGCAAGACATAGACATTCATTAGAGGTGCTAACAGACGCAGGGCCTTAAATCTACCGCTCAATCCAACCACGATGCCAACAAAAACACCCGCCAGCAGTGGGTCGAGTCACACCCCGTGGAGGCTATCTACATAGCCAACATTGCTAGACGCCGCATTGCCCGCAAAACCAACAAGTCGCGCCTCTACCTAATTCATGATGAGCGCCTGCCCAAGCGTGCTCGCAGTGCCTATGCGCTGTTCATTAAGTCCCGCTTCTCCCAGGTTAACAGTCAATCTGGCAGCGGCACGGCACAGGATACGTTCCGTGCTATGAGTGAGGAGTGGCGGTCCATGTCGGAGTCGGAGAAGCAGCCGTTCGAGGAGGCGGCGGCCTCGGAGGCGGAGAAGTCAGCGGCGATCTTCAAGGAGTTGAAGGAGAAGGCTAGGGTGTATTTGAAAGCCCAGGGAGGTGCTGCTAGGCACGTGCCTTCTGTGAGAGGATGAGGTGCTGAAGCAAAGGAACAAGTTGGCCATGCTTCAATGCTGCTGTCCAATCAGACCATGTGCGATATCTGTTGGCAGTCTAATGGAGAATAGAAGCAGAAGAATATACAGTAGATGCTTGGTTCAGCTTCCGGCCAAGACGCGGTTGTGTCTAGCCTCGTGGCGCCGTTGCCGATTTTCTTTTGTCGCGTTGGATGTCATGAGTTATTGTCCGTTTACTGTACATTAGCAAGGATAAATGCCATGTTTACTCGTTTCAACCCGTCCCATTCACTCGTCGTTTCTTACATTGCTAAACTCCCATGTATTTATATACATAAATCAACGCTATTGAATGCTCCCCCAATGCTAGGCGGTAACCCAAGGCAGACCTGTCCAACCAACACCACGCTATGCACCCAGTAACAAGGCTCCCCCAAAAAAGCAATTACTTTTTAGCAACCCCTTCTACTTCCAAAACAACTTCTCCTTCGGCATCAAACCACCGCGCCCCCGTGGTCTTGATCTCCCTCCCACTAGCAAGATACATGAGCAGATAAATATGTTTCGCCACATGTCCCCAACAATAAAAACGCATCCAATCATGCATTTTGTCCCGTCTACACCAGACCCCCCACCCGGCGAGTCCGCTTCTCAAGTAATTCGTCAGAAACACCCATGTATCAAGTCGAGTCTGGTCGGACCACGACGTGCAGTCTACCAGCCAGTAGCCCCTCTCAAAGGGGTCAATTTGGCGGGCTGATATCGGCTTATAGCGAGTGGAAAGGTCGCGGGAGAGTTTGTCGAGTTTAGGCGACACGAGCGAGGTGGGGTCCAAATTGACCGTTGACGTTTCTGGAGAAGGGGGCCTGATGTCTAGTGTGTGGGAGAAGAGCTCTATAGCGGAGAGGTCTGAGGAGCGGATTGGGCCGGTGTCAGATGTACTGCGGGCGAGGGGTACGTCTGTTTGGGGCGCGGTGGTAGCGGTGACGATGGCCTTGGTGCTTTTGGTTGGGGGTGGTGCGGATTCGGCACGGGGAGAGGACACGAAGCTGTTGGAAATGTGGGTGATGTCGAGAGCGTCGTCTTCTTGGAGGGGACGTTTGTGAAGACCGGCTGGGAGATGGGGTGTGACGGGAATAATATCGGGTTTGGGATAGGTTGGGGCCTCGTTGTCGGAGGGGATGGGTATCGACGAGGGGATGTTGATAAGGTCAAGGCTGCTTCTTGGTGAAGCGGCTCTGGCGTGATCCTTGGGCGAGGGAGGGCTTGATGAGGGCGTCTTTTGGAGATAGCGCTGCAGGACTCGAGTTGGCGTGACGTTGATGATGCCGGCGTCGGGAAGCGGATATGAGTCGCTTATTTGGCTGGGCGGCGGATTCCACGACGACGGCGAAGGAGTCGCGATTTGGAGCCTTCTTTGTAAGGAAGAGCGTGTATTTGCGCGTAGAGGCGGCGAAGCCCGATTATCTATTGCGCTCTGGAAGCTGAGGTCTTGGGATTCTGGACAGAAGGCTTCTTCCACAGTCGGCGTCACGTAGTCCTGACTGGACTCCGGGGGCGGTCCTGGCAACGGGTGTAAATCACGATGGCGCTGGTTGAGTGAAGGTAGTTGCGGTGTGCTTGCTGGGCAAGGCAGAAGTGTTGCGGGCGCGATAATATCGACTCTGCTTCCGGGCTGGAAAGCGAGATATGCCCGCGCGAGGTGTCTGTACGTGTCGTCATCGGAGACTTTGCTCGGCGAGGTTACGTGCACGAGGATCTCGACGTCGTGAGGTTCCATGGTGTGGCGGTCAAGGTTGCGGATTGTGTTGAAACGGTGGTCATGGCGAAGATGGGCAATTACGTAGTATATGCGCTGGTGTTGAAAGCGAGGTTGGAGCTAAGGTGAATGTAGTATACATGTGTAACTACAGATATTCACGAGCTGGTAGAACAAAAGAGCGCGGGGCGGTGGAGGTTTGTGGCTCGAGGGGAAGCCGAGGGCTGCCTAGAGGCGGTGATGATGACAAGTGGACCTGTTTCTCAGGATTTGAAGTCTTGCCGAAGCAGGTTATTGCTCCCATGTTGGAGGGCGTTGTAGAATTAACGCGTAGATGCCGGTTTATAGGCAGCTGTACGGATTGAGTGATTTGACGTCGTGAGTCGCGCCGGATCTGAGACCTGGACGCTGGATGTGGTGGAGAAGGTGCGAACGTGTACTGAGTACTTGGGTGCCTATACTTGAGCATGTTCTCGAGTATGTACTCCAACTTGTCCTTGTACTTGCTCAGTGTTCCAAAACCATGCCATTACACTGCGTATGGTGACGACCTGAGCAAAAACTCCACAAGCTGTGCACGGCAGCCCAGCCAGCTTAAACACCTTCGTGCCCAATTTAGAACAAGGCGTCAATACATCCAAGCTTGTGCGACCTGCTCAACATGCAAGTGCTCAACTGCTCGCTAATCTAGGCACGGATTCCCCACCTCTGCTTACATCGTGCAGATGCTCAACATCGAAGCCAAAGCCAACTCGAACCACAACCACCAAACAACCGAGCAGCATCTATATTGCCCACGATTTGTCGTTGAAATGGCTCTCGAACTGTCACCAGCATCCGCCTCTCCAACCGACGAGTCATTCCCCGTCGGCCATTACGCGCTTCACTTGTTCCCATTCAGTCTATACTCCATCATGTCACGCTTCACGTACATACCTAGGTACTTGGCAAACTAACAGGTCACATCACATGCAAGTTTCCTGCTCTAACAGCCGACAAACTCCCCTCGCCGATAACAGATAGTCTGTACATCTCATACCACATCTGCAAATACTGCCCGCACCGGCTCCCCCTGCTCACGAGTCGGTCATCAGAAGCATCATGATGCAACTACACAAGATTTACCCACTGCCTCTTTCCGTACCATTGGACGGGCTACCGTCTGGAGCGTGGCCATTGGACACGTTCATTTATTGCACCCAACGCGACTGATGCTCGTTGGCTATAACATGTCGAAACAATTGCAAAGAAGAAAAGAAAAACACCAAGCGACTACCTAGTAGTCAGGCCCAGGTGAGAGTGTAGATGACCCGGCCATTGCTCGCCTACCTGACCTGACCTGACCATTGCTCTATACATCTATGGCAACAGTTAGGGTTAGGGTTAGACATAAGATGACATCGACTTGTAATTCGACAAGAGCAATGGTCAGGTCAGTCGGGTGGTATGCACTTCTCGGCCGAGATGCATGCATAAACGCACCAATGAGCCAAGCCGTGCGACCCGCCCACTTAAATCTCCAACCTCAATTGGCGCCTTCGACAACACCATCCAGTCCTTCTCCGAACCCCCCTTTATAACCACCTAGGTACCACCCAACACAAACCAACAACTGACATGTCGAAGCGTGGCGATCTCGGCCGCGTCGTCGTCATCGGCGGCAACGGCTTCCTTGGCCACCACATCGTCAACATCGCCCTCTCCCAATGGACAAACCAATCTGTCTCGTCCATCGACCTCAGGTGCCAGCACAACCGCAACTCCTCCGCCTCCTACTACGAATGTGACATTACCAACAGCGAGCGCCTACTCTCCCTCCTCAAGGACCTCAAGCCCGATGTGGTTATCCACACCGCCAGCCCAACCCTTAGCAGCGAGACTAAAGTTGTCAAAGAGCTCTTCAAAAAGGTCAACGTCGACGGGACGCAATCTGTCGTCGAGGCCTGCCAAAAGGCCGGCGTCAAGGCCCTAGTTTACACTTGTTCCGCAAGCGTCATTAGCGATGCCCAAACCGACCTCAGAAACGCTGACGAGCGGTGGCCCGTGATCCGCGGCGACCAGCAGACTGAGTACTACGCCGAGACCAAGGTATCACGAAACTTCCCCATCCAACTCCTAGCACAAAACAGAAAGCTAATACCAACACAACAACCAGGCGGCGGCCGAACAACTTGTCCTCGCGGCCAACCGCTCCCCGCCGTCGAAGCTCCTCACCACATCCCTCCGCCCAGCGGGCATATTCGGCGAGGGCGACGTCCAGGCCCTGCACGGCTTCGTAAAAGCCTACCAGACCAACAAGTCGCACATCCAGCTCGGCGACAACACCAACATCTTCGACTTCACCTACGTCGGCAACGTCGCGCACGCACACCTCCTCGCCGCGCACGCGCTCCTCGTCACCGCCTCATCAGCCACCCAGCCCCTGGACCACGAAAAGGTTGACGGCGAGGTCTTCTTGATCACCAATGACTCGCCCTGCTACTTCTGGGACTTTGCGCGCGCCGTATGGCGGGCCTGTGGCAACGAAACCGGCACCAGCGGCGTGTGGACGTTCGGAAGAAGCACCAGCCTGACGCTAGGCCTGCTGAGCGAGATCTTTTTCAGCATAATTGGGAAACCAGCCACGTTTACAAGGACGCGGGCTAACATGGCGACCATGACACGATACTACAATATTACAAAGGCGAAGAGTGTGTTGGGGTATGAGCCGTTGTGGACGCTGCAGGAGGGTGTGGCGAAGGGCGTGGCTTGGTTTTTGAAGCAGGGCGAGAACAAGGCCTAGTTGGACGAAGCGGTGAAAGTGAATGAGCATATATTGACGGTAGACGGGGGCGCTAGTCAGTGGTGAAGAGGGTGTAAAAGGGGGGGATTACTGCATGTACGTTTTTAAACAAGAGATAAAGCCCTACGGCGCTTAATAGCTTCACCCATGCCAAGTACACACATGTCCACCAACGCGGCACATTTCACAGGTCACCATGATGCACATGTCGCGGGGCCCATTCATCTCCTCTATTGCTTGCTGCCAACAGGCCACCTAAAACTACCTATCACCAATGTCTCGCTATGAAAGTTCCCACATCCCAGGCGTTCACTCCACAATCCTCTCGCCACTAGGTGACTCAAACGCCCATCCTTTATACAAAAGGATAAACATTGAAGAATGGTTTTTTGTAAAAAAAAAAAAAAAAAGAAGAGGAAAAAATTCTTAAAAAAGACAAAAAGAGTCGAGGCACAGCTTTGGTGTATCAGCCCCCTCTTTTTTTCTGGTCTTCTCTTCTCCTCTCATCAAGAAATGAAAAAAAAAAAAAGGTCCACAACACGCCATGCTGAACTGAAATAAAGGTGTAACTGCCATAATCACCGACTACAGGCAACGGTTTCACCCAAAGAAAGAACAACAGTTCGCCAGAACAAGAAAAGGAACAAAAGGCCTCCTTGGCACGCTCGAGTATGCATTGACTGAGAACGCCTTCCGAAGACTAATAAAGAATTTTAAAAAAACGTCGCCAGCTCCATGGGAGATATCTGCCTCATTTGATATGAAGGCAAGCCCGACAATAAAGCTCAAGAAAAAAAACCAGGAGAAAAATGGCAACTCTGTCGTCACAAGCTCCCTCAAAAAATGCCGACAGACAAGAGCATAGTCGGCTAATGAAAGAATGTGCAAACAACCACCAAGATAGTCATGTCCGCATTATCAATGATGGATGGTACGATGATGGCTAAGAAGGCCAGAGGGGGTTCGGGAACAAAACCTGGCGAAATGAAAGAAAAGAAAGAGATATGGGATGGGGGACCTTTTGTGGTTTATCGAATGACCAAAGTGAGAATGTAACGCCGTTAATAATGCATGTGGCTACACCCAAAACCATACCTTTTTGTATGAGCAAAAGCGCCATGGCTAAATTCAGCTGCACGCCTTGAGCGCGAGTATGTAGAAACCCCGAAAGCGTTAACGCTCATCATATATTCCCACCAACACCGAGGCCACCGCCCCGACGGCCCCAGGCGGAGTTGCGCCAATCACCGCGCTGGACGTCCGCATCATCCAGATGGCTGTCAGAGTGGTTCAGCCTAGGATTGTACGGTCCTCGAGCATGGTCCCCTGGGCCCGGCCATCTTTGGGGTGGTGTCGCCTGGCCTGGGTTGACTGGTAGCGCCGAAGGATCTTGGACTCGGCGTACTGTTCTTTCACCTTGCCAAATGGACGGGTCGGTTTCCACCCGCTTAGGAGGAGATCGGGTTGACACATCCTGTCTATTGTAAACTTCACTGGTGTCAACAGCTGGCAGTTGGTCCCTGCGATCTTGGAATCGTTTGAGGATCTCCTTTGTCGTGATCTCCCCGCTGTTGCTGAAGATGAAAGGGTCGTTGAGTAATGTTAATAAATCGTCAGGGACCTAGACATTGTCACATTGTCAGAGACGTGGTTCATGTCGTTGTACTGCTGTGGCCAGGGTGTATTCCATGGGGTAGCAACTTACCTGACACATCTCCTCGATATTGTTGATAAGCATTTCCACAGCGTCTATGACATATATAGCCTCACCATCCAAAGCGGGGGCTTTGTTTGGGTTTGTCAAGATATTCGGTGCGATGACCGTGGCAAGATTTCTGATGTCCATCTTGGATCCGACATCATCGTCAAGTTGGTGAAAAGATCCAGCCCACTTCAAAAAGGAAAATAAAATCTCAAGACTATCACGATGACTCTTTGGCAAGAGGCAGCAAGTCAGGTGAAGACACTGCTTTCTCCTCTCTAAATCCGGGAGCTTTGCCACAGCGATCCAGAGGCTGTACAACTTGTGCGTCATGAGAGGGTCGGGGAGATCTCGAAGGTACCGCTTGAGTAGCGCTGCCAGTTGAACAACAGGCTGCTCCATGAAATTAACAACGTCACAGCCCTCCTGGTTGATCTTTTCGACCAATGCCTGCTGCTTCTTGATATTGCCGTTCTTTCGGAACACACCTTCAACCGACAGGTCCATCTTGCGCATTGAAGCAATAATGTCATCCACAATTGCAGGAATCCGAAGGGTCCCGGGACCAACGCCATCAGTCGAGTCGGCGCCGTCTCGTTCGATAATGATTTCCAAGGGGACTCCAAAAACGCCCTTCTTTTTTATATTCTTGTTTTTGTCGTTCTTAAATGCCTTACCAAGGTTCTTCCAGAATGTTGGTTGTTTACGTGATTCAATAAAATTTAGTAACTCGTCGAGCGTAAACTCTTGCTCAACCAAGGGGTGCATTGTTAACACGGCCAAGTGCCGGACGTTAAAGTACTCCAGGCCGGATAGCTCAGGGAAGAACTTGCGAACCATACGTGTGGGGATGGCCTCGGCAGCACGAATATCAGGGTCTCTCCCAGCAGATTGAGTTCTTTGATGGCCTGGAGGGCGAATACCGTCGATTCCGGGACCACGGAATAGATCTTGACGAGCGTCTCGGTCACGCTGTTGTTGCTCCCGAGATTGCTCCACAGCAACGATACGGGGAATATCGTCCAATGTGATGGCATCATTCTGCCCAAACATCAAGTCTGTCGAGCCTTGCAAGTCGTTCCTCAGTTCATCGGCTCCAGCCGAACTTGGTCGAGGACCTTTCCCATCGGCATCCATAACGCGAGAGGATCGTGCCTGGCGAACACTCGTGGATAAATGGCGATCAAGGCGGGTACTTCGCAAGCGTCGCACCTCATTGAGTGTATTTTCGTATGTCGATTCGCGGTGATTGTTTTCTTTCTCTCCCGTCCCTGCATATGACTTCGATCTGGCATCCGACGCAAGGAACGGCGGCGCGCCTGGTTTGTTGTTTGCAGCGGCGGCTTGGATATCTCCTGCCATATACGGCAGTGTGCCATTGCTGCGAAGAATGTCTAATAGTCGAGCCAGGGCCACCTTTAACAGAAAAATGTATTGTCCGAGTTTTGTAACGTGCTCGAATGGTACTTCACCATCCGTATTGACCGCGACGCAATTATTGCAGTATACCTTCCCGTCAAATGCATTGTGTCGTGCTTCTCCAAGAGACCTCCCTAGTTCTTTTCCACATCGACCGCACTTGACGCACGCAAGATGCCATCGTAATTCACCATTCTTGGCGCATTCATCCTCGATCGAACGCTTACAAAAGACACAATGATCGGAGTCTTTGGCGGAGAGGTTTGCACCTCCCATTGTTAGTTGCATTAGACTTTCATCGGTCTTGTACGTCTCGAAGTCGTTGAGGTCATTGAGAAGCTGATCAAGCCCGCCATGCACCCCGTCATCTCGTTCCAGGCGCAACGCTCCCTGGAGACAGATTCTGATCAAAAGTTTGAGGTAATGAGCTAAGCCGGTAACAAGAGACAGAAGTTCCTGCGTAACACCAAGTTTTCGGACGCTTGTGTCTTGGGCTTTTGATAGCAATGAAAAGAATGAGACAATCTTTTTGCAGAGTAGTTTGGCTTCGCGTCCATATGATAGGCCTGTATGGGGTAGTGTCAGCCTAAAACATCTCTGATACGCCCACTGGAACTCCATTTTCATGGCGTTGGAGCTTACCCTTTTTGCTGTGTGATAGTACCATTCGGTCAAGTCTATCTGCTGACTGGAAGAGGACTTCGACATGCCATATGAAACGCTTCGCTACAAGGACGCCGTCAACATAAGCTCCGTTGCTGACGTGGAGGAGCATATCCGAAATGCACGCTGCAGAGGACTCTTCAAACGTTGAAAGAACGCTCCAAATGCGGTAAACCTTTTCTTCCATTCGCTCTTCGTCAGTCCGGATTCGTTCCCTGGCGGCATCGTCCTTTGGTTCTGGCGGGGGTTCTTCTGGCGTATCACTCGGTTGGCCCAGGCGGACATTCCAGAATTTATGAATCATGTAACATTCCGGGTGCCAGTGCTGATTTTGGCCATTGCGGAATATTTCCACAAATTGCTTTAGGATGGCTGTTTGACAACCATTGCACCGTTGGGCAAACTGAGTTGAGTAATGGTAATGGCAGTAGACGTGTCCATCATGTTCATAGTAGCTGTCTTGGGCTCCAAAAACTGTCGAGCAAAGCGAGCAAGTGAAATGATCGACGTGGTACTTTCTATCCAGGGCAGTGATGTAGGACCCTCGCAGGGCTCCTCCACACTGATAGCAGAGTAAGCCTAGTCTTCGAAAATAGTCCGTTTCACAAAGGGGGTATGGCCCGTCGCCATTCTCGTCATCCGCGGGAAAGAACTTTGATGCCACAATCTCACCACAATCCTGTGTTTGGTCGATTAGTAAAATGACCCAAGGGGTATTGTGCACGTTCGTGTAAGGACTAGGGCGGAGACAGGATAGAGAGGAGAAGGTGGTGGGTGGCCAAGGCTTAATTTAATGCCTTATCCAGCCTACTTACGCGGCACTTGAAGCAATCCAAATGAAAGGTACCATCCAGGGCTCGAACAAATTGGCCAGTCAATGGCTCTCCGCACTTTTTGCAGATCCTCAACTGGCCACTGGCAGTACGCCCGTTTCTTTGTCGCGATCGATTCCTCTCCCCGCTCTTGCGGGGCTGAGGTTCGTCAGTCCAGGTTCCTGGGAAAGCTCCAGGCATGCTAGAGCCAGAATTGGTGGGCTTGAGGTGATAGGTACTATCTGGCGTTCTTGAACCCCCATTCTGCCAGTTCCTATCGTTTGCGTAGCCCGAGTCGGATCCTGGGTAGTCACTACGAGAGCGGTCGGTTGAAGGCCGGCCGTGATCCGACGCCATCGTGGCCAATGATGCAGCGACGGCCTAGCTGGGCAAAGACGGCACTTGCTTCTCCTCGGGGCAAAAGGCAGCTGCCTAGTCGTCGAGCCGTCGGTATATGTTATGCTGGAAACCACACAGACACGCGATGTTGCGTCCGAGTGTGGTCTCGTCTCAGCGCCAGGTATACAGCAAGAAAGGACGAGGGAGGAGTCTCTCGGTCGGCATCAGCTATGTTGGACCCCAAGAGCAGTACTGGTGCCAATTGGAGATGTCGGGCGGAGGAGATAACGATGCGCAAGGCGGACAGGCACACTGGCGGCGCAGAGTCGAGGGCGTATGATTGTTCGCGTGACTGCCCAACGGCTTCGAGTCTCGAGATCGGGGCTAAGCTTCGGAAAATGGGGCGAGCTGGGCAGCGGCAGCGGCAGCGGCAGCGGCAGCGGCGTGATGACACTCGGAGGGCACAAGTCAAACGGATGTGAATAGCATGTAAGGCTGAACATGTAGAAGCAGTGAAAGATGCAGGAGGCGGGGTTCAGTCGTGGCGGCGACGTGGACGATACGACGGCAGAAACGATGGGTAGGTAGTGATGTCGGTCTGGCGTTGGTGTTTGGCCGCCAGAAGTTGAGGAACGGAGAGGGACCTGAGGGACTGAGGTACTAGCGGGACCAGTGGGCTCAATCAGACTGGAGGGATCAATCACTCTCGAGACATGGGGCTGAGAGCCGTGAGTGAGTGGTTGGGGACTGAGAGGAGCCGCGCCAGGCGGCAATAGCAGTGGTGGCAAGCATTGACGGTACAGTGGTAATAGTCGTGAAGTACTCTGTACTAGCACTGGGCCAAGAAGTCGGGACTATTTTGGGGGGACAGCCTTCTGCTGATTGGAGGACTGGATTGGCGGCTGGGGGCTGATGTGGTGGGCAGCGGTTGAATGGCGCCAACGGACAGACGTGCCAGCAGTCTGGTGTCTGGTGCGTGACAGCAAACCTGCACATGTGCAGACTGGACAGCAACAGGCGGCTACTAACTGCAGGCGACAGGACAAGACAGCGGTCGCCAGGCGCTGGCATCTCAACTGTGGAGCCTTCCGAGGCCCTGCAGTTCCAGGGAAACGGCCACCGTACTATTGATGCTACAGCCTTTGAGCCTCTAACATTGAAAGCAGTACTCCGTACTACAGCGCTATTAGAGCCGACTGATACTCCGTACACATGCAGTACCGCCGCCAGTGGGACTTCGGGTCCATGCTGCGCTGCAACACTGCATACCAACTGCGCCAATAAAGGGAAGTCCTGACTATTGACCGTTCTTTCCAGACTTCTTTTAAACCGTGTTAATTGGAAGCAAGTGCATCCGCACACTGCACAGAGCAGCCACTCCTCCCGAACTCCGTGCTTCATTCATGAGTCCGTATGTACCGAACAACGGTCGAAACCTGCATGTGCCCTCCATATTCTCCAAGTCTGGGTTCGAAGGTAATTTATTGTATGCCTGCTTGGAGAGGTGCATCAGGGGCAACCTCACGAGGGGGGCTGCACCGTCTGGGCAGACTGGAGAAAGGGGGTCGATTTTTCTCTACTCCTGTATGTATGATATTACCACGACCCTCCGTAAGTGTCTTGTCTAACATCGGATTGGCCTTCTCCTTGTTGGCATTGAAAGTTGGGCGGAGACTAAATTGGTGCAGCCGGTCTAAGATCAACACATGCCAGGAACGCCCTCAAAGCGCACAAAGGACGACGTCCCGTCAGAAACGACCCTCGGATCCACAGTACGTAGGAGGCGGCCCGTTAACCCAGAGGGAAGAAACGTCGATGGAACTTGACTTTGGGACATAAGCATGACGGACCCGTACCGTAATTTCCCCAGCACGGCGAAGGATGGCCAAGAATGAGACTCCATGCTCGGTTGGCACACCCCTTCATCTCCCAGGCAGCCAGCCTACCAAATTGAGTCGAGGGTAGTATCAAGTCGGACTCTGGCACTTGAACCGGAAAACCACTGGGCAACTGAACCGATTTCACAGCGTTGTACCCGAGATCCCTCGTGAGGTCTGTACAACGGCATGCAGGAAAAGGGTTGATTCCCAGTCCCCGTCCCGTCCGGTACCACCAGACATGTTGCGCACGCCAGGTCTTGGGTTGGGGAGCGCATTTCTCGCTACACTGTACGAGGTCCTCTCAACCTCGGTGTGGTCACTTGCTTACCTTGGTAGTAGTTATCATGCATCCTACCGAGGAACCGCGCAAATCAGCACATCTAACACGCATATCCGTGATGGGGTTGAATACGAGAAAATAGAATGAGCAAGAGACGTGGGCAGTCCTTTGGTGGCGGTATTTCAGCCACAAGAGCCACAGCCAGGGCTGGTTTTCTAGGGAGTGGATTTTCGTGATGACGCATCGCGAAACGGACATTGTTTACCTCATTGGGTTAACGTGCCACTCCTGCCTCCTCACGAGGTATTTTCTATCCGTCGGCCAGAGCTATGCTTGGATGCTCCTCAGTCACGGTGCTCTTGGTAAATAAGGACGCCAAGTCGGCCATGGATGACTGAGATTGACTCTCGCGGGGCATTTCAAGTAGGCGTCGTGTTGATGCTGTCAAACGGACGGTCCCGTCGCCCACTTTCGTCAAGGTCTCGGAGCCGACTTATACGGCTGAAAACGGCGTTGAAACCAAAGGGCATGATAGCTCTTTGTCGCAGCTAATTGTAGATGCCACTGCCGCTTCATTAGTTGAAGGTTAAATTCTCCGAAACACCTTTTGTGGGCCCTCTGATTGTATGCTGGAGAGTTGTGAATCTGTGATGGAGAAGCCGAGGGCGGCAATACTTCTATCAAACAGCATGGCTGGTTGATGGTGAGATTCCGGGCCGCAAGGTGCAGACATGGATGCGCATGCTCTGAGACCGCACATGTGCTGCCCGGACGCCAGGCCTCATTCCTCATTCCTCATCGTCCCATGGCCTGCCCTCCAAAGTCGCCCGCAGACTGGAACGGTCGAATGGACCAAAACGGACGGAAGGTCGCTCGTCCAGGTTCGTCCCAGGGAGGCAAGCCGCCCCCTTTAAGCCCCCAAGCAGCAGCAAGCCAGCAATCAAGCACATAATTTGACGTGAGCATGAGGGGGAGCAACACAAAAGCGAAGGCCTGTTGCATGCCAAGCCTGGGAACAACCAAAGTTTATTTGGATGTGTTGTTTCCGCCTCAGGCTTGCCGCAATACCACCTTGTTTTTTTGGTCCTCTGTCTTAAAAAATGATTAAAATTCTTCGTGCTGTGTAACCATCTGCCGGGGCTGAATCGGATGACGGGGCGACGCAACGTGGAAGTGGTGGCCATTGCGGTGCTTCCTGTCGTTGCCACGGAAGAACTGCTGGGGGATGGAAGAGACAGGCTTGTCAGCAAATATATTCATTATCCTCATGGTTTTGGTTACGCCGTCGTTGTAAATTAAATACTACAACGAACGAGATGGGTCAGCCTGTATATTACCCATCAAACAAAAACACTAGTCATGCTCCCGTGGCACCAAGTCAAACTTCTTTCCCGTCCAAAATTTAGAGAAATAGTAATCTGCCCATGGATAAAATCATTTGCCCCTCACAAGTTGCCTCAATCTCTTTTCAATCACCTCCCTCCCTTCCAGCGTGCCCCAAACCTCATGTCCAGCCCCGTTGACTATATCCCACTCCTTCAAATTATCCGTCACCGTCGTCAAATCTCTCTGCTTCGCTTCCCAGTTCTTACTCCTCTTCACTTCGACCCCTGAGCTAATCACAACCAGGGGAGTTTCCTTCTCTTGAATCTGGCGACTGCTCCTGACATCGCGCTTTGTGAATGAATCCAGCACCAGACTTTCCTGGAGCTTGGCAAATATGAATTTACTCCCTTGCTGGGCGGATCTTCCATACACACGGTCCCGGGACGTACGGCCCTTGAAAATGGCGCCCGGAAGACGGTCTAGTCCCAGGGGGGAGATGATGCCACGCAGCCAGAGGAGGAATCCGCGGGTCGGAGATGCCCATGGACCAAGCAAGTCCTCGTGGAGAGGATCGATGAACAAGAGACCCTTCACGTCATAGCCATGGCGGGAGGAAAATACGCGCGAGTAGAGAGAGCCGGAGCCTGCACTGGCAAGAACCCAGGGCCCCTGCTCGCCGGCTTTGGCGAGAGCTTCGCTGAGAACATCCACTGCGAAGCCGACTGATAGAGGGGACGGTGCGGTGTCTGACCATGCTATTCCCGGGCGGTCGACGAAGCAGTATCGTGAGATGGAGCCATTCTTGACGGCGTTGTCTGCAAGGGGCCATAGGCCTTGTTCGACGGGCCGTTCTCCCCCCTCGAAGAGCACAGTAGGAACTTCCTCGCCATGTGACTTGGTCCTATTTCCGTGGCAGAATACGTGAATGCGGTACTTGTTCCCGTCAACACTGTACATTTTCCCGGGGGCAGAAAAGCCAGCATCCAACGCGCGCAGAATAATCGTGAGCGTGATGAGGACGACGGCAGCAACCATGACGACAAACGCAATGGTTGACACGATGACCGCCGACCATTCAGTCAGGGTGCGCCTCGTCTCAGCGCGGCCCGTCAGCCTCTCTTCCTCCTCCTTCTTGCCCCATTTGACCATGCGGTCTGTGAGGAGGTTCCAAAGACTCATGAGCAAAGCCCAAACAACGCTCACAATACCTACCCATCCTTCTTCGTATCGCGTCTGCTGCACGGCAAGGAGGAGAACCATGTCGAGAAGTAACAGGAACTGTAAGCTCGGTTAGTTCGTGTAGATAAATACATAGACATATATATACATGTATATATATTGTGGCCAGTCTTCCAACATGCACTACTTACCGCCATGACAAAGGCCAGGATCCGAACGGATTTGCTCGGCACGCCAAAGAAGATCAGAACAAAACCCAGGTTTGCCATTGTCAAGGTCGTAAATCCAAAGGCAAAGAAGCCGCTGCCTCGCGAGTGCAACCCCGGTGGTGTCGCAAAGGCAGAGACCAGCAGGAGAACCCACCAGACGAACGTTATGGCCGTGAAGACCAGCGTCAGGTAGCGCAGGACACGGATACTCCATAAATTATACGGGGATACCGCGGGGTCGTCTGGCGTGAGCAAGTTTCGGTTCGAGTCTCTGCTTGCGTCGACACGATTAGGGAGCAGCCGGGTATTCTCATCGGGGGGTGCGATTTCGGACGACTCGTCGGTAGCATCGCGTGGTTCTCGATCCTGTTGGCCACCGTCTTTCGTTTTACTAAAGAGAGGCATGGTGTCTCAAGGCTCTTCGGAGGCTGAGAGGTAAAATAATTTTCTCAAGAGGTAGAGAGTCCAAAAATGGCCCGATATGGCCTTTTATAGTAGTATATAGTACAACGGGCAACCTGCGAGTCTACCTGCAGCGGACAATTGTGCCTCTTTGCTCTCGAGGGCCAAAAATAAAAAAGGTATGCGCATGGATGGACGTAGAGGGAAACGGGCCTCGGTCGCCTTTTTGTTTAACAGTTCGCAATCCCCCTCCGCCCGGATCAAGAAACATATGTGCCATCGCCTCTGCCCGTCACATCTGCCGTGATCTGAGGCAGCGTCTACGTCATAGCCAGATTTGCCGCAACCAGGAAAGAGCTCTGACCAATCAACAGCACTGGCGGCGACGGCTAAGACTGTTCTGAGTTTTTGCTGTCCAAGCTGTTGTTCGATCGATTGGCTGGTGCCACGCCCCACTTGTTCGGCAAACAAAATCCGCAGAGGGAGCGTTGATGATCCACCTCTGCCGTTGGAGGAGTTTATACCTGAGTTTAAGTTTCGTGCGCCCATGCATGTAACCAAGTAACTACCTACCTAGGTAGGTAGCGGAATATTAATTTGTACACCAACTTCTGGCGATTGGCTTAGTTGTCTTCCCTTGACAGCTCCAACATGTCAGCGGCGGAAGCAGTATTTTGCCATGTTTGAGGAGATGCCTGCAGCGCAATGGCTTCGGCACACATTCCTCCCAGATGACTCTTTTGCATATTTGGAAATCACACATGGCTTTTCGCTGACTTGAGGCGGCGTTTTGTCAGGTCATGAGCCCAAGAAGGGCGTGTGTGGCTATCGGGTCGCGTCAATAAGTTGGCCATCTGGTTAATGAATGGAAATGGTAACAAGAATGCCAGATCAATGGTCTGACTATTAGCTGTGCAAAAGAATTGAAGCGTGAATGGCAAGGCGAGCTGTCAAAGGCGAACTGGCACTGCAGTTGTCCTTGCCAGCTGCCGTGCTGCGAAAACCACCCGTGATTCAACTAGACTCTCTTCTTTTTTTCCCTCTTCATTTAACAAAACAACCGTTGCGCAACGACTCTTACTCGAAAAAAAAAAATGCCCATAGAGGAGACGTATCCGTCTCGACATCCGAATAATAGTGTTCAAAAGAGGGACTATTGCGCAAGTTTAAAAAAAGCACATGGGCCGAGACTAACAACAATTTGGGCAAGACATTACAGCTTTTCATCCAGGGCAACCTAGAATATGAGTAGTGAGGAATCCGGGACTTGCAAGAGCTCATCATATCAGAACAACATAGAGCATCAATTTCTGGGAACAACGAAATGGATAATAGCAAAATCGACAACAGCGAAAGAAATAATCAGGTCAGGGACAGCGGAAGGCAATACAAGAATCGTAGCCTAACAGACTACTCTGATTCGGTGCTCGTTTGCGAACCTGAGCACAACCTAGACATATCGCGGCAAGATATCGTTTCCCGGGGACGTTCCCCTAGTCTAGTTCGCGAACTTGGTCGCCATCCAAGACTATATAAAGAACGAGGCGGACTGGACAAGTTGCCACCACAAACATGTAGTGACGCACCGTTGGTCGCGGGCGAAAGAGACTCGGATGCGGCAGTAAATCTTTGGCTTGACGGAATTTTGACACTTGAGCAGACTGGGTGCTCAACAAAACAGAGAGACCTTGTTCAAGAAGACAACGAGTCGCCTGCCGTGAACAATAAGGCCTTTCAAGCCCAAGGCCACGAAGCACCTACCACGGACGATAATAACAACCACATATTAGAAGCTAATCATGAGACAACTACCAGGGATAATCCAGCTGCCGCCGCGGACGTCCAATTCCCAATCACTTGGCGAACATTGTTCTCTCCAAATGAACCCGGCAGCAAGATCTTACACTACATCGAGACAACTCTATGGCCACATATGAACAACGAGACCAGGAGGCACTTCAACGCGAGGGCAAATCCTCACAGGTATCTCAAGTTTGCCAGGACAACGGTGCAGCCATCTAACCATGCAATGACGAAACATATTTACTCGGGCAGGGGCGACAAAACAAAGATGCAGGTCGATCCAGAGGAACCTCAAGCACTTGTATTGACAATCATGGCTCTGGCAACGTGGGGAGATGCCAAGCTAAGGGAACGAAATCCCACGTATCTGCTGATATGTAGACATTGGCCTGCCGAATTATCCGCACTGCCCAAAGGCCAGGCACCGGGCATCCGATTTCTTACGGTCCGACAACGGAAGAAGCTGGACCAAGAGCAGGGACAACGGCATCAGGGGGATCGCGAACCAGATATATTCACCGCAGAACAACAAACGACCGAGCAACGAGCTACAGATCAACCAACTACAGGTCCACACATGACAGGGAACCAGCAACACACGCAGATAACAGATTGTCTGAAGAAGGGGGTGCAGAGTCTGAACAATAGTGCTACGCCACACTACCTTGCGGAAGCCTTGGTGCGTATTGAACAAAAGATTGACTGGCAGAACGAGGCGATTATCCGCCAAAAGGAGGAAATAACCCGGCAGGGCATACAGATGGAACAAAACGCGCGACGACATGATGTTTTATACCGCAATGTCGCGGGCCTCTACGGCATTTTGAGGTTGCCAATGGGGTTTGAGGGTCCACGGGACTCTCTTTCCTCGTTTGGAGAGAAGAGCGATGACGGCATGGAAGATGAGCGAGAATAAGGTGGCGATAATGTAATAAGTGTAGAGGACAACGGCGGCAACGGCAATGGATAGTGAGGATAGTGAGGACAACGAGGATAGCAAGAATAACGAGACCGACGTGAATGACTAGGACAACGAGGACAATGAGAACAAATAGTAGATAACAAATAGGCAGGCGCCAATTGGCTAACCGGCAGCGATATGCTTTGACTTTGCCAACACCACGGATCGTTGCGCTGTGATGCTAGGGGCGAAATTTCATTTTCATATTCACCTCCATTTTATGTAGGCTCGATTACACAGTCATTCCGGCATAAGGCAGCGCTCGATCAGAGCAAGCTTTACATGAAGTTGGGGGGCTGTCATGGCTACTTCCCAATCGGGGCATGGATGGCCATGTTCGAATGTATGCCTACACAAGCAGAACTTGTCCTTTGATCAATCTTTTTCTACGATCCTCTTTTTCTCTCTCTCGTCACTCAACTTATTTGGTACTCGTACTTACTAGAGGCCGAGACAGCCAAGACTCATACGTTAGATGCATTGCTTTACCAAGTTTTCATCACCTTGTCTACAGTCCGTGGCAGCCGCCCTGTTCATGATGACGGTGGGAATATGCGCAGGTGCTGCAGGATATATTTGCCCGCCAACAAGTATGCACTAATATACCGTTAGCCCTGTACATGTACCTATGTGGTCTGGTTCAATACCTTTTTAGCCAGATGTAACCAGGGCGTTCAAATCCGCCCTTGCGGACCGGTTTCACCGTGCCCCAGATGAAGAGTTCTCACATGTCGCCAATGTCAACACGTTGAATACGTTGCAATGGAGCAAACTACGCTTCCCGTTGGAAACGTGGAAGCCGATATTGGGCCCTGCGCTGCATCACACTTCATCCCCAGTTGGGCATACACCGTGGGACATTTCGCAATGCTAGTGATTTGCTACCGCAGACTATCCATAATCTATCGCACCAATGTATGTATAGCAAACAAATACACTTCTTCTCTAATACCCAAGCCTAGAGAAAGGACAGCCCTGAATATCGTTTTCTCAACTCGAGGGGGTATTTTAAAATAAAAACAACTTTTTGGCATGCATTCGTGGCATGTATGCTTTCCAACGAATAAACATCCAACCCCTCCGTTGGTCTTACTGATTTTGCAGCTCCAAATGGTATGAGCGGAATGGAGTCCATATCGTCAATGGCGAGGGGGCGAATGTCTGCCATCTGCTTAATCTTGGCAGTGCTGTTGCGTTGCATATGTCACTACCATTATCAAATGAGGGCGCTGATGCACGTACACTTCCTTAACCTATTCGTCACTCATAGATAGACCAAGTTGCTCGACTCGGCTCTTGATAGCGTTCCAACCAGTCAACCGGCTAGCGAAACTGTTGAGCTGTTAGCAATGTCTGATTATGAGCGATGAGCTTCGCCGGAATAGAGGGTGAGAGTAAGATCAACTGCTTCCACATATCCAAGCAAGGAACGCTATCGGCTTCCATCGACATGAGTGGCAAAAGCGTCCGGGCAACGCCCATGTCCATCCACTGGTCCCATGCAACCGTCTTTGCATTTGGGTGCACACTTACTGGACATCTGCTACTAGTTAGTGTGACATTCTTTTTATGGGAACGAAAGTTCTTACATCTGCTGAGACCGTAGTCTTCTGGTGAAAGGATTTCGTAACTTTGACGAAGTTAGCTTCGTGACACGTAACTCGTGGTCAATCACCACTCACGTCGAGGGGTTGGCCAAGATGGCCTTGGCATGGATTCCGGCCTGTGAGCGAGTAAGTGATGTCCCCAGTCCCTAAGTATAACAAGACATGGAAGTACCTTGTGACTGAATGCGCACTATAGGGACCTAGAGTTAGCATCTTATTGAACGGTTCGGAACATCAGGTGGTGCTTACGAAACCTAACATCGCCAGAAACATTAGCACCTCTTTTAATGGGGAGACTGAAAGATTCGTTTTGGACAGAGTGAGATGGAGCGGCATGTATAACGTACCAGTAATGGGATTGTTGAAAGGAATATTCTGGCATCACGTTAGCACGAGACTATTCCGTAACGGCACTGAAATGTACATGGCGGCGCCATTCGGCCAGTCGTCCATCAGGGACTGTGGTTGGGACTGAAACCAATGCGGGCGCAAGAGCTCTAAGAGTTGTCTGGCCGTTTCCCAGGTATTCACTCACAATTTGGACGGCGTCTGCCACCATGCCCTCAATCTCCTTGATCTTATGGAGCTTATACCGGCTCATCACATAGTCGCGACTTCCAACCATCATGCGAGCCATAAGTCCACCGAGGGATGTGATACCGTTTCTCTCGCCCTGACTTATCTTAGCAATTCGCCCATGTCCGGGACTCGTAGCGATCCCGACTTGCAATGCCAAGCACACTGGTGTCAATGTCTGCGTGAGTTATGTGACTAAAATCATCCACTGCCCTCTAAAGCAACAACAAGGAGACATACGCGTTGCGCCGGCTTCGAGTGCAGCATGACTGTTTGCAATAGCGCCTGGTCCAGTTAGCAAAAGCCACAGGCTTTCAGATAGCATGCAAAGAGACAGTCCAATGGTTGTAATAAAAATCGAGAGTAAGCTAGCAGAACAAGATGAATACCGTGGTCCACGTGAAACAGATCGTATGGTACATGACAGCACATAGCTTGTTCTAAAGCCATTGAGGGTTTGCAGTAGATGAACGGGTGCAAAAATATACGGCAATAATGCGAAAGAAAGGTTTGTTGAAGACCTCAACTTACAGCCCGTATCGTTGTGCAGATGTACTTCAATGTCGCATGAAACAACGCCGCGAAGTGTGCGGACAAGATGGTAGACTTGACGGGGCGTACCACATCCGACAGTGTCGGCCACACCTGGAGCATATATATGAGTAACCAGCCGAGAGTACTCTCCATGAGCATTCAAAACTCACCAACACGGTTAACACCAACATGCTACCTCTGAATATTAGTTTAGCTTCTTAAGTTTGAAGGAGGAAAACTTACGTCAACGGCCCGATACAGTCGGAGGAGATCGACAAGGTCGGACTATTCAGACGATAATATTGATTCCACTCTTTTTTCCGCACCGTATGCGAAAGAAGTCTTCCGGTATAGAAAGACAAATGCAAGGTTGGCAATGTTGGATGGTAGGCCAACTACAACCGACGACTAGTGCGAAGGCAGGTATATCCATAGACTGCTGTGTAATTCTCAAGGCACATGTTGCATGCAACAGAAGCACCTCACTGTATCCCGAAAAGGGCAAAGGGCCAGAGAAGGGCCAGAGAACAAAGGCATGGTCATGCCATTGATTGAGCGAGCGTAGCCTCGGGACAAAGGCAAATGGAAAAGTCTGCGTTTCTGACTTACTCTGGAGCTGTCCCCCGATGAGAAGCGAACCTCAACTCCTCGGTTGCAACAGTCAGCTGTGGAACGAGGTGATGTGAGCATCTAGGGCCTACAGAGTACCAGTTGACCTCTTGACGTAGTTGATGACCGCTGGTGGGGTTCCCTGCAGAGGGTGGGGTGGCAGTAAAAGCGGCAGAATACAGAGCCAATGACGTCTGGTGGTTCCGATGTCGCGGCAAGGAAGAGTTTTGCTGCCGCGACGCACCCGCTGCCGCTATCTGGAGCACAGTGCACATGTGTCACAAGCGCTGAGTTCGGGGTCCACGCCCTGGTATGTACAACTAGTTTCAATGCATTTGAGCCCGCGTACAGTGTCAAATTGCAATTTATTTACTGTGCTCTTGATAGGCATTGGCACCCCGCAATTCTCCTTGCCTGGTACCAAGACAGAACATGCCTACAAGGAGTCATACAACAGTGGGGCTGGACAGGGCTCTGTTGATGCTGCGGCAGACGTCGCGCATTGCTCCCAATCTTGTTTGCCCGTGCCTCCTCATCCGCCTCCGAGGATGCGACGACTGGCGGACGCTACTGACTACTCTTCCAACGGCGTTTGATCCGAGGTCAAACACCGGCGACTGATCTGGCCAAGACTTGGATGGTCGGCTGGTCCCTTACGACCTCGTCGATGGTTCCAGATATCGCGGCTTCTCCCCCACCCTCTCTGCATTACCGCATCACCACATGCAGCCAGTTGACGCCTCAACTTGACTTGCTTCTCAAACCCAACGCCCAGTGCCCAGTATAAGTACCTAGCGGGCCACGACGCACAAATCAATGTTACCCAGGGTCGCGTAATCCCAGCAAGAGCGTTTGCGTACCTGAGACAAATCACAAGTCAGCCGGTGTTAGAAACGTGTTTGCCACCTCCAGCATTGACATAGTACGAGTCCGCCGAAGGCCATTCTGACACATCATCTCACGAAAAATAAGAAGAAGAAGAAGAAGAAGAAGTACCCCGCCTATCAAGACGGGATATCTTGGTTTTTTTCGCTTGCTCACACAGAAGAACCCCCCCTTCTCCAAATCCAGCCGGATAACTAGCATCTGTGCACCCCCAGCCCACCGCCATTTCCAAACCCGCACCCAAACCCAGCGCTTCGTCGCGCAAACTCGAGGAACCAGGCATCCCGTTCCTCGCCATGCCTGCTCTCACCATCTCGACCGACAAACCCACCAGGTCCCGGTCAACATCCCCCGTCCGTCCTCCCATGTCCCCAATCACGCCTCCCCTGGCTCCGGCAAGACCTCCCGATGCCCCTCCGGCTGCAGCAAACCTCCCCCCAGCAAGACAGACCTATACCCATTCCTCGCAGCCGTCTCAGCAGATAGGCATCCCGCCGCCTCCTCCCGAGCCCATAGACTTCGAGCTCAACCCCGATGTCATTGCCCTCAAGTCTGCCATTTCCGTTCTCCAGGTCCAGAAGAGACGAGCCACGGGGGACATTCAGACGTTGAGCAGAGTCAGGGACGAGGCCCTGGACGACCCGGAGTCGTTCATCAAGGATCTCGCCGCCGGGAAGGTGAAGCCACGGGATGACTTTGTCTTTGAAACCGCCGGCAGCGACGAGGATGACGAGAATGCTGGCGAGGAGAGCTCGGACAGCAAGCGTTCGCCCCGGCCAGGCGGAGAGTCAAAGCCAAGAAGAGAGTGGTCCTCATTGCCAAAGCCCCAGGACGTCGTTCGTTGCCCTCCCATAAACTGGGCGCAATACGCCGTCGTTGGCGATTCACTAGACAAGCTCCACGCCGAACAGGTGGCGCGCCCTTCTCAAGGATCACCCGCTGTCTTTGGATCCAACGGGACGTATGATATAAAGAATGAAGGGAAACAGGAAAAATACAGTGGTGTGGCCGCACCTTACGCCCCCGGCAAAGACCGGATTGACCGGAAATCAAAGGGCAAGAAGTAAATGAGGATTGGAAAGGGGGAATAATAGGTATCGCGGCGCGAGCGCAACCCCAGGAAACGACAACATGAATAATTCGGGACTTGTTACGACTGTGATGATATAGGATCTATGAATGGCGTTTTGTGCTAGACAGGTTTATGGTGTTTAGCTACCCGCGGTAGGCACAGTGTATGTTATATGAACCGTCACTTCTTTATGGTAACGGATAGCCACCTCGGAATATACCGTTAGGGTCGCTGAGTATTGCAACTTTTGTTCAACGTTCTGAGATTTCATATGGAACCTATACCACAAGGCCAGCTCAACGCTGCTTTATTTCACGGGCTGTCCGCCGCTCACCTCCCCAGAAACGTATTTATCTGAGTCGCCGGTTCCCCGTAACACCACCTAGGTAGTTGAGTAGCTGTAGCACTCGGATTGTGATACCCATGAATCCGGCCGATCTTGGGCTTTGTCACTTGTCATCTTCCAAAAAGGGGAAAACAGAAAAAGGTACCTCTCGGCAGTCCTGTACACGATACGCCGGAATGGTGCAAGTCATGATTCGATGCATTTCTCTCCACAGTAAATAACCAATATTGTTACTCAGGGAAGTCTCTACTCGGCGGTTAAAACTGCAATGGTGACTTGAGAAATGAAAATGAGGGGAGAAAAGGTCTTACTCCATGCTTTGCTGCACTGATCGTCGAAGACGACGGTTGTACTGTTTCTTGTCATCCTTTCCGCCGCCCCAGAACAACTTGGTGGCTTCGGGGTTGACAATCATTCTAGGGTCATAGGCCGGTTCATCCTCTTCCAATGTCGATATAATTGCCTCAATATGGGACTTGACATCCTCGCGCTTAAGTGGATTCGGTACGTAGCACGCCGTGCCGTCCGGGGCAACATGATGGTGGAAAATCTTTGTTTCAAACTTGACACGAGGCTGTTCGTCGGGAAATCGGGTGCTGAAGTTCATTCTGATGCGGAATAAGCCGCCGTCCAGATTGGTCATGGGCCGACCGAAATAAGTGATGATCCACACGAAGGGATTGTCGTTGTCGAGAGTCACATCATGAGGCATATCGCTTCTTTTGAAGTAGGCCGTGACTTGCTCATACTGATGGTACAGATTGACCGCGACAGTAGACTCCTTGGCAACAGCTGTGAGACCCTCGGCTGCCCAAGCCGCTGCTTCCGCGTCAAGTGCGGTTTTGACATTGTTCAGTCTTCGCTCCAAATCTGGGTAGTTGAACTTTCCCTCCATGCAGTTGTTGCCCGGCATTTCAAACGGCATTCGCACAAAGCTATCCTGTAGCTTTACTTCCGACTTTCCCTTTTCAATAGCGTCCAGGTATGATTGATAGTACCATAGAAATCGGCGTTTGCAGATATCCCTGAAAGGCTCAAAGGGTACGTTGACTTCCTCGTCGTCATCACCGCCGTCTTCTTTGGTGAGCAGCAGTGTGCTACCGGTAAGGGGACTAAGACCAAGATAGTTTTCTAAGCGCTGAATAACAGAAATTCTTAGCGATTCGTGACGGATCTATTTTTCGCAAGGTTAGCTAGAATATCGCACAAAATTTTTAATTGTTCTCATTGTGAACCTTTTGTATATAATCTTTTTGGTACACCTTGTCTGATTCCTCGTTTGCATCCTCGAATCCGGGTTCATTTTCGTAGGGGTTTGCCGACAGGAGGCTCTGAATGGATAAGAGAATGGATTCCAGGCCCTGGGCCGACGACCACTCCTCCCCTCGTTCTCCACGCCATGTTCTGTGATGATGTGAAGAATTGCTGTCAACTACGGAGTACACAAGGCACATGTTGAATCGACGAGTAGATGGCACTTACCCCAATATTGACCTACGAAGTTAATATAAAATCGATTTAGCATGGACAGAAGGGCATACAGGGACTTACAGGCACACTTTGCCATTGGCGTATATATTTGGATTCAGTCGGCATCTGCCACCGTTGGTGGTGACACACTGTACGTTGGGCGATTTGGACGGATAGTCTAGAAGTCGTTAGGCACTTGGAAATGGAACAGAGCAACAGGAAGTGTAGTGCGTGGCATTACCTCTACTGAAACGAATGGCAAACTGTTTGGAGACTGTTAGCAGAAGCATTGCTCATGGTTTGTTGACTTGCTGGATGTCGAACCTCGAAGAAACCAAATTCGTAGGGGGTCTCGTGAGGACCCATGACCAGAGCTTTCACATTGCGAACGTCGATATCGCGGCAAGCGACAGCGATAGCTATTGGCAGAAGACAACAAGGAAATGTCAGCAAAAAGCAAGAAGAGCAAGGAACGAAAAAGACGACGGATGATGACTCGTCTGGCAGTTTGCATAAAAATACGCACCGAGATCAGTGCCTCTTTGAATGTCGCTCAGCTCCTGTCAATGAAACAGCATGGTTAGCCTCAAAAGAACCCCGCGATGAAAGAAACAGCCGCAGCCGCATAGTTCCCAAGCCCAGATGCTCAGGTTGCAGAATGCGGGGCATTCAACGCAGACAAACCTTGGAGATCCGAATTATGGACTGGTCCATGGCGACTGACCCTACAAAATGTAGGCATGTAAGGGTGTAGAGCGTCCGGTCGAGATGCGAAACTACAAGTATGAAGCATGAAAAGATGGAAGTCAGGGTTGGCACGACGAGTCTCCAGATGTCTGGCGGAAGTCGCTGGAGCCGGACGTAAAGACGACGATTCGAGGTCTGTAAGTGGTAAAGTGGGATGGATTCTCGGCAACCAGACGTCAGGTAGCGACAGAGAGCAACTAGTGACGGACCAGACATGGACCGGACCAGACTAGTCCCAGGTGCTGTCTGGTGCTTGGCACTTGTAACTCGTGGCGCTGCCGTGGGCGCATGCAGATCGGACTGGACTCCAATGTTCCAAGTCGGAGGGGGCCGAGTGCTGCAGTGCCAGTGAGGTAGCCTGTGCAGGTGCTCAAGCTGGCATTGGGGCCAGGCATTTAGAGCTTGAGGATTTGGAGGGGCTAGGCAGCAGCCCCGAGTTAAAGGCGCCGGCTGGCCGCTGTCAAGCCCAACATCGAGCCTGGCCTTCGACATGAAGCACCAGCCACATGCAGCCTATCGCGTTTGAGGTCTAGGTCAAATGGCGAGTCATTAGGCTACATATGTACCAAGCACAAGGACCTAGAAAGCTGAAGCAACCAGACTTGACATGACCATTGATATTGCAAGTCGCATCAGACAAACAAACTCTGGACACTGACGTGCGCATCATTTTTCTCCCTAAAAACCGACTTCCAGTCGAGGTAGTATTGCATGCAGTAATGGCGTCTCTACCTCTGCTGACCGTTTGACTCGGGTTACGTGGTTCGCCTGGGGTGCGTTGCGGCCTGTTAGGCAAAGCTTAGGATGGCGATGGCGACGCATCAAATAACATTGCATGCTCTTGCTCTTTATTGCAGCACAGAAGTTCGCGACAATGTCAATTCTTACTCCCCAGACACTCCCGCCTTTTGGTCAGCCGTTACAAGCCGACACAGTTTTTTAATCGAGCAGTTGTGTCTTTCTTTCGACGCTGTCAACCGTCTGTGGCAGAAATTCAGAATATATTTGCCTACCAAGTAACATGCTATGTATAGTATATTAAGTTATTTCATGAGTTTATTTTTAATAGAAGTAATAGTATTATGTAAGTATTATTATATTAAGCTCAAAAATGATAATAAAACTATCAGGTACACTGTATGTACACGCATCATTATGCGTTAAACACGCTCATAAAATTAGTAATTTATCGCGGCGTGTCTTTTAAAGCTATCTCGCGATGGCCTTAACCATTAAATACGTGAAAGTACACAGGGTTTATTCCAGTGACTCACTCTAAAAATTTCAAATAGCCACACACAATGTATATCAGCGAGGACTCGTCGACATTCCACGAGTCTATCCTCGTTATCTCTCTCCTATGTATTAAGTAGGATGTACATACATAGCTCGCTGGTCAGGTATCTGGTCTACTAGGTACTCCGTACTAAGTACGTATACTCTTTGTCTCCGTCCAACTGCAGGTACATGCACCTGGCAAGCCGGGCGGCCGTCTTCAAAGGGCAAAATAAAAGAGAAATGCATGCAAACATGCCCAAAATGGAAAGGCACATAAGCAACAAGGCTGGGCAGCGAGGGTCTACGCAGGGTGATAGATTCATAGTGCATCCACAGTGCACACAGTGAATACTACATGTATGCCAGCCTGTGAGGTCACTAGTTGAATGTCGTGGGCAGCTTGAGACCCATACCTGCTCTGGGCTCCAGTCACGCGTTCGGGCTGACGTGACGCGTTAATCGATTTCTTTGCGCTTCACCATCAGACGACGATTGTACGAAACAAGACGCCCATGTCCTGACTTTGAATCTGCCGCCGCCGCTGCTGTTTCTTTCACATCATATTCTTCACTTTGATTACCACATAGACCAAGATTAGCAGCGCAACTTTCATATAGAGGACACAGACATGGCCAGTTTCTTCGATCTCAAAGCCCGGAAAGCTGCCGCCGCAGCGAATGGTACCTCGGACCAGAAAAGTCAGAAGCCAGCAGATGCCAGAAACCAGCCCTGGGTCGAAAAATAGTATGCCACTCCCTTATCCCCAGAAGCATATCAGTTCTCAGAGAGCAACAGGAGCCCTTCGCTTACTCCTGTCTTCTAGCCGACCCCAGAGCCTCGACGATGTTACAGCCCAAGATCACACCGTGACCGTCCTGCAAAGAACCCTCCAAGCTTCCAATGTACAATTGAAACCCGCGACAACACGCAACAAACCATACACTACATACAGGTACTGACATCACCGTCACAGTTGCCACACATGCTATTCTACGGACCCCCTGGCACAGGCAAGACGTCAACAATCCTCGCATTAGCCAAGGAGCTCTTCGGTCCCGAGATGATGAAGTCGCGAGTCCTCGAGTTGAACGCCTCCGACGAGCGCGGCATCTCAATCGTCCGAGAAAAAGTCAAAAACTTTGCGCGCATGCAATTGACGAATCCAGCCCCCGGCCTTAGCAAAAAATACCCCTGCCCCCCTTTCAAAATCATCATCCTCGACGAAGCCGATTCAATGACTCAAGATGCTCAGAGCGCCCTGCGGCGAACCATGGAGACGTACAGCAAAATTACTCGCTTCTGCTTAATCTGCAACTACGTCACCCGAATCATCGACCCGTTGGCCAGTCGTTGCAGCAAGTTTCGCTTCAAGAGTCTCGACCAGGGCAATGCCAGGAAGAGGCTGGAGGAGATTGCGTCCGCCGAAGGCGTGCCACTGGAGGATGGCGCCATTGACGCTCTCATTCGCTGCAGCGAGGGCGATTTGCGCAAAGCGATTACTTTCCTGCAGAGCGCGGCGAGATTAGTTGGCGCGAGCGCTCCGGGAAAGGACGGCGATGGTGATGAACAAATGGACGTGGACAGTAAGCCCGTGACAGTCAAGATTGTGGAGGACATTGCTGGCGTCATCCCGGCACCGACGGTTGACGGGCTGGTTGAGGCTATGCGTCCGCGGGACGCAGGCCAAACGTATCGCTCTGTGTCCAAGATTGTGGAGGATATGGTCGCGGATGGGTGGAGTGCGACTCAGGTAGTCTCGCAGGTATGTGCTCTTTTTTACTATTTTGCGCCTGGTGTTGCAAGAAAGCTGACATGTCCTGTAGCTGTATCAAGCTCTGACGGCAGACGAGACGATAGCAGATGCCCACAAGAACAAGATCGTCATGGTCTTTTCAGAGGTCGATAAGAGACTAGTGGACGGAGCGGACGAGCATCTATCAATTCTGGATCTTGCAATGAGGATATCGGCTATTTTAGCTGGCAAGTAAAACCATGTACAGTCTACGGCATCTCAGTTGACATTTGGAGTTTGGGGTTTATAAGGTGTGATGTGGCGTTGACAATCAAAAAGGCCAGTCGCCGCGGCGGAACATATAAAAGTAGTTTCTGACAAGCATGTCCATATTCAGACCTCTCTTTATACGTTGTCGTGGCCGATCAGACCAAGATTGCCGTGAATTCGTGCCCAAGGATCGCCCTTATTCGGTGTCGGAACCTTCTTCTTGGGCTGCCGTTTGAGAGATCCCTGCAACCACATGTCGTCCTCCGTTTTATCCATCTCGTCAGTTTCGTCTTCCTCATCCAGTCCTAGCAACACGTCCATCTCGTGAATGGCCTCCATCGAGCTCTCCAGCGCCACCTGCCCAACCTCCACCTTTTCCGCTACTGCCTCCAACGTGCTGATCTTGGCGGCGTCGGAGGCAAATATCCACGGTTTCACACGGCTAGCCATGTCAGGCCGCCCATTAGGCTTGGCCGCTATGATTTCCGGGATGCCCGATCGTCTTCGTGTAGAGTCCTTCATTGGGTATGCTGACAGCAGCTGGCTTTCTTCGGCTAGACGGCCGAGGAGCTGGCATGACTCCTTGTTCTGCCTGCTTAATGACGCGGCGATGTGCGATCTATGTGTAATGAGGGCCTTTTGGAGCTGGGCCTGGGTGAGCAGGGCTTGGATACACGGGGTGATAAGGAAGTCTGTGGACGGAGATTCTGCCTCTGCGGATTTAAGCGATGATGTAGCGGTTGTTGGCTCTGGGGGCGGTAGTGACGGCTGGGGTGTTTGCGATGTGAGTTTCAGCAGCTCTTTTCTTGCGGTGACATATTCTTTGTATTTGTCTTGGATTTGCTGCAGTTGCCTTGTGATAATAGCTTGGTTGTCCGCTGTTTGTGCCTGACCCTGCGAGGTCGCCGCTTCGTCATCTTCCGTCGACGCCTTGCTCAACTCCGTTTCAATCCACCGAATTAGCTCATTACGCGTGTTGTCAAGAGCTTGTAATTTTGCGCCGTTGCTGACGAGCTCTGGCTTTGTTCTGCATCTTGCCTTTGCCTCGGCCAGGAGCTGTTCTTCCCGTTTCAGAAGGAGTTTTGTTCGAAGTACTATCTTGTCTAGTTGATTGACGCGGGTTTGAAGGTCGGGCTGTCCTGCGCTCTGCTCGACCACGAAGCTGTTGATTACCGAGCTGGGAACGCTGGGCAGAGCCCTGCCGCCTCTGAGAACTTTCTCGACGTCCAGCGCATCTTGCCCGGCGACAGGGACCCCGGATAGGTGGTCTAGATACGTTTGGATTGTGATGAGACTTTCGTGCTTTTTGCGGAGCTTCAGGAGTGCTAGGTGTTCTTCGAGAGAGGATGGGGCGCTGCCTATGGCCGACTTTGCAGGGGCAGTTGGTTTTGATGTGGTTTCTTTGGCGATTTGCTCGTATTCCTGACGAGCTATGCTGTTTGCGCGAAGAGCCACGATATATTCTTTGTGTAGGCCTTTGAGTTCTGAGCCAATATGTCTGTCGATTGGTCCGTCATTGAGTGACAAGGGGTGCTGGATTGGTCCATCACCAGTGTAGGAACCTAGTTCAAGAGCCAGGATGCGTCTGATGTAGTTGACTTGTTCACGAGGTTTTATGTATGGGTCAAGCCTTGTCCGGAAATTCGATATAGTGGCTTCTGGGGAAGAAGCCATGTTGACATGCCGTAATGCTTTAGGTTTGATTGTCAGATGAAGATGGTGTGTTAGTCGTGGGTACTACGGCGCACAGTGGGCAATCTAATCATGACGCATCCCCACCTAATTCATATCGCGTATTGGGATAATATTTCTTTCTTTAAACCTGAACATCATCGAAAATATATCCATGAACATCGTGAGTCAAGTTTAGGCTCTATAAACATCCAAACGATCGAAAAGCAAGTTTTCACAACGACGAATGCCGTCGAGATGGAGTATAGGTTAGTTCCTGGCTGTCACGTGCATGGTCTCCGATGGCATCTACTACACTGCATTCTTGCTTCTTCATCTTCTCTTACCCTGACCTAGCTAGCTCTTAGCAGTTGATGCCAGTTCATTGCGCCAAGATCCTTGTATGGCTGTTGTATCCTGTCCCCTCTGCTCTGCCTCAGTCCTATAATTGGTATCTGGCACTATCAAGCGATAATAAACGAGGGAAGACTTGCGACCACTCCAGTGCTGGATAGTTCACCAGGAATTACTATTCATCATTATCACAAGGATAATTGCCGCCCGCGGGTAGTGCACGAAGCACCAAATGTCTAGTGAATTTTTGTGTTTCGTTGGGCTGTAGAATGCTAGTGAATTTGATATCCTGTAAGAGAGTCAATAATTTGATTGATTGGCTTCTGCAGTTGCGGCGGGCTGTTTATTGGGTTGTTGGCACCGTCACAACTCACAACAGGTCTCTCACAGCTGGAAGGAGCTTGTACAGTGGGTTGTAGTTGAAAGTGCCCCACACCCCATTGCGGACTAGTGCTGTAGCCTTCAAGGCCCAGATTGAAATTTATCCAACACCAGCATTTGACGTCGTAAACAGATCACGGTGGCGCGTCGAAGCCAACCCAATTATTATCCCTCAGCTACATCACCTGGACATCTGACTTTTGCGAAACTATTGCTGGATATCCTAATAACCCATCCGGCAGACTTATGGTGATATAACGGCCGAGCGCCCTCCGAGCCTTCGTCGAGCCCGTCGGCATACTCCCTCGCGAGACCTTGTACAATCTGCCAACAGTAAAGATGTCAGACCCTCATCGCGATGTCTCACAATACAAGTACTCGGCCATGTCCAACCTGGTTCTCCAGGCGGACCGTCGGTTTGTCACGCGACGAACTGACGAGGCCACGGGCGATCCTGAATCCCTTGCAGGACGACTAAGCATCAAGGACATGGGTGCCAGAGTTGCGCGGGATGAGGCACCAAAGCAGAAGAAGCAATCTGGAATGCCCGCTATAGAAAGAGGTAGTCTCCAAGAGGGCGAAGATGTTCTACTTAGAGAACAACGAAGACGGAAAACAGAGGCACAACAACAGAGAGGGACCGGCGTCCTCGGCGCAAACGATGCTTTGATCGAGGGTATCACATATCGGCCACGAACGCAAGCAACACGCGCCACTTTCGATTTAATACTCACTTTAGTTGCCAAGAATCTGGGCGACGTACCTCAGGAAGTTGTCCGCAGTGCCGCCGATGCCGTACTGGAATACCTTAAAGATGATGACTTGAAGGACTTGGACAAGAAGAAGGAAATCGACGATATTATAGGCTCAACTATGAACCCCAAACAGTTCAACGAGCTCGTTAACCTGGGAAAGAAGATCACCGACTACGACGCGCAAGACGATGATGAAGATGTTAATGCGGGCGACGCTAATGGTGAAGATGCCGAGATTGATGAGCGTCAGGGTGTTGCTGTAGCCTTTGATGAGGACGAGGACGAAGATGAAATTATAAACGAGGTCCGCGACGAATCTTCCGAAGACGAAGAGGGTGAAGATGAAGATGACGAAAATGGCGAGACATCTGGACCAAAGCCAGTTGAGGACCTGGATGATGACGAGATGGTTCTGGACTCAGGTCCAGGAGGTTCCAAAAGGAAAGGGGATGAGAAGAGCTCGATACCTGCCAGAGATATTGACGCGTTTTGGCTACAGCGCCAGATTGGTACTCTGTATCCCGACGCTCATGAACAATCGAACAAGACCAAAGATGCTCTTCGTATCCTGTCTGGTGAACCAGACGAGCCCGAGGGTGAAGAGAAATCTCTTCGAGAGATAGAAAATGACCTTATGGAGCTGTTCGACTTTGAGCACCACGAACTTGTGCAGAAGCTCGTCGAAAATAGAGAAAAAGTGTTCTGGCTGACGAAGCTGGCACGTGCGGATTCTGCCGAAGACCGGGAAAACGTCGAACGCGAGATGGGCTCCGAAGGCCTCCAATCGATTCTGGACGAGTTGCGAGGAAAATCCGCCGCGGGAGATGACAAGAAACGAAAGGTAGACATCAAGATGGATATTGACGTCCCTGCCTCGTTCAACGCTGAAGCGCCAAAGCAAGAACGACCAGAGGGTCAGTTAGTTGGAGGTCTACAACCCAAGAAAGTCGTCAATCTTGACAATTTGGTGTTCGACCAAGGTAATCATCTCATGACGAATGCCAAGGTCCGATTGCCAGAAGGCTCTACGAAGAGATCATTTAAAGGCTATGAGGAGATACATGTTCCACCGCCCAAGAAGAGAAACGAGCCTGGAGATGTCTTGATTCCCATTACCGACATGCCCGAGTGGTCGCGTCTGCCATTCAGCACCGCGAAATCTCTGAACAAAATTCAGTCGAAGTGCTACCCTTCGGCTTTCCAGGACGACGGCAACATGCTTGTGTGTGCCCCTACCGGTAGTGGTAAGACAAATGTCGCAATGTTGACCATTTTGCGAGAAATTGGCAAGAACAGAAACGCAGAGACCGGTGCCATTGATCTGGATGCCTTTAAAATCGTGTACATTGCTCCTTTGAAGGCCCTAGTCCAGGAACAAGTCGGCAACTTTGGTAAGAGACTTGAGCCATACGGTATTCGTGTTTCTGAGTTGACCGGCGATCGACAACTCACCAAGCAGCAAATCGCCGAGACTCAGATTATCGTCACTACACCTGAGAAGTGGGATGTCATTACCAGAAAGTCCAATGACCTTACCTACACAAACCTCGTTCGGCTTGTTATTATTGATGAAATTCATTTGCTCCATGACGACCGTGGTCCTGTTCTGGAGAGTATTGTCGCCCGAACCATCAGGAAGACAGAACAAACCGGCGAGCCTGTCCGAATCGTCGGTTTGTCTGCTACGCTACCCAACTACAAGGATGTGGCGAGCTTCTTGCGCTGTGATATCAAGAAGGATCTCTTCCATTTTGACAGCACCTTTAGACCTTGCCCGCTGCGTCAGGAGTTCATTGGCGTCACGGACCGCAAGGCCATCAAACAATTGAAGACGATGAATGACGTCACTTACAACAAGGTTATGGAGCATGTTGGTTCAAACAGAAACCAAATGATTATATTTGTTCATTCAAGGAAGGAGACTGCAAAGACCGCCAAATATATCCGAGATAAGGCTCTTGAGCTGGACACCATCAATCAGATACTTCGACATGACGCGGGAAGCCGAGAGGTTCTCAATGAAGCTGCCAGCCAGGCAACCGATGCAGATCTCAAGGACATATTGCCATATGGATTTGGCATCCATCACGCCGGTATGAACAGAGTGGACAGAGCCGATGTCGAGGATCTCTTTGCCAGTGGAGCTATTCAAGTTTTGGTGTCAACGGCCACCTTGGCTTGGGGTGTCAACCTGCCTGCCCATACAGTCGTTATCAAAGGCACCCAAGTCTACTCGCCGGAAAAGGGTAGCTGGGTCGAGTTGAGCCCTCAAGATGTTCTCCAGATGCTTGGGCGTGCGGGTCGGCCGCAGTTCGACACTTATGGTGAAGGTATTATCATCACAACCCAGACCGAAATCCAATACTACCTCTCCCTGCTTAACCAGCAGCTGCCTATCGAAAGTCAGTTTGTAAGCAAGTTGGTGGACAACCTCAACGCCGAAATCGTGCTAGGAAACGTCAGGACCCGCGATGAGGGCGTTGAGTGGCTTGGATACACCTATCTTTTTGTTCGAATGCTTCGATCTCCGGGACTGTATCAAGTTGGAGCCGAGTACGAAGACGATGATGTCTTGGAGCAGAAACGTGTCGATCTTATCCACTCTGCTTCGTTGATGCTGCGAAAGTCAAATCTCATCAAGTATGATGAGAAATCGGGCAAGTTGCAATCTACCGAACTAGGCCGAATTGCCTCGCATTACTACATCACTTCTACGTCCATGGATACCTATAACAATCTGATCCAGCCATCCATTACCACCATTGAGCTTTTCCGTGTCTTTGCTCTGAGCGCTGAGTTCAAATACATTCCCGTGCGACAAGATGAGAAGCTTGAGTTAGCAAAGCTTATGGTCAGGGTACCCGTTCCCGTAAAGGAGAGCATAGAAGAACCGCATGCAAAGATCAATGTTCTTTTGCAGGCATACATCTCTCGGCTTAAGCTTGACGGACTTGCTCTTATGGCCGACATGGTTTATGTCACTCAGAGCGCTGGGCGTATCCTGCGTGCCGTGTTTGAAATTGCTCTCAGGAAAGGCTGGGCATCTGTCGCCAAGACTGCGCTGGACTTGTGCAAGATGGCTGAGAAACGCATGTGGCCGACTATGTCACCTTTACGCCAGTTTCCTACTTGCTCCAAAGACATCATCCAGAAGGCAGAGCGAATCGATGTTTCGTGGAGCAGTTACTTTGACCTCGACCCTCCTCGTATGGGCGAATTGCTTGGCATGCCCAAGGCTGGAAGAGCTGTTTGTGGCTTCGTCGCCAAATTCCCGAGAGTTGATGTTCAAGCCCAAGTTCAGCCAATGACACGGTCCATGCTCAGAGTAGAACTCAGCGTCACTCCTAATTTCGAGTGGGACGACAGTCTGCACGGCGCTGCTGAGAGTTTCTGGATTATCGTTGAAGACTGCGATGGTGAAGACATCTTGTTCCAGGATACCTTCCTTCTGCGCAAAGATTACGCCGAGTCCGAGTCAAATGAGCACATCGTTGATTTCACCGTTCCCATCACTGACCCAATGCCTCCCAACTACTTCGTATCTGTAATTTCAGACAGATGGATGCATTCGGAGACGCGACTGGCTGTTCCCTTCCACAAGCTCATTCTGCCAGAGAAGTTCCCGCCTCACACCGAACTCTTGGAATTGCAGCCTCTTCCTGTTTCTGCCTTGAAGGTTTCTGGTTATGTTGATTTGTACCCTGATTGGAAACAATTCAATAGGATTCAGACCCAAACTTTCAATTCCTTGTACAAGACCGATCAAAACGTCCTTATTGGCGCCCCGACTGGCAGTGGTAAAACGGTGTGCGCGGAGTTTGCCATTCTTCGCCACTGGACACAGGGTAGTGCTGGTCGAGCGGTCTACGTTGCCCCCTTTCAGGAGGTTGTTGACGCTAGACTACAGGACTGGCAGAAGAGGTTGGCTCACTTGAACGGCGGAAAGGAAATTGTCAAGTTGACGGGGGAGACTGCTACTGACTTGAAGATTCTGGAGAGGGGAGACCTCATCCTGGCGACACCAACACAGTGGGATGTGTTGTCTAGGCAATGGAAGAGACGCAAGAATGTTCAAACTATTGAGCTGTTTATCGCTGACGATATTCATCTCCTCGGAGGTTACATGGGCTATGTCTACGAAATCATTGTCTCGCGCATGCATTATATTCGGACACAAACAGAGCTGCCAATGCGCATTATAGCATTGAGTGTCTCCTTGGCAAATGCGCGAGACATGGGCGAGTGGATTGACGCAAAGAAGCATGACATTTACAACTTCAGTCCGCATGTCAGACCAGTGCCTCTGGAGCTCCATGTTCAATCCTACTCAAATCCTCATTTCCCATCCCTGATGCTGGCTATGGCGAAGCCTGCATACCTTGCCATCACTCAGATGTCGCCGGATAAGCCAGCCATGATTTTCGTTTCTAGTCGAAAGCAAACAAGGCAAACTGCTAGAGACTTGCTTGCCGCTTGCGTTGCGGATGATGACGAGGACCGCTTCCTGCACGCTGAAGTAGAGCAGATGCGACCGCTTCTCGACCGTGTCCATGAAGAAGCTTTGGCTGAGGCGCTCTCGCATGGCATTGGATATTATCACGAAGCCCTTAGCCAGAGTGATAAGCGCATTGTTAAGCATCTATATGACAATGGTGCTATTCAGGTCCTCGTTGCTTCAAGAGACACATGCTGGGAGTTGACCAGCACGGCACACCTTGTGATTGTCATGGGCACTCAGTACTTTGAGGGAAGGGAACACCGATATGTGGACTACCCACTTAGCGAAGTATTGCAGATGTTTGGCAAGTCATTGAAGCCCTCTAAGGACGGAAGAGGGCGCGGTGTTCTCATGGTCCCCTCAGTGAAGCGCGAGTATTACAAGAAGTTTTTGAACGAAGCCCTACCTGTCGAGTCACACCTGCACAACTATCTTCACGATGCGTTTGTGACGGAAATCAGCACAAAGATGATCGAATCCGGTGATGATGCCATCAACTGGACCACGTTCACTTACTTTTATCGCCGATTGCTGGCCAATCCTAGCTACTATAGCTTGACCAGCACTACCCACGATGGCCTCAGCAATTACATGTCCGATCTTGTGGAGACAACATTGCGAGAGCTGAGCGAGTCAAAGATTATCGACTTTGACGACGAGGACGGAAGTGTGTCACCTCAGAATGCGGCCATGATTGGCGCATACTACAACATCTCATACATCACAATGCAGACCTTCCTCCTCTCGCTGAGCGCGCGAACCAAGTTGAAGGGAATTCTTGAAATTGTCACCTCCGCCACCGAGTTTGAATCAATTCAAGTGCGACGCCATGAAGAGAGTCTTCTCCGCCGCATTTACGACAGAGTTCCCGTCAAGATGTCGCAGCCCGTGTATGACTCGCCTCATTTCAAGGCCTTTGTCCTTCTTCAAGCACACTTCTCCAGGATGCAGCTTCCTATTGATCTGGCGAAGGACCAAGAAACCTTGCTGTCAAGGGTACTCAGTCTCTTAAGCGCCATGGTTGATATTTTGTCGTCTGATGGCCATCTCAATGCCATGAACGCCATGGAGATGTCACAAATGGTTGTCCAAGCCATGTGGGACCGAGATAGTCCGCTGAAGCAGATTCCTCACTTCGCACAAGAGGTGGTCAAGGTTTCAAATGACTTTGGGTAAGTTGTCAAGCTCATTTAAAGTTGAAGGGGTTTATTGTATCAGTTGTGTGTACTAACAGGACCCATAGTATCAAGGACATTTTTGACTTCATGGAAGCCATGAACCCCGACGAGAACCCCGAGTACAATAACCTGGTCAAGCGTCTCGGCCTGTCACAGAAGCAGCTTGCAGAGGCAGCTGGCTTTACAAATGACAAATACCCAGACCTTGAGCTTGAGCATGAGGTTCTTGACCAAGACGAAATCCAAGCAGGAGAGCCCTCGTATCTCAACATCAAGATAACACGTAATGTGGACGAGGACGATGAAGTTGACCCGACTGTGCACGCGCCGTTCTACCCGACGAAGAAGATGGAGAATTGGTGGCTGGTGGTTGGAGATGACAAGACTCGCAACCTCTTGGCTATCAAGCGAGTGACAATTGGCCGCGAGCTCAATGTCAAACTCGAGTACACTATACCAGCAGCAGGGGAGCACGGCTTGAAACTGTTTCTAATGAGTGACAGTTATGTTGGAGTGGACCAGGAACGCGAGTTTACGGTTACAGCGGCTGAAGGAATGGACGTGGATGGTGATGAAGACGACGAAGACGAGGAGGAATAGGCGCTCGGTGTCTTTGGGAGTGGTGTTGGGGGATAATGGGTTGTGTCGTGCGAGCGAAAATGTACAATACCTGACACTGCGGGATGAGATTTATTAAGGTCAACACATGGATGTCAATTTTGTTTTCTTGGTTCACACAATTTCCCATTGGACGCTGTAATTGCAGTGATGGCTACGGTTCTGTGGCAGAATAAGTATATACTTGCCAATTAAGAATGTTCACCCCCATATATTACAGCATAGAGGACTGTGAAGGCTTCAATTGAGAAGGGGTCAAATACTGGATGAGACAAACCAGGACTAACAACATTAGGTGGTGGCGCCAGAAACACAGAAACACGGCTGATTGATGGTGGCTGCGTTTGGGGGCTTTCAGCACGGAGACTGAGACTGAGCAAAAAAAAACTGTTGGGTGTGGTGTTTGTTATTGTGTGAGTGTGCAGACGTGTAAACCTGTCAACGGGCGAGGCGGTTTGCGCACAACAGCCCGCACGCGGCCATTCTGCTTTCTGCCTGGCGCGGGAATTACGAGCGTCCAACAAAGGCCACCAGAAGCTCAATGGCTGGTCTGTGAGGCCTGCGAGGCCTGTGAGGCCTGTCGGCTCTGTCGGCTCTGTCCACGGCCTCTGGAGTTGTGGCATCTGCTGGGATCGTCTCGACGAGCGACACACGGGTCACGTGATAGCTTCTTACTGGTGACGTTTGAGGTGCTTCCTTTGGCCGTTGTGCCCAGCCTACACGTATTTTCCCTTCATCACCCCCCCATCCAAGGCAAAACGCGGGAGTGACTGGGATTCTCTGCAATTGCGCAATCCAACTCTACAATCTCGGCCGTTTTTGCGCCAGCACGCCTTTTGCGACCTCATCTCCCTACGACCTACGTCCTACGCGACCCAGTACGCGTTCAGCCACCTGCCTGAGCTTTGCCGTTGTTCGTGTAGCTACACAACATTCTTCGTGAAGCACGAAGTCAGGCCTCCCACTCCCACCGAACAATCGCGCGTCGCCGCCATCTCACCTCTTGCGCCGCAATGGCTGAAAAGGCATCCGAGAACGCTGAGATCACGGCGCCAGTTGCTGGTGCAGGTGCTGAGGCTGATGCTCCTGCTGCTGCTCCCGAGACCAAGGCCGACGAGGCTAAGCCTGAGAGCGGAGCTGCTGAGCACGGCGCGAAGGGCTCAGATGGTAAGTTTGGCACTTGACAAGGAAGCCGAGCATTAGCATGCGACCAAGACATCTTGTTGCCGAGAACCCTTACTTGGGCCAAAATTCTCTTCCGTCGCGTCGCAGCCCAAGGTGGATTTGCTTCACCTGCCGGACCGTGCTGACAAGATTGTGCCAAACCAGAACCTAAGCCCGCCGAAGCTACTGACATGACGACCGAGAAGGCCGATCCCGAGAAGGACACCGCCGCCGCTGATGCGGATGTCGAAATGAAGGACGCGGCGGACACTACCACTGTTACCATTGCAGAGACCCCGACGGCAAAAGCCAAGGGCGGTCGCCGCAAGTCCACTGGCGGCGGTCTTAGCAGGAAGGGATCCAAGGCCCGCCTGACTCACACAGATGCCAAACCTGGTGATCATTTCCTGGTGAAGCTCAAGGGTTTCCCCGCCTGGCCTGCCATCATTTGCGACGAGGACATGCTGCCTCATGCCCTCGTTACCAGCCGACCCGTGTCTGCGGCCAGGCCAGACGGCACATACGCTGAAGCTTTTGCTGATGGCGGCAAGCGTATCAACGACCGTACCTTTCCCGTCATGTATCTGCACACGAACGAGTTGTGAGTCTCTCAGTGCTCATGCCGCAAACATTGGAATCGTGTTTTCCATTCGTTTACTAACGTGAATATGCAGTGGATGGGAGAAGAACACCAACCTTTCGGAGCTCAGTGCTGAGAAGGCCAAGGACACAATCAACGACAAGATGCGCAAAGACCTGAAAGCCGCATATGAATTGGCCATCGAGCACCACCCCGTCGAGTACTACAAAGACATCCTCAAGAGCTTCCAGGAAGAGCTGATTGCTCAGGAGGAGGCGCGGAAAGAAGCCGCTGCCACCCCTAAGAAAGGAAAGAAGGGCAAGAGCAAGGCCGCAGAGGAAGAAGACGCCGAGGTGGTTGAGCCTGATGCATCCGCCAAGAAGTCCAAGAAGAGAAAGGCAGAAGACGAAGTTGCTGTAAGTGCTATTCCACATACACATGGCAAATCCAAGGGCGCCGGGGGACTGACTGGTGTTTCTACAAACAAGACTCCTCAACGCTCCGATTCTGTCAAGAAGCCCAAGATTAAACTTAACACGTCGTCTACGCCAAAGACAGCAAACGGAGCTGGTGCACCAAAGTCAACTGCTGGGTCTGCTACCAAGATAACCAAAGTCAAGACCAAGAAGCCCAAGGAGGCTAAGGAAGCGGGCGAGAAGAAGGCTGAGAGCTCCAAGGAAACTAAGATTGATCCTGAAGAGCGCCACAAGCGCAAGGTTGTAAGTCTTCAACATTTGTTTCAACACCCTCTGTCGAAGTTATGTTGCTGATTCAGCATATAGAAGGAAGTATTGTTCCTTCGCCACAAGCTCCAAAAGGGTCTCTTGACACGAGAGCAGCAACCCAAGGAGGAGGAGATGCAGAGCATGTCAGACTTCATCACTCTGCTCGAGAAGTTTGGTGACCTTGAAGTATCCATCATTCGAGCTACGAAAATCAACAAGGTCCTGAAGGCTATCCTCAAGCTCGATGCTATTCCTCGCGAAGAGGAGTTCCAGTTCAAGAAGCGATCACAGTCTCTTCTTGATAAGTGGAACAAGTTGCTGGCCAGTGACACTTCCGCAAATGGAGTTAATGGTGCTTCAGAGTCACATGCTGAAGCCAAGAAATCTGACGCCAACGGCGTGAAAGTAGACGGCGAGCCCAAGTCTGAGGCTACCACGGAGCCAAAAGCCGAGAAGGCTGATGCTGGCGAACCAACCAGTGTCAAGGATGCCGACGAGGTTAGTTGACGAGATGCGTTTGGTGGTTCACGGGACGAGTTCTAATTTTTTCATAGTAAACATGACCTAGTTTTCTCTAATACCCTTGATGCGCACTTATGCTGCCGCTCGCTTCGGGAGCGAAACGGCTAATCTAGCACGCCACTTATTTCATATTGTGTTTACAGAATCAATCGAGGAGTTATATCAATTTTTTCGTTGTTTCAAAATTTGTCTCCCGTTTTGATTTCCTTGAGGCGCAGGGGCAAGATACATTGCCGTTTGTTTCAAATCAGACAATCTGGTTGGGCTGGGACAGGGTGGTTGATGTATGAATATTTCTTTGCCCAGGAAGGAGAAGGTCACAACATTGATGACAGTCTTTAATGGCGTCTTTGAGACCAGCTATTTTGCAGCTTCGCCGAGCAGAGTTGTTGTACACGAGCATGCCATGGTTATGGCTTTCAGCCAGGCATGTGTGCGAATACACGGAGAAGGAGGGGAGAGATACAAGTGAAGTGGCGACAACGGACACACAAAAAGAAAAGAAAGAAAAAAGAGAAAGGGGGGACACTTCAACATACAAAAGGTGTGACGTGGCTGGGATGATGGGATGCAGGGTGAGCCAGGACGGGCCGGGGGTTTAGTTTTGCAGAAACAATGGGAGCGGCGAACATATTTGTTGTCACTAGTCGGGTATCAGAGAGCCGAGGTGTCTCTTGACCTGACTAAAAGTTCCAGGTATTTATTTAGCTTATGAATTTCACGATGGGATATTCCTGAGACAAATCTGTACAACTCATGACACGAAACAAGCGTTGCCAAACGTGGCAACGTTGCGTCTTGAGTTGTACCTCGAGGAAGATTGGTGGCGACATGAAAACGAGGAGGTTGAAGCTGGGGCTGGTGATTGTGGTGAAGTGGCTTGTGTAAATTGGTCCACGATTGTTTTGAAGGCACAGAGTAAACATGGTTTCTAAACCAGTGCAGTTTCTGAATCAGTTGGCTCATGACGAAATACTTGCTAATGCCCTTTTCAAGCCTTTCGCAGCGTCTTCGTTTTGTTGCAAGTTGCCAAGCCAGTACAGTGTCCAGTACAGTGCGAAGTGTCAAAACGAAAACGCGGTGGGAGCGTCGAATCGGCGCGTCGCTCCCCCCAGAGACGCAAGACGCAGCTCGATTAAAGCCCATATTTTCTCTGAGAAGCAAAAAAGGGACATCACACGCTCCTTCGAGGCTCTCCCCAAAAATGGATCAGGGAGACGAGCCTCGGGATACCTTTGCCCAAGAAGACCACCAGGTATGCCGGTCCCTAGCCCCATGCTCACTTCGCCCATGAGTTGGTGATAACCGGCGCCCGTGACATCTAGGTCGCTTACATCTTTGACCCGGACCAAGACGACAATGCTCGTCGGGAACCAAGGGCGCCGAAAAGACGGCGAGTGTCCAAGGGCGCTGCCAAGAAGAGCGTACAAGCTGATGAGGCGCCGCTCTTTGTGCCGTTGCTCAACGGTGCCGAGCAGGAGGCGTTTGTGAGGTTGAGGCAGACGAGATTCGAGGAGGCCTAAGGGGACTTTTTTTTTTTTTTTTTTTCATTCAAGCAAAAAGACAGGCGGTAGCTGACGCAGCGTAGGCGATTTTGAGAGAATCCAACTCGGCGACTTTGGACCAAGTCTCGGCGTTTGTGAATGATGCTGCGGCCGCAGGGTATGCATGCGGTGTATTTCCAAACGTGATTATGGCACGGCTGAAGCTAATTGATTCTGGGACAAGTATCGACCAGATACCCTCTGCGTTTGTCGTGACGGGGCCGAATATCGCCTCGCAGGGCTTGTTGTTTGAACAGCTCTCCGAGACATTGGGCCAGCAGCCCGCGAGTCGGTTTGTGCGGCTGAAGTCCTCGGAGGCGGTGACGCTCAAGGCCGCGCTGAAGAAGACGATTAGAGATGCCATGGCGATGACGGGAGATGCCGAGGACGAGGAGATGCAAATTGATGAGGCGCCGAACGTAAGCCCCCCCCCTTTACAATATGTTATCTTTGTTTGCATTGCTCAACCGGGAGATGGGAGTTTAGGGCCGACGATATCTAGAGTACGACCTGGAGGCGTTGGAGGCTTTCATCAAGCCGCTTAGATGTGAGCACGTCTTCGTGGCGTTTCAGGACAGCGAGGGCTTTGACAGCGGCCTGCTGTCCGACTTGATTACTCTCTTCCAGTACGTGCTGTGTCTGTCCGTCATTGCTCTGCGGCTAAGTCTGTTCTAGCTCTTGGCGCCCTCGGATCCCATTCACTCTGCTGTTTGGCATCGCTACCTCGGTGGAGTTGCTGCAAGCACGCCTGCTCAAGTCGGCCTGCCGGCTGGTATACGGCGCGCAGTTCGATGCCGCCCAGGCTGGCAACATCCTCGAAACAGTCTTCAAGGGGGCCGTTGCCGCCGCTGATGTCCCCTTGATATTGGGCGGCCCTCTTCTCCAGAGCATGCTGGATCGACAGCATGAGCAAGTAGCTGGCATTCAATCATTTACTAGCTCCCTAAAGGTATTTCGCGACCTTATCCCCCCTTCTCTTCTGGCTCTGGCGTTTTGGTTTCTGATATAGATGTCTGACTTGGTCAAGTACGCATACATGTGTCACTTCTACGCAAACCCACTCAGCATCCTTTGCTCCTCTGATGGAGACGACGCTCCCCAGGCAGAGCACCTCGAAGCAGCTCGTAATCTACCTTCATTTCGGCACGCTGTCGAGCGGGAAGTAGAGAAAAACACGAGTGAATCACTCCAGCACGCCAAGTCTCTGCTTGACAACAACGAGTATCTCCTCGACCAAATTAGACGGGGGCACAGTAACAAGCAAACCTGGGCAGGGAGATACCTCCGGTCCCTACTGATAGTACGAGCTGCGGGTGCACAACGGGGGTCTTTCTCAAGAGCATATGTCGACGGTCTGGAGGGAAGCGCTTCGATGCCCTCTGAACAGTCTTCCCTGGCAGCGTTTATCCGCAGGATGAACCCAGATGAATTATCCAGAGTACTGGGTGATATCATTAGTATTTTCAAAGAGGGGGACGCAATCCTGCGTTTGGGCCCATCTATAGACGAGCAGGATCAACAAGTGCAAACGACACTGGAGACCAAACTTGAGGAACTGGAGCGGCTCAAAGCCAAGGCAGACGAACAAGGAACGCCGCTACGAAGCAAATATAGTGGACAAAGCAAAATCATGCGCACAACCGTCATCGCGCAAAAGGTCCAGCTGAGTCGGGACTCTGCGGCTCTTCGCGATGATGATAAGGCATTTACTGAGATTGTCGACCAAGTGACGGATGTACTGTCTGCGTATCATCCGGATACAAACGCCACCGAGGTCATGTTTGCCGAGTGCTGGCTCTACGACTCCAAGTCACCTTCGCGGCAAGTATTTGTTCCTCGACCACGGGCTGTGTTTGAGCGTAGTCTCGGTCGTCCGCACGACTATCTGGGATGCTCATGCTGCAAAACTGATGGCGGGGGCCTGCAGGCAACTCTCCCTTCAACGTCTATCCTGTACCAGCTGTACCTTGAAACAGGGAACTTGATCAACGTGGCAGACTTGTGGTCAGCCTTTCATACCCTAGTGAATGAGAAGGAAGATGATGATCGGAAAGCGTTGGTGATGTTTTATCGGGGTCTTGCGGAGCTCCGGGCTCTAGGATTCGTAAAGAGTAGTAAGAAAAAGGTAGATCATATTGCCAAGGTGAAGTGGCTGTAGAAAATTAACCTGCATAGTCCGCTTGTACATACATACATAAACCTGCTCATTTGGAAATGAGGCTTCTAAAAATAATACAATTTCAAGCTGAAAAATGATCATGCAGTAGGTTCCGGCTGAAGTAGACAAAGACAAGGTGCACTTAGACGGTGACACGGCCAAAGTAATGTGTCCGTTCAGTAAGCTGCAGCTTTTTTTTTTTTTTTTTTTTTTTGGCAAGAAAAAAAAATCATTTTCTGATATGTCTCCGACCCAATGATCACCAAGAGAAGAGCGTTCGCAATGTGACGAGAATCGTCTGCCAAGAATCAAATTTACGAATTAGCATGTGCTCTCTTGTATGAGGGCTTCACCGAGCCAATACCCGAAGTCCCCGCGTAATTAAACGTCTTTTATTGCAAGACACATGACACATTTGGCTAGTTATCAACCAACATTTCTACAGCGCCTGCCTGGAAGAGCAGGAACAACGACGACGCGGACCAACCAAGAGAGGGGTCTCACAAGGACAAGCACAGGCCTCTACTAAGAGTCAGCCTGGCTAATAATTAAGGCAAGGTCGGCTAGCCCATCCACGATTAACGGTTGAATTCGTGAAACCGATAAGGACTCCGGGGCGAACAGACAAAATGGCGTCGGAACGAAATTACACATGCACAGAAATAGAAAATGCGGCGTATTTGTACTGAGGAACTTCACGGGTAAACTAGAACACTCCCACGCAGAGAAGAAGAAGAAGAAGTTGAGCAGCGGACGAGGGTAATGCCGGGGAGTAAATGAGACATCTGACGGAGCGCTGAAATTGAGGGATGCTAAAAAAAGAAGCCAGAGTTGTTGAGATTGGTGTGTGAGGGAGAGACATTTTGACCCGCATTGGGCACTGGGCTTTTGCCAGGAGATGAGCGAGGCTTTTGATTTTCGAGTCAGCAGAGACGAGACAAGCATGCTGATGAGTCTCGTGCGTTTAGTGGATCGAATGTCTGTTTGCTCGACTACGCGGAGACACAGTCAGAGTGAGATTTGTGCGAGTCGTGCGTCATGATTCTTGTGTGAACTTGGTGCGGGCGACGATGGTTGATGCCTTGACCTGGTCGAATGTCTCGGACGAGAGGCGTTGGGCTGGCGGAGTGAGTGCTCACGGGTTGGGTCATGAGCAACCCATGTCGTCGTGTTATTTGCGTTTTCAGAGAGACTATGACCATGTGGACAAGTGACGACCGGGTAGAGCGGGACAATGGACGCATTTTGCCGTTTTTGCCTGACGCTCGTCATGTTGATGATGTCTTCACGGTGGCCGTTGTGCCCCTATGATGCCGACAGACCGAATGCTCTCAAGCAGTGCTGCTGGGTTAATGTGGAATGCCGCGAGTGCACTATTCCTTGCTCGGCGTCCAATAGCTACTAATGCACACACATTAAGCGGATGCAAGTATGGCGTCTTCGATACCGCCGCAACTACGGCGGAGTATACGGAGTAGTATAGACCAGTCCATACGCCAATTCTTAGCCAGTAGTCAACAGCATCGACACATTGAACGGTGTATTGGCTTGGCTTCCTCCGCTGTGCATTTGGGGCTGGGTTAGGTGTCGCGGAGCAATATCCCATTTCGTCTGGCAATAGTCAGGTAATATGCAATACTATGTTGTGTTGGATATCACGGGCCATGTCTTGCACGTGCAACAACTAGACGGGAGGATCTCCGTTTCGAAGTCCAAGGTCTTCTTGCGGAGATTAGGGCGCGAATCGACCTTGCTATGGCACGATATCTCTGCCGTGAGCAGGGAAGAGAGGCACTCTGTACAAGCTGATTCGCCCATCTGCCTCGGATAACTGGATAGGGCTAGTGTTTCGATGGCTATAGTTGCTATTTGTGGAAGTAATTGATTGTGAAGTAATGGTACTCCGTATGGTAGTGCGGAGTACTTCCAAGGTCGTTTGCTGTCGATGGGCTTGTCCGTCTTTGCTTTATTTTGCTTTGCTCGGGTTCGTCTTGCCTCGTCTCGCTTCGTCTTGCTTTATTGATTTGCTGGTCACATTCCAGACGTCGATGACTGGGCCTGTTAGCTTGGGCACTTGAGCAGTTTGAGTTGCCTTGGCTTCTGCGCTGTCTCTGATTACGGACCAGTCGCACGTCGTCGTTGCTGTGGTCCAGTAGTCCAATAGTCCAACCTGTTCCATCTGTGTCTGTGAGTTTGGTGAGTCTGTCCCATGTTGGCCTCTTGTCCTGGACCCCTGGTGGGTTCAGGCTTCGCATCCACTTCTGTCTGGGGGAGAAAGAGTCCTCGAGGCAGTTACTATCAAAATCGCAATCGTTCCAAGATTCGCTTCCGCCTTCGGGAAGGAGCTTCCCTGTCCAGATGGGCGTCTAGATATCCACGGAGTACCCGGCACTGCCAGCCAAGTGTTCGCCAGGTGCAAAGATGCTCCATCTTTAGACTTCGACATCTGGACCCCGGCCCAGCCTCAACATTGTTGGTTCTCTGTCCTCCATAACCCAACCACTGACCTGCAGCTGGTGACGTGCAAGGCACATTGCCCAGCGACAGGGACAAGCTACAAGTAATATTGCAACATTGAACCGTCCCTCATCTCTACTTCCCCTTATCTACTCCGTACTCGTATGCCCTCATTGCCCATCTCCTCTTTGGCATTGGGAGCCAGCAAAGGTCCATCGCATACAACCCAGCATGGACCTCGTCTCCAATCCTCCAGCTACCACAACCACACACTGCCCGACACCCATGTCCGGCTTATGTCTCACTTCTAGACTGCGTCCGTCGCATAAACCACGAGACGGCTGATGTTCTTTTTCTCTTTAGCATTCTACTTACTCGGCGGAATACTTGCCTCTAGTTGACAGATCCCTGTCCACTTATGTATCTTAACTACAGGCATCCGTTCTGCTACAGAATAGACAAGGCTGGGGCTCGCCGACGGGCATTATAACAAGGTGCCCATTCTGCAAGGGAAGAACGAGCCAAGACTGGCCACTCGCGTGGCTCTTGCTGCCAACAATGCATCGAGGAACCATGACGATGATGATGACCGTCCGGGTTCCGGGGTCGATGTTGGTGGACGCACGAAGATGCTAGTACTGGAGTCTCCACCAACAACACGATCCTCTACTCCGAATGCTGCACCCGCCACCCTGGCAAGCGAGACAAAGGTTCACGCTTTGCCCTTACCAGCAGTCCTCTCCTCGCCTTACTTCATTGTTCGTACCCTCCAGCTAGGGGCCACCTTAGGACCAGCTATAGCACCTGCGTCCCCATCTCGGGCCTGGTCGATGTACTTAGTACGCAGTGCGCCATGCGATAGGCCCTGACGCAGGTCTGCTTTGTATGTGTTGGCCGCTTGTGCCGCACCTACTGGCTTGAGCCTGCGCCTTGCCTGCCGCCTCCATTTCGCTCCAGCACTTACAACCCAGCAACCAGCCAGTCAGTCGCTCATAATCTCCTTGGCTGGCACGACACGCAACACGATTGTCATGTACCAACCAACTAACACAGAAAAACTCATTAGACCGGCTCCAGCGAGACCATCATGGTCTGTACATAGGAGCAGGTGGAGACCAAGGCACGCCCCCCCGCGCCATCCCATGCCACGGCCATCCATGGGTGGTTCATGGCTCATACAAGATGGGGAACAGCTGAAATCCAGGACTTTTGAGTGTCAGTCTGCTTTACTGGCGCTGCCGGGTGCGGTTAAACGGGACCATAGGACGATTTAGTACTGGGCCGGTGAGGGTTAATACAAGAGGGCTGGGACGCTTTTACACTGCATGTAACAATAAAACCCTTGGAAGTCGAGTTCGTCTCACTTCATTGATAACCAGCCTGGTCCCCCCCTCTCCATCTTACCTTATACCACTCCGTATTGGATTCGTCTACTTCCGCTTCTTCCTTTTATTATCCCATACGTGCAACAGTGTTGTGTACTGGCCCAAACTGAAGTCAGGAAATTCAACGCTTTTGTTATATTGGCTGTTTTCTGACAGGAGCGCTTCGACGGCGGATAGAGCCTCATCAAGGTTTCTCGAAGGAGCGAAAACGGAAAGTCAAACGTGGTGCCGCATACCAGCCAGAGCACGGATCCGGCAAACCGCTTCACATTCCAACCTAGCCCATCACCACCCAAAGCATCAGAGAAAATTGTACTTGATCTTTAGTATCGCCGTCTTCGACAAAGTCAGAGTTATAACCTTGCTCAGGTCTGTTAGTAGGGCCTCTTTGCAGATTGGTCGCTTCGATATATCAATTTCGAGCATAATTGGGCAAAAGCGGAACAGAACTACATATACTTGATTCCAGCCACATCTGTGCAGCATACCAATTGTTCAGCTTGCAGAACGCCTGAAAAAAAGGCGTTTTCCTGTGCTTCAGAGACACCATTGCCTTTGAGATTCGATCCCGGTATATGTACGCACACAACTCGCTTAGATGATGCACCGAGAAATGATTCCCTCACAACAGCCGCAGTGCGAGACGTTTATTCAACGTCGTCTGGCACGCAACCCAGGTTTAGCTTACAAGTTGCACCAGATGGCACTTCCACTATCTCCTCTTGTCCAGCTCACCACTGGCGCTATTCATCCAGATTTCCCCCGAACCGTTCTTCAGTTTTGGCTGTTGACAGATGCGCAACTGGAAAGCCTGGCTCATTTCTACCACCAGAAATCACCCTCACCTTGGACGTCTCAATACCCTTGTCCCATAGTCTGGCGCTCTGACGTTTCTCTAGAGGAGAAGCGTCGTAGAATGGGCAAGTTCATCGGTTTAAGGGGCTGCGATTCACCGGCATGGCTCAAATCAGAAGACGAGATTGCTGCGGAGTCACGGCTAGCTAGTATGGTTGCCCAACAAGAAGAAACTTGGAGAAGAAAGGTTCACCCTTGGTGAAGGAATATCGACCAATGAACCGACACGAGAACGAAATAACAATCGCGATGACAGGGGAATAGCAGAGGGCAACAATGCGCCCTATTACGCTGTGTGTCCTCGCCTCGGCTGTTTGAGTCTCATGTCTATGAAACTAGAGTTGGCATATTTTTCATCTTTCGACTTGAAGTACATATTATCTACACCATCAGCGGTGCGCATTTGTATTTGGGACACGTTTTTATACTGGAGGCGCAATTCTCTTTCAACGCACAGCATCGGAGTTATTACATCTTTTGGGAGGGGACGATTTGTAACTAGGTCTTAGTACACGATTGAAAACTGAGATCAGCCAATTGACCTGTTTATTACCATCGGTTTTCTGCTTTGGTTTTTTTTCTTTCAACCACGAGTGCTAGAAAACGCCGCTTTCCCCTGGTACATGAGATGACATGCAATGACTTGAAGACGTGCCTTCATTTGCGCACTACAGGTTCTGTTGGAGAGTACAACACAATCAACAAACAAATTGCAGAGTGCAAATCGCGCATTCACAAAACAAGACAAGACGAGACGCAGACTCAGCTGGATGGCACTATCAAGCACAGCACTGAATTGTCAATTCCTATGCGCCATAAACGCCATGTCCTTGATATCCCATATGCCCCCTATGGCATAAACTCAGCTCCAGGCTTCATGATGTGGTCAATAGTATTACAAATGCCCATCATTCTTTTCTTGAGATAGTCCCGTTTATTAAGGGTGCTGGGACGTGTACCAACGTTTATCTTGGCTCATTCGCCTCGCGACCACAGGCTTGACCGGTTGACAATTTTCTATTTTTCAGTTTATTTCTTGCCTTTCTTCCCCTTGGACGGTGTATCCACGAGCACAGCATCATCCTCGCTGGCTCCATCCCTGGTCGAGCTCTTTTCCGACTCGTCTAGTTCTTTCATGAATTCGGACTGGATCTGGCCACGGCGCTTCTCCCACCACGTCTTTTCAGCGGCCTTTTGGGCCTCGATTTCGCCTAGGGATGCACGGAGACGGGTGTTGGCGGCGATTTCGTGGGCAGATTGGAAGATTGTCGGACCCCAGTTTGGTGCGAGGGCATTAGCCTGCAAACCCTATTAGTATTCTGCTCTAGCCTCACAAGAGATGCTGACTGAGGAAAACAGTTGGACAACGAGAAAAAAAAAGACACATACCTCGGTGACTACGTCTCGCAACTCTTCCTCCATCTCCTTCTCGGCACGCTGGAACCTCTGCCACAAATCATCGCCCACGCTGCCGCGCAGGAGCAGAGAGCTACACGCCTGTTTCGCCGACTTGATTTGGATCAAACGATCGATGTCCTCGACGGCACGCCGTAGGAGGGCTGCCTTGAGCACGCTATCGGGGACGCGGGGGGATTTCTGGTTGCCGTCTTCGGTGTCCATGTGCAGGAGGGAGAGGTATACATTGCGCTGGAGATTGGGACCGAACCAGGGAGCCAGGTTGGCGCTTTCGGCTGCCATCTGGTTAGCAATTGTCGTCGTTTGGAAAAATTGTAGAGTCAGACATGAAAGTTTGACATACCGGCCTTTCTCTTGCGGTAAATGGTCGAAAAAGTCATGAGGGCGCCTCCGAGGACCATCAGGTAGGCAAAGGGGAGGGCGAGGCCCACCCAGTCGATATCGAACATTGTGGTTGATTATTACGGAATTGCAGGATTGGATATAAAAAATCAGAACTCAACGACAGGTTGTGGGTGGGCAGTTTATAAGAATCGTCGCAAGAATGCCTGGTGGGAAAAGAACGTAGGAGAGATGGGACCATGTGGGAGCTTCTCACTATGACACTTGGCTACTTACTAGAAGCTAAATTCGTGGTTGCAGCCATGTGCCTGAGCAGCGCCGTTTTAAGGCTTGCAAGACTCCTCTGTAGTCAGCCGGCTCCAGGTCGCAGCCGTGGTCACAAGAGCGGCAAGGACACTAAGCCTAACATGTCCACTGCCCAGATCTGCACATGTGGCCAGTTGGCAGACAGCAGTGCGAAGCCGCGCTTCTGACTTGGAGGACCGATCACGCCGGCCCGACATTTCTCCAGGCGGTACCGAGAGCTAGTACCAGGCACCTTTGGCAATGACGATTGACGCAGATGTGGGCGGGTCAAACGTTAGGTATATCTTGCTGAGGTCAACAGCCAAGAGTACTTCTGCCATACATACGTCGCAGAGCTTGGTTCCACTTCAGTCATCGACGTCGATGAGCTTCCACGCCGCCGCCGCCGTCCTTCATCTCGACATCAAACTTGACAGTTGGCCAACCTTGTTTTTTCCCTTCGCTGTCACCTTCTCTCTACCCATCGAGGCCTAGAGAAGTGAATTTTTTTTCTACTCGCTCTCCCTGCCACCGTTTTGCCCTGTGCCGAGCTTACTTGACTGAAGCACGAGCCCCACCACTTCACCTACCTGGTGAGCCTTCGGCGAGATTGACAGTAGCAGAATCAGCATCGGGAAGGTGGCCCGTCATGCTGTTGCGACTACGAGGGCCGGATGGCATGATCCGGCTAGCGGTGGAGGAGACCACGACCTTTGGAGAACTGGGAGACCAGGTCGGTGCTGTGATTTTGCTGTCGGTCGATACAAGTTGCTAATGTGATGATTGTAGCTGTTGCCACACCTTCCGAGCACCGTTGATCCCAAGACCATCACCCTGTCAAATGCTCCAAACGGAGGCGATGCCAAAGTCCTGGTTGAGATAGCAAAATTCAAGGTTGGACAAATCGGACTCAAGTAAGCATGTTGAAACCGCCATCCAACAACTGGACGGACCGAACTAGACGAAAATGTGGATGAAGATCTGACCTTTGCCTAGACATGGCGATTTAATTTTCATCAACTACAAACACGCCAACGTGACCAACGGGGCTACCAATGGCGATGACTCGGCCAAGACAACATCCGGAAGACTTAACGGCAAGCCCGTCTTACCGACAGAAGATATGCCAATTAACCCACGAGTAGAGAGAATATCCAAGCCCTGGGAAGTAGTCAAGCAATCTGCGCTCGACAACCGGCTAGACAAATTGGATGGAAAGATCCCCAGAGGCCGCGACAAGATGTGCCGACACGGACCCAAAGGCATGTGTGACTATTGTCAACCGCTGGATCCGTTTGATCCTGGATATCTTGCCGAAAAGAAGATCAAATATCAGTCCTTTCACTCACACCTCAGAAAGATCAACTCCTCAACCAATAAGCCGGAGCTCGGTAGCTCTTATATTCCTCCACTTGTGGAACCCTTTTACCGAGTGCGACGGGATTGTCCTACCGGCCATCCTCCGTGGCCAGAAGGGGTATGCACAAAGTGCCAACCAAGCGCCATTACCTTGAATCCACAGCAGTTTCGAATGGTCGACCATGTTGAATTCGCATCACCGTCCATCGTTGATTCCTTCATTGATGCATGGCGCAGGACCGGTTCACAGAGAATTGGTTTTCTTTATGGCCGGTACGCAGAATACACTGAAGTTCCGCTTGGTGTCAAGGCTGTCGTGGAGGCCGTCTACGAGCCGCCGCAAGTAGATGAACTGGACGGCATAACGCTAAACGCCTGGGGGAACCAGAAAGAAGTCGAGCACATAGCCCAGCTCTGTGGACTAGAACCTGTCGGTGTCATTTGGACAGATTTGCTGGACGCGGGTCGGGGCGACGGCTCAGTGGTCTGCAAGCGCCATGCTGATTCATACTTCTTATCGTCTTTGGAAATTTGCTTTTCATCGAGATTACAAGCACAACACCCCAAGCCGTCAAAATGGAGCGACACCGGCAGATATGGCTCCAACTTTGTGACTTGCATTATTACGGGAAATGAACAAGGCGAAATCGGCATCTCTTCATACCAGATGTCGAATGAAGCAGTTGAGATGGTGCGGGCTGACATTGTGGAACCATCTGCCGACCCGACGGTTATGCTGGTTCGAGATGAGGAGGAAGACGATGGATCTGTCAGCCGGACACGGTACATTCCCGAAGTATTCTATCGCAAGGTGAACGAATATGGCGCCAACGTTCAAGAGAACGCTAAACCTTCATTCCCTGTCGAGTATCTCTTTGTCACTCTTACACATGGCTTCCCCGCAGACCCGAAGCCAACATTTACCCAGACAGGATTCCCTATTGAAAATCGCGAATACATTGGGGAGTCCCAAGAACATTCTGCTCTTTCCAAAGCTCTCAACTTATCCGACACCGGCCAAGAGGTTTCTAACTTTCATCTACTATGCTTCCTCCACCAAATGGGCATTCTATCCAAGGTTTGTGTCCTTTTTTCTCTAATATTTTCTGCATATTTGCTACTGTTCCTAGTTCACTGACACATTTGACTCTATTTTCAGGACGAGGAAGCATTGCTGTGTCGAGTCGCGAGTCAACACGATCTCGCCGAATCTTTCCAACTACGTTCAACAGAAGGCTGGCAAACCCTCCAGGCTATCCTGCAATCGACTGGTGAGCGACTCCCCAAGCGTCCGCGAGATGGCCATGCCACCACCTCGGCAGACTCCTCTGCGTATGATTTTTCGACGCGTCATGTTAGTGCGCGTGACTCGGGTGAGCCACTTACTAAACGCTTTGCTGCCTTCAGGCTGAACGAACGCCGGACGCCGAACCGAGACGCTTAATTCTGTTCCGGATTGGGATGATCCACGGAGTTGATACATGATTGGCTGCTGGGATTGTGAATCGCTTACGTAGGTAGTAGTCAAATATACACATTGCAGGTTTCTAGACAATGTCAGGCACATTGTATGTTACATTTAGATCCAATTTTAGCCTGTAATTTCCAAGGTATCAGTAGCATTTCAATCGGGTTACCCTTCTATAGCGGAGGTACCGCAGGGGATAGCATATTACTCAGTATGTCGAGCTCAGGCGGTAGCTTGGAAGAGTTCTTCAGACGTCTGAGTCTGCAGAGAAACATCCCAGCTGACCTTGTGATGCTCGGCTGACGATGGATCTTGGGAGACTAGCGATAAATATCAACCTGTCCAGCAAGGCGGCGGCTCTGCTGTTCCAGGGACAATTTGTCCATGTCCCGAACCTCGACCCATGATCTACGACGTATCAACGGATCTGGCTGTGACCGAGCTTCTAGTGAAGCCCTTGGCGGTCAGAATGGTAATAATCACGCAAGTGGTGGCTCTAATGTCCAAGGTCAATGATAGTCGCATGTCCGCTCCCGTGATATCACTGAAATCGCGACGCGTCTGGCTTCAATAGCCACTAATAAGTAGCTCCCACGGCGACAAACAGTCTAGATTCTCCGTGAATGCAGCCGTGATCCAAAGGGCGAGGTGCCAAACGGCTTTCGTCTGCCTCCCATGCCTACGGCGGCGTACGCCCGCGGAAGACATCTCTCCATGGGCTACGCTAGGCTCAGCATAACTTAGTTAGGTAAAGGTGCGCTGAAGGCGTGGCGGATCGCAAAACGAAGAGAAAGTGCTGGGGCAGAGCATCCCAGCTTTGCTTGCTCTTGGAGTTGGTCAAGCTGCTCCGGCACCATGTAACAAGCCATTGGTCTCGAAAGGTATTCTGCGATTGGTTAGTCTGAGGGGTAAAGTTGTGTGAATATGTTAATGCATGCTATTGGTAGCTGCCTAGTAGCTCATAAAGGATATTTCTAGCGTACTATTGATTATAGTACAGGATACTATAATACATTTAATTATATACAAATTTACTTAGATATTTGTATATAAATAAATACATTTTACGATGTATCATATAATATTTCCTTACTACTATAAACTTCCTTGGGAATACTGTAGTAATGGTAATCTGAGAGAAACGTTTTTATTTTGTAACCTATCCTGGACTCCAAGTATCTTCAACAGTAAAAGTAGCAAAGAAACCAGACAACACATTCAGTGTCTACCCTTATTTTTAGTTTCAACCCATGTATTTCTGAATCGCTATCTTGTATTGGTTTACAATGGCTTGCCGCCGATAAAGTCGGACCAGCGGCGGACTTCAGAGGGAATACCCTCCTTGCGGGGAAGTTTTTCACTCATGCACTGGGCGAAGAGGATAGCCGTCTACGCATATTAGTAAGAGATTGCAACTTAAGGGGGAAGCATAGGGGATGTTTCATTTACCTGGGGTTCCATGAAAAGAGGCACGCCAAAGTCGACGGCGTTTCGGCGCATAACATAGTCAACGTCAAGAGTGGTCTTGCCACGGGCAACAGCCAAGTTGAAGCAGCCACGGATGTCGTACTTTTGGAAGACTTCACGGAGGGCTCGCTTATCCTCCTTGGGGAACTCAATGACTTCGACATTGATCTTGTCCTTGGTGGTGGACTCGAGGAATTCCTTGACGTCATTGCTGGCGGCATACAGCTTGTATCCGAGAGGGGAGACGAAGTCGACAACCTGGGTCAGCCAGGCCTTGCTGGTATCGCCGCCGAAGAGGAGACCCTCACCAGGTTCGGGCATGCGGAAGTTCATTGTGGACTGGAGAGAAGCCCAGTAGGCTTCGATGAGATCTTTGCCGAAGCAGGCAATCTCGCCAGTCGAAGACATTTCAACGCCGAGGAAAGGATCGGCGCCAGCGAGACGGGTCCATGAGAATTGAGGTACCTTGGTGGCGACGTAGTCGCGCTTGACAGCCATGAGGTCAGTGGGTTTAGGAACGTCCTTGCCGACGAGTGCTTTAGTAGCGACATCGATGAAGTTCAGGCCGAGGACCTTGCTGACAAAGGGGAACGATCGGGAAGCACGGAGGTTGCACTCAATGACCTTGAGGGCTGGCTCGCCACCCTCGGGGTCATCAGCCTTGATGATTTGCATATTGAAGGGACCAGTGATGTTCCAGGCCTTGGCGACCTTCTTGGCGATGTCCTTGACGCGCTCCATGACGGCGCCGTCCAGGTTGGCAGGTGGGAGAACCAGAGTGGCATCACCAGAGTGGACACCAGCCTGTTCAACGTGCTCAGAGACTGCGTGGATGATGAGTTCGCCCTTGGAGGCGACCGCATCAACGTCAATTTCCTGGGCGCCCTCGATGAACTTGCTGATGACGACGGGATGGTCGGGGGAGACATTGCTGGCGGCCTCAAGCTTCTCCTTGAGATCTTCCTGGCTGCGGATCACAGTCATGGCAGCGCCAGAGAGGACGTAACTGGGACGGACAAGAACGGGATATCCAACTTGCTCGGCGAACTTCTCAGCAGCCTGGACGGAGGTGAGCTCTTTCCATGCAGGCTGATCAACGCCAATACTGTCGAGAATCTCGGAGAACTTCTGACGATCCTCGGCCTTGTCGATGTCTTTGGGATCCGTTCCAAGAACCTTGGCACCGCCCGTTTCCTGTAGACGCAGGGCAATATTCTGGGGCAATTGGCCGCCGACAGAGACAACCACGCCAGAGGCATTCTCCAGTTCATAGATATCCATAACACGCTCGTAACTGAGCTCTTCGAAGTAAAGTTTGTCGGCTGTATCAAAATCGGTGCTGTAGGTCTCCGGATTATAATTGATCATGACGGTCTTCTCTCCCATCTGGCGGAGGGCTTGGGTGGCGCCGACTGCGCACCAATCAAATTCCACAGACGACCCAATGCGGTAAACCCCACTTCCCAAAATGACCGTGCCATTATCCTCGAAAGTCACATCGTGGGAAGAACCGTTATAAGTAGTGTACAGGTAGTTGGTATCAGCAGGGAACTCGGCAGCGAGAGTGTCAATCTTCTTGACCCAAGGGCGGATGTTGAAGCCCAATCGGCAAGCGCGCACTTCGTCCTCAGTGGCGTTGACGGCCATACCAATTTGGCGATCCGAGAAGCCAAGTTTCTTCGCCTTGATAATCTGGTCCTTCTTCAGAGCCTGCAGGCTACCAGCGGCCTGGAGCTCGCGGGTGCAGTCAACAATGTTCTGGAGCTTGTACAAGAACCACTTGTCAATCTTGGTCAGCTCATGAACTTTCTCAACAGAATAGTTCTCGTGAAGCATGGCCTGGCCGACGGCGAGCCATCGACGGTCAGTGGGGTTCTGCAGCTCGTAGTCCAGGTCTTCAAACTTGTCACCCTGAAAGCCAACAAATCGGGGATCAACCTGACGGATAGCCTTCTGGAAAGATTCTTCAAACGTTCGGCCAATTGCCATGACTTCACCGACTGACTTCATGGCACTGCCAATATCACGCTTAACGTGCTGAAACTTGGACAAATCCCATCGGGGCATTTTTGTGACAATATAATCCAGAGAGGGTTCGAAGTTGGCGGTGGTGGTCTTGGTAACGGCGTTGGGAAGCTCAGGTAGACTGTGGCCAAGACCAATCTTGGCAGCAGTGTAAGCCAGAGGGTAGCCAGTAGCTTTTGAGGCCAGGGCAGAAGATCGGGAGAGACGGGCATTGACCTCAATGACACGGTAGTCGAGGCCGTCAGGCTGCAAGGCATATTGAACGTTGCATTCACCAACAACACCAAGATGTCGCACAATCTTGATAGCCGCGGATCGAAGCATATGGTATTCCTCATCGCTCAGGGTTTGCGAAGGAGCAACGACAATCGAGTCACCGGTGTGGATGCCAAGTGGATCAAAGTTTTCCATGTTGCAAACCGTGATGCAGTTGTTATTGGCATCGCGAACGACTTCGTATTCGAGCTCCTTCCAGCCCTTGAGAGACTTCTCCACCAGAATTTGAGGCGACAGGGTCAGGGACCGCGCAGCCATGTTGCGAAGCTCCTCCTCGTTGTTGGCGAAGCCAGAGCCTAGACCACCCAAGGCATAGGCGGCACGGACGATGATGGGGTAGCCGACCTTTTCAGCAGCATCCAAGGCCTCGTCCACAGTGCCAACGGCAATAGACTTTGCAATTGGGATGTTAATCTCTTCCAGGGCCTTGGCGAAGAGGTCTCGGTCCTCTGAAACTTCCAGAGTGCGAACACTAGTGCCGAGGACTTTGACGCCGTATTTCTCGAATAGACCTTGGCGCTGCATCTGGACACCCAAGTTCAGGGCAGTCTGTCCGCCAAAGGACAAGAATATGCCATCGGGCTTCTCTTTCTCGATGACATAGCTGACATACTCGGGGGTAACTGGCAGATAGTAGACCTCATCGGCGAGGGAGTGGTTGGTCTGGATAGTAGCAATGTTAGGGTTAATCAGAACAGAAGCGACGCCAGCTTCCTTGAGAGCCTTGAGGGCTTGTGAGCCTGTATATGAAAAGGGCGGTGTTAGCATGTGAAACTTTAAATTTGAACAAGATTTCGTCATGTTTGCGGCGGCACATGAGTCACGACTGTGAAAGCGCGTCCTCGGTGTGCCTGCTCTCTGCCTCCTCTTGGGAGATGTCGGCATGAGGGAACAAACCTGAATAATCGAATTCACCAGCCTGGCCAATGGCAAGACCACCACTGCCAATGACGAGAACCTTCTTCACATCGACATTCTGAACATGCTTAATGATCCCACTGTCGATGTAAGCCTTGGTGTTTGGCGCGGACTCGGCTGGCGAGGAGCTATAATTTCGGACAATGGAAATTGTGCCAAGTCTCTTGGGGACCTGTTTAGCCTGCAGCAAAGAGCGGGCAGACGACCTCAACGAGGCTGTGGTGAGAGACCTGGCGGGAGAAGGCAGAGTTCGAGGAATGCGACGCCCAGCTCGGAGCATGACCGGAGCGCGGCCAGCCAGCATCGAAGGCATCGCGAGAGGCATCACAATTGCAGACGACAGACAGACAGCTCCCCGGGCGTTCAATGCTTCAATGACACCGTCCCTCGAGCAGCCTGGACGTTCGCGGGGCCAATTGAGCAGGTGTCGATGGCCAGCGGAGCGAAGGGGACACGGAATTGCAGAAGGAATGAAAGTCGGTGACCAAGACCAAAAGCAGAGGGATGCGTGGTGTGTGGTGTGCGTGGTGTGTGGGACGTGGGACAAAAGGCCGGGATTGGAACAATTAAGAGCTCGGGCCAGCAAAAAAAAAAAATTGGGCGGCTCCAGGTTCCGGTCCGGGGGTCGGGCGAGTCACAGACAGACTTACAGTCAACAGCCGATAAGATAAGGTCAATAGTCTAGTCGCCTGGAGCAGCGTATGTGAGCACTGTAGTTAAGTATTGTTCGAGAATCAAGCGTCAATTACTAGTGGTGATAGCAAGAGCGACTGGTTATGGGTCCTAGCGCTTGCGGCTGCTGGGGCTGCAGCATCAGTGGCGCTGCCGAACCAGATGGCGACAAATTGTTGGCAAGATTTCTTGTTGAGGGTCCGGGAAGGAAAGAAGCATGGAAAGAAAAACCTGCGTGGGTTGTCGCATCAAATGTGTGAACCCTGACCACGCAGCACAGTCATAAAGTGGGAAGTGCGCTGCGAGTTCGGCATCCAGGATAAAGCCGACGCCATCCTTCTCCTTATTGATGGCAATGCCCAGTCTTCGATCGATGCCCGCCTGCTCGTAGAAACTTGCCCAAATCGTCCCTGCAATGGGAGGCAATGATGCATCATCAATTGATGCATGTGCAACGCCTGACGCCAGCTCACTCGTCATCCAAGTGCGGTTGAGGTGTGCCAGCTGCACGGCGCATGCAAGCATTTCCGGACAAGTACGGAGTACTCCGTACGAGGCGCGCACAACATGTTGACCCGTGCCATGGCTGTACAATGTCGGCCCATGAACACCAAAGCGGGTTATTGCCGCGTCAATCCGTTCCTTGCGCTTCATGGCTGATGAAGCCTTCACATCAACCAGCCTGGAACTTGCACCGTTGACATCAATTGATGACCGAACCCGCCTTCTCGTCTGTCCTGTCCGTCGTCACCTTGCCTGGGTCCCTCCCCACGCTTTGCCGTATCAATGATCCACCTGATATGCGCATTATTCTTGAGTGGGCCATCTTTTTTCCCAAATGCAAAGTCCCCAGCTCTTCTAATTGGATCAGCTGATAGGGAGCTTCTCGGTAGTCACTTGGCTAGCCAGCTGCCAACTTTGCCAACCCTGAACCTTATTAGCGCGTTGCTTGCTTGCAGAGACAAGATGCCAAAATTGACAGAGTATAAAAATACTTTTGCATCTTCTGCATCTTCTCCATCATGCAGCCACGGAATTGCCCATGCCATCGTCTGCAATGCGGTAGACATCGTAGGATTGGTGCATCCCAGCTAGGATTGTGTGTGATTATGTAAGCAACGACTTCACCTGGCCGCATCGCCACTCGAATACTCCCATCAGACCTGCTCTCACATGTATTGACTATATCTTCGCCACACAGGACGTTTGCCAAACCCGGCTCCAACTTGGAAATCTTTTAAAAAGCTTGAGAAACGCCATACCATGCCTCAGCGGTATGCCTGGCGCCCCAAGACCGAATTATACGGATCATCTCTGTAAAGGATGAAGCCGGAGACAAGTGCATGTCTACGTATCGTTTAGCACCTCCCGGTCGACATATCGGCAGAAGAAACGCGCTAAAAGGAAACCTGTCATGGTCTACAGCATGAAATCGTAGCCCACAGGGCAACACTCGGGCATACAGCAACCTGGAGCCTACCCTAGGCTAGATTTGAATACGATAGGAACCCTTGCTATTTTGTTTGGATTTTGTTCCTTTCACGCACAGCCTGTGTCATTTCCTTGGCTATGGCTTCACTACAAAGCCTCCCCCGCGGCGTCAGCTCCAAATCCTCCACAGTGGGCGAATCCTTCCAATTTTCAACCGCAAGACTGAAAAAAGACTCTTCCGAAAGTTGTCTCATATGCTTCCCAAAAGCAGTGGGCATCCCGGGAGTACACAAGCAAATCTGAGTGATCAAATGCGCCTTTGCCACCATGCTCACCGCCACTGGCCTCCGTATCTCGTGATACTTCTCCAACGCAGAGCGCATCAGCTGGCGAGATATTCGCCCCTCTCGCCTTGACAAGGCCTCTCTCCTCGCCCTCACAAGTTCATTCATGAGCACGGCACACATCTCGATGGCCTGGCAAGCCCCCATTCCACTGGCAGGAGATATCTTGCACGCCGCATCACCTACCAACACGCCACGATGAGTGTGCCAGATTGGCGCGACGCCTTCCTGAAGCGGGATTTTGAACTTGAAAATAGCGTTCTTGTCAACGTCGCCGAACGTCGCTTCTGGCATGACACGGATGTCCGCGAGCAATTGGCACGCTTTGTCCGCGTCGGAGGCTGAATATCGCGGCGGCAGCTGGGTATTTGCGGCTTGGTTTTCGAAGAGGAACCAGAATATGGTGCCTCCTTTACCGGCAAAGGCTAGAACGCCCCCGTTTGGGCGGTGAGTGCCGAAGTGGTCGCCGGGGAGGATGCCTGGTGTTGCGGAGGACATGCCGTAGGTGCAAGTGAAGGGCGATGACATGTCTGTTTTCACCCGGCAGATTGATTCTTTGTTCGTTTGTTCGTCTGAATGTGGATCAGCCGGTGTGAATCGGGACGGCCACAAAAACTTACATTCGGCCATGGGCTTTGAGGCATCTACGAGCCTTCGCAGCGTGCTGTTTACGCCATCTGCACCCACGACCAAGTCGGCTCGATAGGATCCACGAGCCGTACGAACAATGACCTCATCCTCATTCTCCTCAACCGAGGTTACCAGGCACGGACCCATGATGCATTCTCTCCGTGTGATACTCTCCCAAAGTATACGACGGAACGCCGCTCGCTCCATGATGGTGAAGCCATAACCAACCCTAGGCCAAACATCAGCACCAAGAACAATAAAACCGAATACCGCGAAACAGAGACACACCTCTTCCTACTGGTACCCAGAGCACTGTTTCTCATAATCTGGTTTCCATCTTCATCATACCGATATGTTTCAGCCAACGTGCCCGCCTCCGCGTCCACCTTCTCCGCGACACCCAGCTGGTCTAGGATACGCAGGGCATTCGCCTGTAAGCCGATTCCCGCGCCTTTATCACCCTCGAGCGAGTCTCGCTTTTCAAAGAGGATGTAACTGAAACCCAACCCCTCGCAAAGCAAAGCCAGAGTGAGGCCTGCTATGCCGCCGCCTACGATGGCTATTTCATAGTGCTCGTGAGCCATTCGGCGCGGAGGCGTTTGGCCGTTTATGAGACCTGGGGTGGCCTGCCGTGCGATACCTCTCCAGAACCTGAATAACGATGCCGACGGACAGATGTGCGAGTGTGTAACTAGTTGGCGGCTGTATGCGCGACTTGCTTCCTTTTATGCTTGGACGCATCGTAAGGCGGCCAGTCCCGCGGCCTGGTTTGAGTCACTGCACCCGCATGTCGTATCATGTGGCTGAGCGGCACGGCATGGGATGTACAACAAAGTGGGAGTAGTTGGTAGTTGGTCATTCCTCTTGCCTTTTCCGGCATGGGAAGATGCGATGTCGTAGTGATGTCTTCCTTAATTAGGCTGAGAATGTTGCCATCGCAGCCCTCATCAACGCGCGAATAGAACAGCATTTTTTTTCTTTCAAGGATCAAAAGAAGACAGCCTCAACATGGTTGCATAAACTCGATTGACTACGTAGTAAATGGAAACAAGGAACTTGATAGCACTGTCCGTCGTCGCGGGTGTTATTCCATCCACCGACGCCAGTTGTATGATAAAATAGCCCGCGCGCAGTACCGCTTGGCGCAAGGAGCATTTGGCCCGACGTGGCTACACGTATCGTCCTATGTCATAATATTCTGTCATGCAAGGTGTATACCGGGATACACAAACATCGATTGAGCTGGATGAGTGCACTGTGGAATGCATGTACTTGTCCTCAATGATACACAGGTGTATGTATACCCACCCAACAGACGAAATACAAGACGCAGTATATTCACAGAAGGTCCGGTCACAAATATCCAAAGCCGGAAAAGAGCTTGCCTTGAATGAGCGATGCCGCAAAGGCCGTTTTGTCCACTCCTTGGCACTTTGACAACGCTGCCATGCACCGACAACCGGGTTTCAACCAAAGGCGCGCGACTCACTTGCCATCATGAACAAAGACGAAGAAAAAAACAAAGTCTCCATCTAATCTGAACATAACTCACACACTGGCACTTCGCGACTCCAAATTGACTTTTGCCCCCCTAAGCCCTTTGACACCATCTTAACAAGTGCCGCTGAATGACCGTAACAGAACCGCCTGTAAAGCCTATTGTGTTCGAAATCACAACTTGTAAGAGTTATATCAAAAGTTTCCATGGTATTCACATCATGTTCACCTCTCGGCAAAAGAGTATAATATGCCGCATCACCACGACTTTTTTAATACACAAACCTCGAATCCTCACGAACCATTTACATTCTTTCGCAGCACCTCGTATCTTTGCACAACTTGCTTCCATCGAAACTTTTGTCTACCATCATCGTCCCTGATATCTTCCAAATACATCATCGTTACTCATCCTAAAAAAAAACACAAGAAAAAACTGAAAAAAAGAAAAAACCATCGCAACAATGGGGGGACCTATTTGCCCCAGGCTATCACAACGGTTGCACTGCTTCTTTTCGCGTCGTTCAAAAGTTCGTAAGAATCGCCTTGTTACACAGGACAGTGTCAAGTGTGAGGAATGCCGTGACAGCGACGCATATTCGGCATCTGATCCGGACAACGCAGCAGCCGACGTGGAGGACCATCACGTTTCGGACGCAAGCCATGACAACTCTTCACCGCAGAACACACAAGAAGACGAAACACAGCAGCCTCTTACAGTTAGAATGAGCGCTGGATCGGACAAGACTCTTGCGGAATTGAGCCCAACCATCCGTGTCGTTCGGGACAGTTCTGCACCGGACGAGTCCCTCTTGCCAGGAGATTCCGAAGCGAGCAGCGGTACACAACTTGCATCAGAGTCTCTCGATGATTCATACACCGTACAACCAGGCTTGTCCTCGAAACGCGGAAACCGTTCGATAACCAAAGGCAAGCTCAAGCGGCCTCCCGTTCAATTCAACTTCATGGGAGACAAAGCACGCAGACGGGAAAGGTACTGGAAGAGCAGAACTCCGTCTTCGGAATCAATGGTTTGCGAAAAAGCGCTTCGCGAGGAAGAGAAAGGGGCCTTTTTTTGAGTCCACCTTGTGCACATACGCGAACAGCGACAAGTCAATGCGTTCGAACGTGGCTCAAGATGATGGCTTGGATTTTCTTTCCAATTTGATCATGGTGTTGATTTTTACCGCACATCGTACTGTACCATTCTATGCTCCTCCCCCGCCCCCGATTTCCATCTACAACTTCTTCCTTCATATAGTACACTTCAGTTTTCTTCAACACTAGGCTGAGGACATCAGTGCATGGACATCGAGGCGCTGATCATGTGAAAAACAATTCGCTAATAGAGGGTTGATATAAACAAGATATCGGGTCGGTTGGGGCAATTTGCTTCCTTTCTAGATAGAATAGCAAGAGCCGTCACCATACCTAGCCTATCTTTTTCAAAAATAAAACAATCATTTGGTAGAATTTGACTTCTGAGACATGTCGATACACAAAGAGTAACCGATCAACAGCAGTTACTCCTTGCAATGAAACTTCGGGTTGGGCATGTATAGTCTGTGGCAATATGCTCGAGTATTGGCCGTTGGCCAAGTGTGCGTTGATATGTCCCAGTATCCAGTAGTATAACGCGTGATGCATGGTTACTTGGTTAGGCCAAATACTTCTTGCCTCCCATTGTAGCTTCCTGCTTCATTGGGTAATTGATCGCTCAGCAACACACAATTCGTGGCGTGTTTTCCCATCTACTTGGCTTTCCCATTCTTAGAAGCGGCCTTGAACTTGGCGACCTCTTGCTGTACTTTCTTGTCGACACGAGCCTGGAGCTCAGGGCGGTATCCTAGCTTGAAGAGGACCTCAAGCCAGACGAACAACGGGGCTAAGAAGATGGCCTGGAGTAGGTTATCCAGCAAGGCAGGAGCGCGGCCTTCGAACGCTCCGTGTCCAACGAATTGGAAAATCCAGGCAGCAAGATGGCAGCCGAGTGCAATCTGGAAAGTGGTAGCTGGGTTCTCTGCTTTTAGGAAATTGGAGTAAGCGGTGCCGGCCAAGCAGAATGCAGCCAACACAAAGCCAGCGACTGGCTCGAGCAGTAAGTAGAGTGCCGAATACATGAGAGCCGCAATGGTGCCCAGATTGAGGTCAAGATATGGCACGGAGAGCCAGCTAGGGGTCTGGATGAGGGTGCCCGAGTATGTGGCCTAGAAAAGAATTAGGACCAGTGCCGAATGGTTGATGTCGGATTTCGGAGGCAGTGATTCCATGAGCATACCATGCAAAAGGCCGAGATCAGGATAATCGGAACGCATATTATGTGAATAAGCTTGTTGATTGAATTATGGTGGTAAGCGCCATACTGTGTACATGAAAACCAGAAAGAAAAAATTAGTATCGAATCGCACCAAGTCCAGTATGGGATTGAGGCTGAGATTTGACGTGAGATCGCTGGGTATGAGGGAGGGGTTGGACGTCGATAGACATCCGAGGTTCCATAGGTGGTGATGCTCACAAAGGTAAGGTGGTGCTCCAAATCCAGCGACATGGTGGGCACGCGACACACAAGCAAAAAAACCAAAAAAAGAGAGCGAGCCGCAGGACGATGGCGGAACGAGGAGCCGAGACACAAACGCGGGTAAATCAAGGAGATGAAGTCGAGCTGGAAAGGTTGGCGGAAGCGCCTCCTCAAAAGCCCGCCTACACGAGAAAAATAGAAGTGGATGGCAGAAGAAGACGAGAAGAAAAGGAGCGAACTCGATCGTTGAAGTGATAAGATGGTAGGTTTGGCTCATTCAGGTCAGTCGGTTCATGTGCCAGCTCTGCCTGTCGGGGTTCGGTTGGCTCTTCCGTTCCGTGGCCACTCTGAGCCACGACAAAAGCGCAGCGCCCAAGTCGACCAGACTCCATCCAACTTCGTCTACGGAGTACTCCGTAACCAGGTACTCCGTGCTGTAATGACTTTGAAGCGCTGTGCTCAGAGGGAGAGGGGGTGTCACACTAGCAAACGGAGGAACACAGAGAGTGTCTGCCGGTTCTCGGCGTGCTGCAACCATCAGTCCATCAGCTGCCAAAGTCTGTGAGGGACGGCGGGGCGTGGGTCTAAACCCAACGAATCCATAGCTGCTTCGTACTGGGCAAGGCGCGCTGTGCGAGCGTAGGAGCTTGCCAGGCTGGACATGAACCACCAGGCCACCCCAAGCCCCTCTAAACTGGAGGTTGACAGAGTCTAGCCTGTCGGCCCTGTTCGTGTTCTCGTCGTGGTCATCCAGTGGTTCTGTCATGACAGCCCACACAGAGCAGCGTGCCACGTCTCCAACTAGTGGCAGATGCTGCCTCGGCCATCAGCTGTCAAGCAGCATCGCAAGTGGTATGTATGTACATGGTATCTGTCTAGGTAAGTAATGTCCTTGAAGACCAGCATGCATGACCTAGGCCGTGTGCCCGGGCAAACTCTGCGGAGAACAGGCAATGTCTCATGAATCCCGCCGGGGAGTGCAGGGCTGAGCTATTGCGACCCGGATGGGTGGCAAAGAGACTTTGACCTGCCAAAGTACACGTGTATCGCGCCAATAATGGATATCGGGGTATATCAGCACACATACATACGTCGCTATGGACAATGATATCTTCTTGCCAGAGGCCGTGCTATTACTACTATAGAATACGATAAGCACAATCGGGTCTAGGGATTCGGGCCTTCGGTCATACTCCGAGCAACAGTTCTGTACCCCGGGGCGACAATGTGCATATACTATAGCTGTTGAAGACAGGTAATATTACTCGGTACACCAAGCTTATGTGGCGTAAGGAGGGTCCATTCTGGCACTCAACCGAATAATCGTCTCCTGAGCTCGAGGGCTGCTCTGATAAATCCTCCATGGCGATAAGAGTACGAAAAGTGAAATCGTAGCTGAGGTCCCGCTGTCTGACACTTTCTGCATCAGTCAAATGCACTGCCTTGCGATGAGAGCTTGCATGTTGTCAGGCAGGAATGGCTCTGCTGCAGGGCTTCTCTTCCGCCAATTGCATCACAGTCGACGGCCGGTCTTGGAAGAAACCCTTGTCTTCGAAGTTCGGATCAAGTCCCGGCTCACCAAACTCGGGCCCCAGGTACCAGGTAGATCTTGTTGGCAGTGACTAGAGTTTGTTCCCTAGTGTTGCGCCTTAGTTCGTGGCCCACCAGCCTCTTGGCCTCGGATGACCCTGAGGTAGAAGGGCTCTGTATAATGATTAGCAAGCACGAATAATTCAAAGAGCTGAGACATGTAGCTTCCTTGGTGATGGTTCGTAGAAGACCAAACGGTACCGTTTTTGCATCACGGCAAGAAAATATACATTCGAGCCTGCTCGTCGTTGCTCCGTTTGTACTCCGTACATTGAAGCACCTCCGAGAAACGCCAGGCAACTGCGACGAGGCTGTGCACGGACCACCTGCCTCTCATCTGGGTGACAAGATTTCAACCACCAATGTTGGCGTCGCATTTGCTCCCTCCGCCTCGCGTCGTCAACCTCTCAGATCCTCAACCACATCGCCAACTCCCACTCGGGGGCTAACCGTGCACTTCTCGGGGCGTGGAGAGTCTCTTCCAAACACATTCCTCCAGATTCCGACTCGTCTACATCCTTCGTCGCTCCGTCCTCAGCGGCGCATCCTCGCGATACATCCCCAACTGGAACTGCGGGCCGAACCTTTATCCCTCCGATTTGAGTCCTGCGAAGCCTCCGTCTCGCCAATACGCCTATCCAACTAAATATACACCGAATTATTGACTACTACTGCTGTTTCCCGCAGTAGGGCGAGAGTCCACAATGTTCTTCCTGTACAACATGGAGCGCAGGGTGACCCTGCACCCCTCGTACTTTGGACGCAACATGCACGAACTTGTCACCAGCAAGCTGCTGAAAGATGTAGAGGGTACTTGCGCTGGAAGCTACTATATCATCTCTATCATGGACACGTTCGATATCTCTGAAGGGCGCATTCTTCCAGGCAACGGTCTTGCAGAATTTACGGTCGGTTACCGCGCCGTCGTCTGGCGGCCGTTCAAGGGCGAGACGGTATGACAACAAGACCATCGCATTGCAATAAGGGAGAGTTCTAACTTGCGCAGGTTGATGCGGTTGTATATTCTATCAATCCTCAGGGTTTCTTCGCGCAGGCCGGTCCACTGCGACTTTTCGTTTCCGCACATGTATGGCAGACAACGCTTGCGAAGGCTCTTCAAAAGAATGACTGTAGCTAACCACAAGAGAAGTTGATACCAAGCGATATCAAGTGGGATCCAAACGCTACGCCACCGCAGTTTACCAATAATGAGGACACAGTTATCGAACCCGGGACGCACGTGCGCGTCAAAATTATCGGAACGAGAACAGAAGTCGGGGAGATGTGGGCCATTGGAAGTATCAAGGAGGATTACCTAGGGTACGCTGATGACTTTGTACTGCAAAACCAATTTCGCATGAATACGCCGCTAATACGCTGTTGCAGATGTCTTCAGGACTGATGAACTACGAATCTAAGAGCCGTCGATTTATAACGCGACCGCATTCGAGGTGAAGAAGGTAGATGGGAAAAAAACCTCTCTCAAGTATTCTTGAGAGAATATAATAAGACCGGGGGCTCCTGTGTGGTACAGGTCTGAGAAGCTGTTCCTCTGGGCATACGACGCGACTCCCTAACAGGGCCCAGCAGAATATATAACGACTAGAATTTGAGATGGCGCGAGCGCCAGGAGGGACTGATTGGGCAAAGCAAAATATTTTGTTAAAGATGAAGTACAAAATGAAGAGAAACAAATGGCCCCAACCGAATAGAAAAGGTCAAAGTCAGTAGCCTCTCTTCCCACATGCGCTGAGCTTGACGTAGTTTGTAGCTACAAGTTGGTTTGGTTTTGATGTATAGCAGGACGTCAGGGCCTACTTGGCATCGATTGTCAGCGTCCTTGTCGGCACAAAGAGGTGGGATATTTAAAGCAAAACGGCGTGTTGAATTGATATCAATTGGCATCTGTCTCGGGGTAAACAAATCCCGAACCAGACATCAACTCGTCCTGCAACCCCCCACCGATGACTCTTCCCCAGCGCATCGTCACCCCCACTCCACTCGATCCCCACCAAGCCATGTTATCTCCCGAATGCGAAAGCAGTAACCACTTCTCCAATTGCATCCTGCGCAGGATAAAGCAGCTTTGGAGACTAATGCCAGGACGGGCGTTTTATGCGCCCCAAGCCGACAAGTGCGCCGATGCCGCTGAAGTAGAACCACACGTCCCCGCAACCACCCTGTGATTCAAAACCGTCTCTTGAGGCCTTGACCGTACCTTGCACCCTTTTCATTCTTGACACGCACGCCTTGTTGAAGGTGTTCACTGGCTCACTGCTTAGGCATGATATACTTTTATTTCAAAGAAACCTGCGTTATAAGTTGTGACAACGTTACAGAGGACATACACCATGCAGGCGTGCAATCGGCTCAAGACGGCGTTTGCTCAGGGCAAGCAGTCCATGGGGATGTGGCAGATGATTCCGGGAGCCAATGTATCGAGGTTGTTGGCGAGGTCGGGCGTAGATTGGGTCATGGTGGATTGTGAGCATGGGAACATTGACGGTAGGCAAACACGCTTTGGAATGTCTGCTTGATGCGGCTTTGCTGACGGTAGCCAGATGGGGCCATGCATGATGCGGTGCCGGCGATTGCGGCGCTGGGCGTGACGCCTCTTGTCAGACTGCCGGATGTGCAGTCGTGGATGGTCAAACGTGGGTGATTTCCTTTTTCATCTCCCCGGAGGAGATACGTGATGGCGTGCTGACCGACACTGGATAGGGGCATTGGATGCTGGTGCTCATGGTGTAAGTTGGGCATGGTTGACATATCTCAAACACCGGGGGACCAGAGCTCGGCATGTTGACAATTTTAGATTCTCGTCCCACTGCTTCGTTCGGCAGACCAAGCAAGAGAGTTGGTTCAAGCTGCCAAGTTCCCGCCCTGGGGCAAGCGAGGATTCGGATCCCCCATCGCGCCCGAGCGGTTCAATCCCGTGCCTTCGTTTACGGAGTACCTGCAGCAGGCAAACGACGCTCTCTTGACAATGGTCCAGATTGAGACGCGAGAGGCTTTGAGCGAGGTGGAAGAAATCGCAGCCGTGAAGGGCATTGACGTACTCTTCATCGGACCCTTTGACCTTGGTATGGCTAAACACCAGCCCTCCCTTTCCCATATTTCAGTTCCCAATATATGCGGTGGGAGGCAAAAAGCATTTGGCCAGACCAAATACTTGGCCCTCGCGCACCATGCGATAACATGCTGCAGTACAATCCGTATCAGCGCATACTTGCGAACAGGCAAAATATATCTATAAGGCGCTAGACTAACCAACATGATACAGGCAATAATATTGGCCACCCCATCCTAGACGGTGTCATGGCCCCCGAGCTGAAAGAAGCCGTTGCTCGAATCCTCGCAGCATGCCGGAAAGCCGGCAAGAAGTGCGGCATGTACGCCACGAGCGGCGAGCAGGCCAAGCTCTATGCCGACCAGGGCTTCGACATGATCAGTGTGTCGGCCGACTACACTGCACTGGATTATATACTGAAACAGCAATTCAACGCCTCACAGGGCGGTCCTATCGCTGAGAAGAAGGGCTCATATTAGGGATTTCCGGCAAGAGAAGGGTGCACCATGGTAATGATAGCAGGCTGAGCTAATTCTTCTCGACTTGGTCCATTTTCGCTTCTACCTGTTCAACGGTGAAGCGGTGCATCAACTTGACTGCTTTGCCGGCTGCATTGACCTGTTCTTCGGCAGCATTGACCTTGCTGATGTGTATCTTGTCGCGGAGTCAGTAATTATCGGGTCGTTGAGCAGGTGCCAAACATGACCACTTGTCTCACCACTGGGATATCAAAATCGTAAAATTCCATCCAAGACCGAGACTCGGGTAAAGCCAGATTCACCTCCTTGTATGCGAACGGCCGCTTATCCCACACGTCGGATAACACGCCTTTTGCTTGTGTGCAAAGGCCGCAGTTGTCGCGGGTGAAAAGGGTGATTCTGCAGGCCTGCAAAAGGCGATTGGTGACAAACATTGCTGTTTATGAATTGTACTTTGGTATTCCTCAATAATATAAGCTAGTGACAGTACGAAATAGTTCACCTCGGATCATCTGGACATAAGTAGAGGTTGACGACGGCGGCGGCATCCACTGCTGTCACGTACATCACTTTTTACGCACCCGTCCCCACTCCCTTGTAAGACTAGGGGCCCGAGCTGTGCCGACCCCGCATCCAATTAGGAAGGCGGTAACGGTGCTGGAGCTGAGCTTGAGGTGCGCCGCCGATTCAGTATTTCTAGAACATCCCACCCCACCAGAGCCAAGGTCAACAGAATTCCTCGAAGCCAACTCTTTCGTTCATTTATTAGTTGGCAAACCGAGGAACTTGGCCTACCGGACAGAGGTTTCTTTATGAGGAGAATTCTGTAGAGAGACAAAACCAAACATGGCCACGATGCAGAAATGTGTCCACCAAGGCTGTGGCAAGATCTACACCGATGCTACAGAGAAATGTGAATATCACCCCGGTCCACCAATCTTCCACGAAGGTCAAAAAGGTGTGATGCTCGCTTGTTCATGGAGCAATCTCTGCTTCATATATCCATGAAACCGTCAAGCTGACAGCCGTATTAGGATGGAAATGCTGCAAGCCCCGTGTCCTCACGTTTGACGAGTTCATGTGCATCCCGCCATGCACGACCGGCACCCATTCCACCACCGACATGCCTCCCCCCGTCGAAGAAAAGCCCAAAGAGGATGATGCCTCGCTGGCCAAAAAGATAGACGCCCTCACAACTCGCACGCCGCCGCGCTTGCCAATCCAGCCGGCTCAATCGATACCCACGCCTCCTCCTCCTGCCCCGGAAACAGATGACGACGATGCGAGCTTGGAGATACCCGATGGAAGCTCGTGTCGCCGACGAACTTGCGGGCAGAGATACAAGAAGGGTAGTTTACGAGAGGGCGAGGCATGCGTCCACCATCCCGGTGTGCCCATCTTCCACGAGGGCAGCAAGGGGTATTCGTGCTGCAAGAGGCGAGTCTTGGAGTTTGACCAGTTCATGAAGATTGAAGGGTGCAAGACCAAGGACAGACACCTATTCATTGGCAGTGGGAAGAAGGAGGAGGAGGAGAAGACGGGCTCGGCCGGGGAGGAGGTTCTGAGCACAGTCAGGTACGTCTACCGTGGCAGTCGTCTGCCCATTTGCCAACGTGTGTGCTGACACGCCTGAATCACAGGCACGACTTTTACCAAACTGCTACAACCGTCATCGCCGCGTTTTTCCTCAAGAAAATCAACAAGGAAACCGCAAAGGTTGAGTTTCTGGAGAAGCAACTTGTTCTCGACTTGGTGACGAGCGACTCCCCGCCAAAGCGATACTCTGCCGACGTGCCCCTCTATGGACAGATCGACACGGCCAAGTCGTCGTACAAGATCTTGGGGACGAAGCTGGAGGTGACGCTCGTCAAGGCAGATGGGGCGTCGTGGCCGGTCCTCAGGGGAGATGAGGCGTTGACGGGTGAAATTTACCAAGTTGGGCGTGCGGGGATGGCGCAGTAGATTTGAGGCATACGGTTTTTAGATCTGGAGTTTTGGCGGTTGGACGGGTTGTAAAGGTGTACATATTCGTAGGCAAGGGAGGGGGCGGCGTACTACAAAGAGCATCATGTCTGTGCAAAACAATATTACTGCTATTAGTACTTAAATAGTTACTTACTACGTGAAGTTGCGAGCAGGGGACCCAGGCATCCATGCGATTTCTCCCTCCACGGCGACCCAATTCTCGCGCCACGTGAAAGAAAACCGTTGTCTGCGTCAATCAGGGCCACATGGCGATAACGGGGACCTCGTCACCACCAAGGGCAGCATGGAAAAGATAAGCCTCGCGGCAGGCCAGAGCGGTGCCAGTTTCAGCTACGTAAACGGGGCGGCGCAGAGCGCATCGGCACACTCTCACTGGTCCAGCGGCGCTCCTGATTCCCCAGGGCCATGCATGTGGCAGTTGAGTCCCCGGCCCTTGCCGATAAACATCGAGAGAGGGAGACTCGGCGACCGTCTGATGATGATGGCGCTCGACAGATAACTACCCGGCCACTGTTGGCGCAGGTTCAATGATGGAACTTGGCACAGCCCGGCCAGCCTTTTAAGCTTGTGTTCTTCAGGCCACGGAGCCAAACAAGGCTGCAGACCAGTCGACCCACCCATGACAAGACTAACTATCACGTATTTGCACCTGTTGACGCTTCCATCTTATCGCAACCGCTAAAATACCCAGGTAGCAGCCATTGGGGGGCAGGATAAGGAGATATATAAAGGCTCGAGCTTCTAGAACTCCGACCTTTTTTTTTTGGCCCCCCGGGCGTTAAAGCATATGGTCCCTACCCGGCAGGATATTTCACCTCTTTCCACAATTTCGCCCTCTACAGCGCGCCGTTCCTTTCCCGGCACGCAATCCGTTTCCGAGAGCCAACTCGGCCCTAGGACTCATAGTCATGGCTGCCGAAGTGTCCCACGGCCGAGGAGGAGCCGGCAACATCAACCCCGACAAGACGGAGTATGTCGACGGGGAAGTCGTCCGCGCCGGCATCGAGGGGAGCCATGGCGACGGCGCGTACAGCGCGGGCAGAGGAGGTGAGACTGAGACGATGATGCTGCCACCATTCTTTTTTTTTTTTTGCTAACGCGAGGGGTTGGTTGTTTTGCAAACAGGCGCTGGTAATATCGGCGACGTCGGGTCCGCCCCGGCGGCTCGCAAGGACAAGGACGTGGTGCCCGAGTCGGCGTATCGCGCGAGCCAGGACAACCAGGACTACCACACGGGGCGCGGGGGCGCGGGGAACGAGCATGTTGCGAATGGGCACGGCAAGAAGGCGGCGGCGGACAGGACGGGGGAGGATGTTGCGGCGCCCGTTGGCTTGGCGGATAAGTTGAAGCAGAAGCTGTTTGGTGTCATCAAGAGGTAGACTTTGGGCATGTTCTTTTTTTTTTTTTTAAACTTTAATTTGCGTAGTATGAATTCACAGTGATATCCAAGTAGCACGCGTCTGTTTCTGAACTTTTGCAAATTTGTTTGCTGTGTCCAAACTTTTCAACGATGGGTCACGCAGTTGAGCATCATCGGGTGCTTGGGGGGAGAAGCGCCCCTTCATATCAAACGTTTCGCTTGATACTCTTCACCGCAATGGGTATCGCGTGGTCTGAGACGGACCAATCTACTACAAAGGATCTGCCATTATTCGACACACATCTACCATCTCAGGTCCCCTTCGAGTTGAAAGGCGAGCCAGATGTTTCAAGGGAATGCAGTAAATCCGTAGCAGAGGCTTTCTGTATAAAACATCGACAAGGTTCCTCATTATATACCTGTGCCCCAAGCCTTGTCGCAAGCAGTAATTTGACTTGACGACGAATCAAAGGAGCAATCCAACGGCTGAGCCAGCTTAATGATGGCCCTGCGTAGCAAAATCTGGAGCAACTCAGGAATTAACCGACGTTACATCCCACGGCTAGGCTATGTTTTACCCTACATTTTCAAGTATAGGTTGACGTGTTCTGACCAGAGCTGATGAGGTGATATGCCTCGGGTGGATACGACCAAGGGATCAACAAGCCATCTTCGCTCTTGTAAACTTAGAACGTTGCGATCGTCCCACCATCTTGTCGAACCGAACCCAGCCTAGCAAGGTTTCCCAAATCCCCAAGTTTCGGCGGGGCAGCTGGACATGAGAAACAACACCAGCAGACTTCAGCCAATCCTTCCCTGGTAACCCGGCAAGAGGAGGGTTGTTCATCTTTTGCACCAACAACCCCGAAAAAACGTGAAATTGAGATGCACAATTTCTGCCGAGTGGCATCCAAGAAGGAGTGTGAGCTTGTGCCCAGTTTCTCCTGCAACACAGAGAACGGAAGTGCTATTCACGAATCCCATGATCCCCGCCCCAGCAAAGGTCATGCAGGAATGCGGGCATGTAACCCCATTACTGCGTGAGTGAAGGAGGGTACGCTAGAAGAAGGGACCAACACCGAACGAATAGGCATCTGCGTGCAGCGCGTCAGAGTGCCTAGGCAAAGTTGATTTAGCCGGCTGAGTTTGCTCATTATGCATCAACCGTCGAACCATGAGACATGCCGTATTCCTATTTGAGAGGTGAATGTGCGAATCCTCGAAAAGCGTCGCCAAGGAAAGATTGATGTTGGTGGGACCGCTTACTCTCCTGCGTCGACAAATTGACGTAGGATATCATATATATATATATGTATGTGTGCATCTGTGGCTGTTTGTTACTTGGGCTTCTGCGTCTGTGGCAATTGGCAATCATCTGCCATCGTCGAGATGTAAGGAATGCACTTACAATTCTCGAGAGACGCGTGAGAGAGAAAGAGAGTTCGTGAGCGCAGCAGCCGATAAAGGGTCCAGTCTACCACGCCTCCGCAGTGCGTTGTGGGGATTGTGCCCAAGTCATATCGTCGTTACACTCAGTCCATCTCCAGCTCCCTTGATTGTGAGGTGCCTCACCACCTAGCACTTCGGCAGCAGCCATTTGAATCTCACGAGGCAGATTGCCGTGACATTGGAAAACGGTGTCGAGCCATCTCAAACAGTCCTGGCTCAGCCGTACCAATCACGTGTGGGGAAAGCCAGCACGGGGTGCCAGCAGGCAGGAGCGACCTAGGCATTAGGTGCCCGGCCCCTAGGAGCTGGAAAGCTCCCTCTCCTTCCGGAATGCCTTCGCAAGCGCATGCCGACCGCCCAAAACTCCAAGGCCGTCGACATTGGTCAGGAATCTCAATTCTCTCGAAACGATCCTTTCGCTCCTTTACATCTGATTTCGAAGCCGATGACGAACGATCCTCGACCGACGGTAGCATGAGTTCACGGAGCAGCGACGGCGATTTGCTCCCAATCGGGGCGCCTTACTACTCCGGCCATGATGCGCGACCAACCAGCCGCAAGGAATTGCTCGGCTGGTACATGTACGGCTTTGCAGCCGAGGTTTATGTGGTTTGTGGAATCGGTAAGTCTGGTATTTCGCTTCGCAATGGCATTGCTTGTTCAAAATCCGCCCAAGAACAGCGCCCCGAGCTTGCTGGATGCGATGGCTGTAAATGGCAAACCCCTGTAGTGCTGACTCGCCTTGCTCGACAGGTTCATTCATTCCTATTCTCCTGGAAACTCTGGCCCGGGAAAACGGCGTACTGGCTTCAGACCATACGAAGCCATGCGGATCGAGTGACAGCAAAGGCGGCGACGACGGACAGTGTGTCGTCTACGTTTTGGGTCTCGAAATCAACACCGCCAGTTTTGCCATGTACACCTTTTCAGTCAGTGTCCTTCTGCAGGCGCTCCTGGTCGTAAGCATCAGTTGTGCTGCCGATCATGGACACTACAGAAAGAAGCTCCTCTTGACATTTGCATGGCTTGGTGCCTTTTCCGTCATGTGCTACATCTTTATCAGCAGGGAGACCTACATCCTCGGCGCTATTCTCACCATCCTCTCCAATACGTCTTTCGGGGCATCCTTTGTACTCTTGAACTCGTTTTTGCCACTGTTGGTTCGAAATCACCCCGAGGTGCTGAGTGCTCAGCGTGGAATGACGCCGGATTTGGCGGATTGTGCATCAGAGTCTAGACCTCTAGACGAGTCAGTAGGCACGCTGGAGGATGAAGCTGCTGATCCCACGTCGCCACTTTTGCCCGGTGACAATGCTGCGTCGCGTCGACGGCTTCGTAGAGCCCCGACCCACGAGGAACTTACTTCGACCGAACTTCAGCTCTCCTCCCGCATGTCTGCCAAGGGCATGGGCATCGGCTACATCGCCGCCCTGTTCGTTCAATGCTTGTCCATTGGCATTCTGCTGAGCATGAAGAACTCCACGTGGTCTCAAAGAGTAGTCCTTTTCGTCATCGGGACTTGGTGGGCAGTGTTTACTGTCCCGTCAGCCCTGTGGTTACGACCAAGACCCGGACCGCCACTGGTAAACACGGGGCGGAAGGGCGCGTTTGGATGGATACCGTACCTTACTTATGCCTGGAAATCTCTTTTCCGTACTATCCAACAAGCAAGAAGGCTAGCAGACATCATGCTGTTCCTCGCGGGATGGTTCTTACTGTCGGATGCCATTGCCACAACCTCTAGCACCGCCATTTTATTCGCCAAGACACAATTACACATGCGTCCCTGGGCGTTGGGTATGATCAACGTCATTACAACCATGTCTGGAATACTCGGCGCGTTTGGGTGGCCGGTGGTATCTCGAGGCTTGGGGTTGAAAGCCCACCAGACCATTTTGGTTTGCATCGCTCTCTTTGAACTGATTCCCCTTTACGGGCTCATGGGCTATCTCCCCTTTGTGAAGAATTGGGGCGTCCTTGGCCTCCAACAGCCGTGGGAAATGTACCCCTTGGCAGCGATATACGGCCTTGTCATGGGCGGGCTAAGTAGTTACTGCCGGTCTCTCTACGGGGAGTTGATCCCCCCCGGCTCGGAGGCCGCATTCTACGCTCTGTATGCCATTACCGACAAGGGATCCAGTGTCTTCGGCCCAAGTATAGTTGGTGCGATTATCGACCGGACGGGCAGCATTCGTCCGGCGTTCTGGTTTCTGGGGGCGTTGGTTGGCCTTCCAGCACCGTTGATATGGTTGATTAATGTTGAGAGGGGAAAGAAGGAAGGCGAGCGGCTGGTGGCCAAGATTGAGGGCTCAGACGTGTGTTTATCGCAAGAAGCTCCTCTGATGGAAGATGAAGAAGATGACTAATTGGATATCTAGTGTTGAGTACGGAAATGTGGCGATGGTGCTTGTATTTGGATTATATTCTTGCAAGTTGCATAGCGATGGCGTTGGTGTGGTACTGAGTTTATTATAACAGACAAGTAATGGCATTATTATATCGAGGCCGCTGAATGCTACTGTGGTTGCAGGAAAGTGCAAGACAAAACATCTTTATTGTACGGAGTACAGCAGCCAGGGTCACTCTGAGCAGCTCTTCTTGCTGACGGTCAATATGGACGCTACGTGCACATGGTGCAAAATGACGACATTGGCGCTCATGGTGATTTGGGTTTTGCTGCCACGGCATCATCCTTTGAGATGTCCACAGGTATATGAAGATGTTGTTTTGATAAAAAGTCAAAGAGTGACTGAGGAGTCGAGGCGATTGGGCTAGCAGCGGCTGTTGTCTGACTTAGCCGCGCCAGCCTTCCTTACCAGCCACCCATAATTCCGTTGGAAGCAATATTATTGGCAAACGGATAGCCAGTGTCGCCTCTCTCCTTCCTTTTGTTTTCCTGACAAGCTGGACCAAAAATTGATTGAACGCACACGTGGCATTTTTCTTTTCCTTTTGCTTGCTCCCGTTTTATTATTATTATTTTTTCGGCCCTCAATCAGTATCGCTCGGCTTGGGGCTATTGAAGCGTCTGGAATCTTCTACCGCGCGCCGGTCAGATTATTCCCGTACGGAAAGTACACAGTACTCGGTACGCACATTGCTTCTGTTTGACCCTCCCCCCCCCTGTCTGTCAGCCAGCCGTTACGGTCAACTGGCACCTGGGCCTTCTTCGGTGCCTGGCGCCTGGGTTGCTTTCTAGAGTTGGCGGCCGGGGTCTCAAGCTACTACCAGCAAACTGCCTTTAAACTGCCCAGGTACTCCGTACTCTGCTCAGCCATTTTGGAGTTAGTGCGGCACGGTGGCCCGGCTGGTGCTGCCTCCTCGAGCCTAGTACCCAGTACATGCTACTCCGTTCGCCGTACGTCTACCAGACGCAACATTGAACTACTGTACGGCACCAGCAGACGCTCCTGCCTCGTCGGCGTCCCGGCGCCCACTTGCCCACCCGCCCTCCTGCTCTTGGCCACTTGAGCACGTCGTGTCCTTGCCAGCCAGGTCTGGCCCGCCTTATAGCTTGGCCCAACCGGCGTCGCGAATAACCTCCCACTTGCCCACCTCCACACCTGTGTTTTTTTCCGACGCGCAGCCTTTTGATCAACTCGGGCGCGCAGACGCCGCGCTTGTCCTTATTCTGTTTCGATATCCTTGCCTTTTCCATCTCCCCTGCCCGCCCGTCATGAGCTCCAAATCCCGAAAGCGCTCCCGTGCCATCACGGACGAGAACCGCGCCGATTGTCCCTTTACCATATCCATGGTCACCGCTCCAAGCTCCGAGGAGCGCGATCACATAGCCAAGAAGAGGAAGCGCGACGCCGACGAAGATGGCGCAGCTTCCAATAACCACAAGAAGGAGCTGGTCCAGATGTCGCCCTTTGAACCACGGGGCAAGTTCAAATCGAACCAGTCCATGAATCTCGCCTATGCAGTCGAGCCACGGAAGCGATGGCAGGACATGACGCGATATAATAGCTTCGTCTGTGAGTCAAGATCCCGCCACGCCACCCCTCTTCGCCTCCATTCCCAGCCTTGACCCGACGACGCCTTGCGCAATGCAATGGGCTTGTCTGCTTACCAGCTTGGCTTTTTCCCATAGTGAATGGTTACAAGTATTGCAATGACGATTTTATTTACGTCGCAAACGAGGCCACTATTGAGCGCCAAAAATCGACCGGCAAAAACCCGGATGCCGGAAATTTGCTGCAGTCAACCGACTACTGGGTTGCCCGAATTCTTGAGGTCCGGGCAGCAGATGAGCATCACGTATACGCGCGGATTTACTGGATGTATTCGCCCGACGAGCTGCCACCCGGCACTCAGGATGGCAAGAAGTCTATTAGCGGCCGCCAGCCCTATCATGGTCAGAATGAACTGATCGCATCGAACCATAGTAAGGCGCGATTCGTGCTCACACGCCTCCAAATGTATTTGTCAGTGCTGACATGGCTCAACAGTGGACGTGATCAACGTCGTTAGTGTGGCAATGAAGGCCACCGTTCATCAATGGATCGAGTCGGATGACGAGGAAGTGCAGGATGCACTCTACTGGAGACAGGCCTTTAATTGTCGGACCTCGCAGATATCTGTATGAATCCCACTCTGTCTGGCTACGCACCAAGAATCGATGCTAACTTTTCCCTCACAGTCGGTCGACTTGACCTGTAAATGCCAGACCCCAGCGAACCCCGACAAGACTTTGATCGGCTGTACCAACGCAGATTGCGGCAATTGGCTTCATTACGAGTGTCTCTTACACGACATTCTAATGCGAGTCTACGAGCGGTTTGGAACTGACAAACCACACATTTCCGAAAGGGCGGAGCAAACCCTTGTGAAGACGGAGACGGACGAGCTTGTACATCGTCCGTTGACGCCGACTGAGAATAAGGTAGAGCGCACCCCCTCAGCTATCGACGTCAAAGGACCAAGCGAAAACGGAGACCATGCAGCTGGCGGCCGAACTAGCGAGAGCACACCCAAGGGCCCGACACAGACGCCCACTCCAGGGCCGCCCAACTCGGTTGGCCCCAAGAGCGCAAAGTCGGCATCTGCGAAGAAGGGCCGAGGAAAGAAGGCCGTCGAAGACAAACCATACGAGGGGCTGTTTGAAGCCAGCTTGAAGATGAACGACGGGCCAATGGTCTGGGTCATCAACGATCTGAGACCCAATGTTCAAGGCGGGGATCGAACATGGACGGAACGTGCCGAGTGTCTGATTTGCAATAAGATGATCGATTGAACCTGGCTTTTTGAAGGGGAAGGCCACTTTCCTTTCCAGTCGTCACCGTGGCATGCGCAGCAATGTTAGCCCGAGCATTTAGCACCAAGAGGACAGTGAGGCCATGGTTCTCGACTCTTTTCTGCAGAAGTACATATTCCATTCGTCAAGTCGGACTACGGTACATTTTGGGAACACAACAAAAGGCGTGAGTTTGAAGCAACTGCAGGGAAGTGATAAGCAGTGGGACGAAATTGCACTAGTATCTTATCCTTTCTTTTGTCTTTGTATTTTTTTTTTCTCTGTCGTTTTGTTCTTTGCTTTCTTGCTTTTGCTTTTTTTTCTTTCGAGAAGGGCTATTCGAATGCGACAGTTCCGAGATTTGGGCGTTGGCTGCTTGATGCTGGATGCATACAGGGGCAGGCATGGCGTTGGGTAATGTTTTTACGGTTTACCATTTATGGCGAGGAGTATTGCTTGGATTCTAGAGCTGTGTGCCTGGGGTCAATGTTTGGGATACTGGATCCAAGTGTCTTGAGTAGTTCTGAGTACAATAGAACTGTCTGCGCTACAATTGATTATGCTGCATCCCTGAATTAATGATGCCAAGTCGTCAATATCCCAGCTCATAGCACTGCTTGGCTGAACCTGGGACCCAAGCCCAGGGTGCCTACCTGAAGAACCTAGGTACTTAAGTACCTAAGATAGTCGTACCGGCATTATGTACCTACCTGGGCAGTTCTTGGCCACGGCTGTGACATGCAAACCTCAAGCTCAAGTGGGGCAATCCAACCCCGCCGTCTCAGAGCAACGAGCTCACGTCCAAACGACAACCTACATCACCATCACGGCACCACTTGACGACACCCCATCCTTCGCCATGGCTGAGATCGACCCCTTCGACTCGGCGCTGTACGTATCCGCTGCCTTTGCCCTCCCTAATCCACTCGATTCGCTAACGACGAATTCAAAAGCGACCTCCTGCGGCGCCTCAACCCCAAGCACACGGCCTCGCACCTCAACACCATCATCTCCCTGGCGCCGGACCTCGCAGAAGACCTGCTCTCCTCGGTCGATGCCCCGCTCACGATGCGGCGGTGCAAGCAGTCGGGCCGCGAGTACCTCCTCTGCGACTACAACCGCGACGGCGACAGCTACCGCTCGCCGTGGTCGAACCAGTTCGACCCGCCGCTCGACGAGGCCGGGGCAGGAGGCGTCGGGGCCGACGGCAACGAGGGCGCGGGCGAGGGCGCTATCCCCAGCGAGAGAGTGCGCAAGATGGAGATTAAGGCCAACGACGTGTTCGACATCTACCGGGACCTGTACTACGAGGGCGGAGTGAGCAGTGTGTATCTCTGGAATCTGGACGATGGCTTTGCAGGCGTCGTCTTGTTGAAGAAGTGTGAGTTCTTTTCCTCCTTGATCACCAGAGATTGCGGGGGCCTTTGGGGGGAAGAAATCGAGGGAGAGGTGAAGGACGTTGCTGACCTCCCGCCCTTTTTTTCGGGGTCGTGGTGCAGCTATTTCGCCGGGCAAATCGACAGAAGGGATCTGGGACTCGATCCACGTGTTCGAGGCGATTGAGCGAGGGCGCATGACGCACTACAAGCTCACGTCTACGGTGATTTTGACGCTGGCGGCGGCGGGCGGGAGCCTCGGCGACATGGATCTCAGCGGCAACATGACGCGCCAGGTGGAGCAGGACATGCCGGTCGATGGCGATGACAGCCACATCGTAAACATCGGTCGTCTCGTTGAGGATATGGAGCTCAAGATGCGCAACCTGCTGCAGGAAGTCTACTTTGGCAAGGCCAAGGATGTGGTCGGCGACTTGCGGAGCGTGGGCAGTTTGAGCGACGGGGCGCGAGATCGCGAGGCCCAGAGGGAACTCATTGGGAGCATGCGGAGATGATGGACCGTTTTGAGAGGTGTCTGCGACTCTAGAAAGGGGAGGGGAAGGGCACCATGTCCCAAGGCGAGCATGGACGGGACCGTTGGTGGACGAGACATGGAAGTGCCGAGCGTGTACGGAGTAGAGTGTGGTAATGAAATACGGAGTATACGACAAGTAGTAATTGGTTTGCAGACGCTGGTGATTCTTTAGGACCATTGTTGCCGACTATCCCGGCCCTTTGAAGGTCATGTTGCCGTCATGTGGTCAAGAGATTGCCCCTTTTTTGCCCCCCCCCCCCTCTTTGAAACTGAGGAAAAGAAAAGAAACAGATTGCTCAACGTTCGTGGCTCAGAATCTAAAAAAAATTAAATTCGAGACTTGGGAATCGGATCGTTCGCTTCTCCACGCCGTGGGGGGCCGGGCCGTTATCTCAGGATCTCAGGGTATGAGAAGATGAGAAGTGACCAAGACAAATTGTTCAGTTCCCCTATGTATGTATAATAGGTTTTGCCCCGTACCGACACCAACAGCAAGTCGGGGGCCCTAGTTCATCACCAGCAGCCTTAAGATCCCGAATCCGCCTGAGCGGGCGCGGTTGTCAGGGCTGGCGTGCATGTTGGAGTCCTGGGTCAGCTGCATGTGCAGTCCAATACAGCCCCGTACAACATAAACTCAGACACAAAGGGCACGTCAATGGTGCATTTTAAGGGCCAGGGAAGGCAACCCGGCTGGGTTGGCATGGGGCGCATGGACATGGCACTGTGCCTCGTCACATTTCTGGGGATGCAGCGTCCTGGAAACGGGAAGCGGCAAATTAATATAGCTCACATACGGAGTAGTGTCGGCGTGATAAGCCTCTGTAACCAACGTGTTGTACTGACACGGAGGCGTTAATTGGGGGAAAGGGGGGACGGGGGATGATATCATAGTACTCCGTATAATACGCCGTATTGCGTGTTTGACCAGTTGAGGCAAGGGACCTGGCTAATATCTTCCGCCAGACTCCAGATACCGTAGATATTAGTGTACATGTGCTTGGCGATGGGTCATCTTGCCAGAGGCTGTATACCGAGAAGCACACAGGCATTGTCAACTTGGGGGTTCTGTGGTATGCAGGTGCGCCTTGCGTCGAGGTAGGGGTAACTGCAGCAGACGACGCTTTATGCAGGAAGCAATAAGATGGCTTGCATCTTCCGACCTGCAGACCTTTGCGTCCTGGTGTCGGGGACCAGACATACTCCGTACAAAATGCTGAAAGCCCAGTTGAGAATGTGCAGCCGGGCTACTGCGTGTGGTTGGGTAGTTGAGCCATCATATCACACCCATCCATCCTTCACCACCGAAAAAAACCAAGCAGTTTTGAAACAAACGTCCTTCCTGCCGTCACTGCTTCCATTGGTCCCATGGTAAGCCGACGTGATGCCACCAATGTTCTGACACACCCTTCCCTCATTGCCGCTTTTCATCCTTCACTCAGACGGTGAGAAGAACTCGGTTGATCGTCTCCCTATCCAGCCCACGCTTGACAAAAGCACGAGTCGCTGAGATGCCAACTGCAGCTTCTAAACCCACATCTAGGTCTAGTGACCCTTGCAAATACGAGAGTCCATCCATGTGGTGAACCTGAAATCTTGTACGGGGCAGATCGTTCCCCAAACTCTACCAAGATGGTGTGCCTTTTTTCGATTTTCGCGTCAACAAGAGTCTTTCCTGGCAAAAGCGTACGCCATAGACTCAGAGTATTGCTTGTCTGGGCTTAGACAACATATCATGTCCAACAGAGAACTCTTTCTATGCATAGGTTGCCTTGTCGTCGGGACTCGCCAGAGTGGATGGAGAGCAAATATCGGGAGATGTAGAGGGCCTGGATAACCATGTACGTGGTGTTGGTCTGGATATTCACCCGACTGCTTGATGCTCACACAGGCCAGCAATGGCGGTCAGTCAAAACGTGTGTCTCGCTGTCGTCATCTTCCTCAGTTCCGGGACGAACAGGCTGGTACTGGCAATTCCAATTCAAAGGCACACCATGTAGACGATGCACCAGTCATCGACTAGGACCGGGCACCACAGTGGATATGAACTGACTCGGGTCCCTGGTGGGTTTGTGTGTTGACCGGAACGGTCGCCGAGAAGCAAAAAGACAAACAAGTAAGCCGACCTCTGATAGCTCGTCAAGCATGGCATCCAACAAAGAAACATGCGTCAATGCTAATCGTGCAGCAAGGCATTGACTGCACGGAGTACCAGTGGCTTGATACTGTGGCTGACTTCGTGTTGACCCCAGCGCTATGTAGAGTAGTGGAGAGTCCGCGACGCCATTCAATGTTCGTTGAACCCCGAAGCTTTTTGAGAATACTACTGGTATGTCTCGTCACTGGCACCATGCGGGTAGGTATCCGATCCTGACGTAGCAACCGCTCGCGAGAGCCATGGGTGGGAGGGGCGCAAGCTTTACTCTCTGAGCAAATCACGAGCAGTATGTATGCCGAGACCTCTGTTTTCATCTTTGTTAGCTCATTAATACAATCATGCTGCTGGACTAGTGAAGGGTATTTTGGGTGAGAGCAATTTTTTTCTGGGCTTCAAACGACGGTGAGTCGAACTAAAGTCACGAGGCTAGCGGCTTGCCCCTGGCCCTCGGGCTATCATGCCAAAGACGACTACTGACGTTTCAATGTTCCGCTCAACCTGGCGTTGAACTAACAAACAGAGGCCTTCCTTTTTCCGTGTCTTGCAGACATTGAAAATGCCTGTTGCAATGCAATCCGGTTGAATCTATTGGTCTTGTGAGCCTCTAACAGTGGGGAAGAAGCTCCCGGGGCCTAATCTTGAGTTGCGAATGCCTTATAATAACTTGAAACATTCCGAAGGCCTGCTTGCATTAAACCAACGACCCGTGTACGTTGTGTTTTGTCAGTTTTTCCACCCTGCCACAAGCCAGATTGTTGCAGGCGAAACGTTCCAGAAGAAAGAGACCTCCTCAGTTGTTCCATAACCGCCCCGCACATGCTCCCTCAAATACGGAGTACATGTAGGATGATGAAAGCCACGGTGACGAAGTACCTGTAGTGGGGGGTTGATGAGGCAGAGTACACCAGACGGGTATCGCGCGTTGCACATTGTA